AAACCCGGGAGACACCGCCCACTGGCATGTAAGCGAGCCCATCGTACCGGTCGCTTTGGTTCGTTGAGATGTGCCGTCCCCCAAGGGGCCCATCACATCTGCTCGCACCTTGTCAGCTTACCTGGCGATGCGTGCGTTGGAAATCGTCATGTCACCCACCCGGAACACCAGATGTGACGCTGTGGCTGCTTTCCGATGGTCGCATAGTAACACCTTGGCCCAGCTAGCGACGCGAAAAACGTCTCTCCCAGGCCATCCCTATTGGCTGTCGGCTGCCACCCCATCCAGTTCCCCCCATCTCCTCCTCCATCAAGGGCGCCGCGCACCAAAAAAAACTGCACACCAAGCAGCAGGAATTCTCGAGGCCTGGTCCTTGACAACAACGCGATCGGGAACATCTGGCTCTTAGATGCATTGCAGGATCTGACTTAAAATCTTAGCCGCGCTCGCTTCTAGAAAACGAGCCACGCGCCGAGTAGGAGGGTTCGGCAAGTTTGATAAGATGATGGAATGAGATCAGTCCACCCGGAAATCTACGCATACGTGCATTTGCAGCAGCCTCTCTTCGTCTTTCCCTTCTTCTCTCTCCCCGTAGAGTTCTACCACCCCTCCTCATACCGCCCCCAAACGGGTAAAAGTTGTCGGCTACATATGTACTAACCCGGAGCCCTACCAGGTTAACGGCTGGGTTGTTTGTGATCTGTCGTTTTTTTTTTTTTTTTGCTTTTTCCCTATTTTACATATTTTACCTAGTCCCTTAGCTAAGCTTTGTGAGCATGATGGTGAGCATGATCAAGGCTGTTCGCACCACCCTAGTTAGTGTAGTCCAGTAAATGTACAATGCCATACCATAGGTGGCCAGAGGCGGCGGATGGGAATAGAAACGATGACATGTAGTGTACACGACATACAGCTGGGCCTGTCGTGCCACGCTGGAAATCGCAAGACAATGGAACGGTCATCTACCTAACGTGGATGGTGGCGCTGTGCGCGGTAAGAGGCTGACAGGTCACGTTACCTGTCCTGGTTTTTCTTGACTTTACTTTGTCTCTGGTATGCCAACAACATGACTCAAGCTTCAGGCTGGAAAGTGTTGCTCTGATTTCTTCATTATTATTTTTTTGGGTTGAATCGAACGAGGGTTGCATGCGTAGGAATCATGTTGCATACACCCATGTCTGGTAGTATGCTACCCTCCCGGTCAGGATTGGCATTTGCTGTATGTATGTTGGACATCGTGATAGGCAGCCAACCATCACCTCGTATCTCTTTCAATTTCCTCCTATCATTTCTTTCTGGATGATATAACGAGGCGGCTAATCGCAGTGGATACAAACCCGGCCCGTACACTCCCCAGCATTGATCATGACGGCGGCCATGATTGCCATTTGCATCCTACTACTCCGTACTCTCCAAGGTACAAATTGCTCTCTACGACAACACGAGGACTCAGAAACCCCGGTCTGCGTCTGGCATGGGAAGATCTGTATTTCTCATGTCAGATTCCGATCTCGTGCATGGTTGTATCTGGGCGGGCTCGTGGCTAAACTGTGCGACAGCCTGCCCGCCTATCTCTGATCCCTGATGTCTCCCATGTCCAATACACTACACTACATGTAGATATAGGTGACCACTATACTCTAAGCAGTACATCTCTCTTCTCACCTTTGCATCGTTGGCTTACTAGCATATAAGCGAGCCTGTAAAACAACGGGAATTCCAGCAAGGCACTCTGCTCTGGCTCAGATGGTATCGGATAAGATGACCCTAGATGGCCGTATCGTCAACAGGCTGCCTACCTCCCTCCCTGCTTAGGCCTTGGGCACTTGCGCAGGCAGTACATGTCACAACAAGATATCGACGGGATCACACAAAAACTGTCTATTTTAGCAATGTAAACCAGCTTGTCCTCTTCTTGTTTTTCTCATACTCTCAGAAGACAGGTCGGGCTGCTTCGCATGATCTCTCCATGCCACTATTACAGTACGGTAGACTAGTTACATACATAGGTAGTACTATCCTAGGCAGTGAGATTTGACAATGCATCGATCTCACAAAACGGAAAAACCTCAACCCATAAGATCCTAGTGTATGCGTACCTCGTGCAGGAGGGTCCGCACTAAGCCGAGATGGAACAACGCCCAGGGCCCCGTGTCGGAAACTTATGCCAATACACCTGAGTCGTGACGAGAAAATCGTACGGGAAACCACCAAAAAGGAGTCACAGAGTCACAGCACGGCTGGACTAGAACGAGCTGGGTTAGGTCTACAAAGTGAGAAGCGTCCGAGCTAAAGCAGACACTAGCAGAGGCATGCACTAGCATCCAAAGTCCCGGTAAGATGACCCGGTACAGTGCTGGAAGACGACTCGAGGGCATTGGTCGCTTTCGACACTACGTGCATCATGTCACTGTACAAGGCGGTACGTGATGTCGCTGTCAAGGCCATGGCCAGCCAGGATTACACATAATGGACAGGGTATCTACCGTAATCGCTTCTCTAACGAGACTAGTTACCCAAGCCGGCCCTGTTACTTACCTGGCGAGCTGGTGCGTTACAAGTGAGTCCTGTCAGCGGCACCAGATCACCTGTTTTCCTTCTTACAGTCACAACACTCCACCGCAGATCTTATTATGAACAGGGTCTCTTTACTTATAAACTACTGGGCTCAGAATATGTACCAAGTATGCTTACTTACTTAGCATAACATTCAGTATGGAGTCTGGTGCATGTATGCTAGGTACAATATCACCAGGGACTGAAGCCATTGACGATACGCCATAAAGTAGGTACGCTAGATACCTATCGCCGGGAACTCCCCCAGGACCATCGCTACTCGCGAAAGAGATATCGCCCTATTTCCGGAACCAAGGTAGTGTACGTAAGTAGAGAAGAACATTGACCATACGAGTAGGGAATGGAGTGGTGACAAAGTTTTTCCAAGCAAGAGGGAGGAAATATTTTTTTTCTGGCCTTTTTGTTTTCTCATCAGATGATCAAACCGCCCATATCTCGGTTCTCGCGTCTTGTCCATGCCCACCCCGTATCCTGTATATACCTGGTCAAGACTACAGTACTTAGATTACACTAAGAGGTCGCCGACCAGTGCAAAAATGGCGTGCAGGGCAGGAGAGAGGAGACCACCAACCTCCTGGGGCTTGAACTACTTCGTAAGTAGTGTAAGGGCGGTCCCGCAGCGCCCACCTTGGGGCGTAGATCTTTATTTACGATCGATTTGGGGGTTGTTAGTCTTCTCTCCAACTACACTAGGTACTGCTCCAAGTACATGTAATCAGAAGTAGTTGCCTTCTAGGTAGTCGTGGAGACAAGGTCTTGTCTTGGTTTGCAGATCAATAGGGGTGGTTCATATTAAGATAAGATAGCATCTATGATATAGGGTAGATCAGTTTGTATGAATACCACATCAGCGTCTGATCTTAGACAAACTAGCGACAACATCTACGACAAAAGACGACGACAATGATGATGATCCCGTTGCGTATGAACACTATACTTAGGATAAGCGCGCTTGGATGTTGCCATTCTCCCCGAAGTACTCCAAAACGCAACGGCGATTTTCGTTTCGCCCAGGGTTCGTCGCTTGGACGCGTGGATTTCGCATCGAACCAAAGACTAGGTAGAAAGCATGGGATATGCCTGTCAAGTGAATGCAGCGAGGGTGTATTCTGAATCTGATTATCATCCCACAATGACGCGGCCGCATAACTAGCGAGGCAGGGAATCTCATCCCAGGTCCAAGGAGGGCTCTTTTGCCCGCCCACAATATCATTCTAGAACGCCATTTCGCTCGCCCCAGAGGAGATGGACCCCTACCCTCGTCCCATAACCATGTCCTGGCAATACGTATATTTGCCGCCGTCCGTCCCGCCCGTTCCATCTCGTCTAGCATGGCATACCATGTCTACAGTGCCTAATCTCGACAAGACTTGAAAGAAAAAGGACAGAAGAGCTGAGGAGAGAGGGAAAAAAAGGGTCTGAGCATGACGTCAAGGGAAACCCGAGGCGGTCATAGCTTATCCCCGTCTCCTGATTAGACGGCTCCGCCGAAGAGGCGGACAAGACACCATCCATCGCTTCACTATGAAGAACTCACCACAAGAGTTCACCACACTCTTTCCGGCCGCCGGTCATATACTACAGTACACCACACCCTGACCACACTACATAGGTATCTCACCGCAATTGGACCCTGCCAAGCTCACCTATGTACAACGGGTTTGACCAGGGTGCATATTACTTAGTTCTGTCGAGCACTAGCGAGTGAGCGCATGTCAGGCCCAGCTACATCAGCCCATCACAGGTGAAGAGAGCATTAGCACCTACTGTAGCCTCAGCACTACCTATCCAAAGCAGACAGTGGACAGGTGCGTTTTCCCCAAGATATAGAAGATCTTCACGGGGAGGGGAGAAGAGGGGAAGGGAGAAAGGAAGATGGTCCTGCAGGCAGCAAAAACAACAACAACACCAACAACAACATGCATACATACTTAAAACAACGCAAGCGATGTCGCTCGCTCGCTCGCTCGCTCCCTCTTTTCAATCACCGAAACCAAATCCCGGGACTCACCACACTATCCTTAGGTAAGTAAGTAACCCAGGTACGTTAGGCATAAACACGTGAAAAAGTGATGCTTGCTAGCTCGATTGATGGATTGATCGATTTGCAGATGAGATGGGATCGTCCGTCGGTGGATAATCGCAAAAAAGGTCTGCCTACACCGTAGTAGGAAAAGAGCAGCGCACCTCTTTCCCTCTGTGCACACGCTAGCTCCGGCCGTCATGGGTATTGCTTCGGTAAGCAGGATGAAAGTACTGTAAAGTAGCTCGAGTAGGTAGTGTAGTGTAGCGAGATCTTCGGTTTAACCTGGCAGGGTCCTGCGACAGTAGCGTTACAAGGTAACCTACATAAAACCTAGTAGGTAGATGCTTATCAAATGCAATATGCGTGCGTGCGTGTGTGTGTACGAGAAATCTGTGACCAGAAGTACCCTGACGAGCCTGACTCGCACATATTAAGTATTATAAATGCATAAGTGCACTAGATGCCAGGCGACAATGCCTTTAGGAAAGTCGAATAGAGATCAGTTGCATACTGTGTAGGTATGCACTCCGATCCGAAGAATGAATCCGTAATGGGTTTTCCAGGTGGCGAGATGTCAGATTTGGGAATAGCCTTTTGTGATTCTCCTGTGATAGCTACATCAGCAGGTTCAGATTGGAACAGTGATGACTTTTAATGTGGCGATATCAAATCTGGGAATAACTTTTGGAATTTTCATGTGACAATTGCATGAACAAAGCCAGCACGAGATCGGCCATCTTTGAATAGTATCAAAATATCAAGCATCCGGTCTGGTCAAGTTAAATTCGTTAGCATGATAAACCGCCTCTCTTACAATAAGAAATTACAGGGCGTAATAGGCAGTCAGTTTGTTCATCGGCAGCTTCCTAACACACAATATCTGCAGCAGGAGCAAAATGAATCTAATATTCTGTATACTGTAGGTAATTTCAATAGGACTACGTGATATTCTTCAATCTGCCCAGTAGTCATACAGTCTGGAAGCCGTGTTGCCCCTTTCACAACTCAAGACGTAGTATTCTTCTCAAAACCACCAAGGTTTACATCTTCAAATTCATTATCTGTAGGTTTCTCGTGACCCTCGCCCGCGCGATTAGTCACCGCATGATCTTTACCAGGCACATCATCCTCGCCTAATTTAGGCTGTCCATTGTCCGGACTCGCGAGGGTTGAGGTTCCTTGGTGGGATGACTCTGTTGGGATGGCGAGATTATCAGCACTTGACCTTTGGACAAGTACAGGTGGCGCAGCGAGGCTGACACTCTTGTTCGACTGCGGTGTGTGGTTGTATGATCGATTTGGCCCTTCCGTCGAATCCCGGCCTAAGTCATCCCTATACACATGTGCTAATCCGCGCTGAGACGGAGTGTGGCCGATTTCTGATCCAACCGGCCTGGGACTTGGTGAGGGACTCACAGACCGTGCGTCTTTATCTTGAGCGTCTAGGAGCTCGTCGTCGCTACTTTCATGACTGCACTTGCTGTCCAAACTTTTATTGCTAACCTTGCGTGCGATCTTCCCTGCGCTATGGCGGGCACTATGCTGAAACTCATCACGAGCCATCGCCACCGCTTGTCGGTTGAGATGTGTGTTCTCGTCAATCAATCTATTTTTCTTACGAATCTCAGTCCATCGTGTCAAAGAGCCCAATTCAAAAATGTTGATTCGGCGGTATCTGTCGACTGGGTTGCCCAAGATAGCTGGTCTCTAACCAACATCATCCTCGGGGATTTCGTTAAGTTCTTTACCCTTGGCCTTAGCCGCTGCCATTGCGGCGGCCCAGTTGTGCAAGCTTACTCGCCGTTCTTTTGTCCACCGGTCCATCTCTGAACATGTGCAGTCCGGAATAATCTGGATCCTCTTGAACCGTGTAAAGGTTCCCAGGAGAAGCAGGGTAAGGATAAACAAAATACCGGCAACAATTCCAGTTGCGGTCCTCTGACCGAGGCGACGAGTGACTGAACCGCCAAGGCTAGTTGCGCCGGCGGCAAATATAAAACCAAGGCTCTGAATAAAATTCCATCCGGCAGTGGCACGAGGGAATGAGGAGTAGTTGGTGCGCTTGTGGCTATCCTTTGATGACTTGGAGCGACCGGTCATGCCAGGTTGAAGATCTGAACAGTCCCAGTTCTCCATCAGCATACCGTTACATTCCGAGATAGCAAGGCATGAAAGGAACCCGATGAGGCCAGCAAAGATGGACGGGAAGATGACATGCATAGGTGGCCCTGTAGAGACGGCCGTGTACGCGATGCCGGCAATAGGAAGAACTAGCGTGAATATTGCGCGACGGACAAGATGAGAGGTCCAAGTAACCTTCTTATCGAAGGTTGTTTTATTCGACATCGGGTTCATATGTCTAGCTTGGGAAAACAGGTTGCCCTTCTGGAATGGAATAGCTAAGAAGGCGCCAATTGCCACAGATGATACCACGGCACCGACGTATGGGGCACGGTAACGATAAGATTTTGAAGTCAGAGACCCTAGGAGCTAGTTCTCTTAGCTGGAGTGTATGATACGTAGGGAGTTTTGAGATATACTTACGACGATGACCAGAATGATCTGTGCATATATCCAGGCGGAATACACAGCCATGATGGTAAAGCCAGGTTGCCGCAGCATCTCCAAAGACAACGCAACTCCGTGGTAAACCTCTTGTCCCCACCATTTCGGTCCTGTCTGTACTCGATGCATCATGACTTCGCCTCGTGCTAATCGTCGGGATATCGTTTCACCCATTCGAACTTCGGCAACAGATCGTCTCCAAGCGGAACGTCGGACCTCGGGGCAGAGCACATTCAGCAATAAGACGGCGGCGATAATGATAATGCTGATGTACAATCCCCACGATGGTTGCAGATGCTCGATCACCACTGCCCCTACGAGAAAACCAACACTTATCGAACCTATGAAGCACCACGTCCAGATCCCAAGCCAAACGCCGAGACCACCGCCATGCCTTCTCACGTCATACTCATCAACTACTTCCTGATGCGGCGCATGGCTCATCAGAGAAGCCCCGAACAAGTCAGTAAGTATAGAATGGAAGTTCATCTTCGCAAATCCCAGTGCAAACCCCATCAAGGCTCTGGATAGGAGTAAGGCGATTCTCCAGACAGAATTGGTTGGAGACCTCTGAGTCCCAATCGCAATGGCCTGTGGGAAAAGTAACGGCATTGCTATACAAAGACCACCCAGAATGTAGGGCTTTCGTCCATGTAAAAGGGGCAAAGGCCAGAAGAAAAAGTTTGGCAGTGCCATCCCGAGATATAGGCCGACGTTGCCAAGGATAGTGTAATGATGGAAGTCGGCGATATAGTACTGGATTGAAGGGACAAGACCAGCATAGATACCCACCAAAATACCGACTAATGCAGTGCTGATACATGCAACGGAAGCAACAAATCGTTTTCGGCCTGGGGACCAGTCGCGGGCGATAGTAGGTTGTCGTCTAGCAGATTTTGTCAAACTGAAACGTTGTTCTCCATCAATACTGACATGGGATCTATTTCGAAGACTGACATTCCGTAACTCATGGACATGCTTGGTGGGAGTTGTCCGCTTCTTCCATAATTTCTCGTTGTCTTTGGCAGATTTTTCAGTTCTAGCACGCCGTGAAGCTCCTCGGAAGCTGGGGAATCTTGGATATCGTTTTCCACCGGTGCTGTATTGGGTAGAAAAATCGACAGCTTCATCAGATGTACCACCATCTAAGCTGCAGACACTTACGTCTTGGTGTCGAACTACATGTAATTGATTACTGCGTCCAGAATCTAGGTCATCGCATCCAGGCTCTTTTGGTTCACTTGAAATCTTCGAACTACCATGTGTACATATCCGAGGCTGAAGGGTTAGCTGGCTGTTGTTTGGAACCTCCGTAGATGTTGGTCTAATGCTTCCGTCATTTTCAAATGGTTCTGGATCAACGCAGCCTTGACTAGTCGAACGATTCGGTGGGGGCAAGGGCATAACACAATCATCATCTATAGAATGATAGCGACCTTCGACGTCTTTTACAGTTTTGCGCACACGTTTAAGGAAAAGGGGTCTGAGGATCTTACCATCCCGCTTGATGGATTTGATGAGCCCTGAGCGTTTCACTGGGTACACAGACACGTCTTTAGCTTCATTATCTACACCAATGGTAGTGACTGGATTTGGCGTAGGGGTAGCATTTATGTCTTCGTCGTGCTCACTCGAACCACGCCGTATGCTCTCATCGATGCTCGGTGAGTGTAAGGAGATTTCCGATGAAGACTTTAATGGAAGGTGACCATCATCCACATGGCCACATTCCCTCTTGCTAGCCTCGTCAGCTATTAATATAGCCTCCGTTAGGATTTTCTCCATGTCGTTCATGGCGTTATTCATAGTTGTCGCACTGGTCAAATTCTCGTAAGAGAAGTTAGTTGTCACTGACGCTCTAGAACTGACCACGCCGGGAGATGTTCGTTGAGATGATGACCTCTCCGGTAGCCTTGTCAATGTAGGTGGCTCATTGGGCTCCGCATACCCCAATAGTCTTCGGAACCACCCAGTTGTCCGATTAATAGTAGGCTTCTGAGTTCTGGCAGGTTGCTGTCCCTTGTTGATACCGATAGGGCCAGGAGTTGGGGACGACGGCTGCGAACTGACGATATTAGACCTTGCACTTCGGTTTGACAAGCTTCTAGAAGAAGCTGAGTTCCCGCCACGATCTCTGCTAGTGCCAGAACCCCTAATGGCCTTTTTGTCTTCATGGGGGATGTTTTCCTGTTTTGAGTGCGTTTCAGTATTCTCCAGTGGAACACTAGCCAACGATCTTCGAGAAGCTTGAGGAGAATAGGAAGATCCTGGGTATGAACCGGGTATGGAGTGTTTGTCTTCATGTGGAGTCGTAATGGGGAGTTGCTTGCTCTGTTTCTCTTTGTAACTGGGGAGAAGGCCCCAATACATTGCTCCCTTCTGTGAATCATCACCACCCGGTGGATTCACTTCGCTAGTTAACACTGGAACAGTTCTTGATCCAGTCCCCTCACCCTCTTCCTGCACTTGGGCAGCATCGTTATATGAAGACTCCACGAATGGACGGACCTTAGGAGTATTCACATGGTTATGTTGAAAGTGGCGTCCCACAGCATACACATCTTCTGGCAGTTCTAAGCTTAAGGACGGATACGTTCCTTCGACTTCGTATGCGGCAGGGCGAACCTTCGAAACCGGAAGGCGCCAGGTACGAAAATGATCATAGCCGTCAATTGAAGGGTTTACCCTATCCCCGGCCACCTCTCCAGGGTCGGCTTCAGCCGGGTCTGGCGTGACCGACTCAATAGGGTGGGAGGTAGTCTCAGCACGTTTGGGAGCTTGCTTTGCTGGCTTTTGTGAGCTTATGGTCTGGGCGATGGAATTGGAGTGGCCGTCAGTGAGCACCGGTGGCACAGGCAGATCTCTGTTAATTGACTGCTGTCGTTGTGAGCTTGGCTTCAATAAAGCATGACGGTAACTCGCCACATGTGAGGCGTTTGATCGCGTCGACCCTGTACCATTACTGATTGGCCTAAGTGAAGGATTGGAACCACTTGGACGAAGGCCAGCTACTGCGGGATCATCCATAGCTGCGACGGTTGAAATGGACACACGTCGGTCAGAGATAGCAAGTTTATACGCAAAATCCACTGAAGCTTGTATCAGCGGGAAGACGCTGAATCGGGTGAATGAGATTTTAGTCGATTACGGTCTAGGTGATTTCTTGTCGTTCCGCTCGATTTTCCTTGGGATGACGAAAGCCGACAACTAGCATCGGCGAGGTAATGTACAGAGCCGAGTGTGGAAGGTGACTGATTGAATACACAGCTCCCAGACTTTTGCAAGTTAGAAAGATGTAAAGAAGAGAAGAGTCAAAGGCAAGTAAGGTAGACACGGGCATGTAGTTTTTGAAGCGGGGGGTTAGGAGACCAGAGGTTCTTCGGCATAAGAACTGTCAGGAGAAGGGTAACAAAATATCGGTGATATCGATGATGCGAATGTGAGAAAAGAAGAGGATATTTAGGTATCTCGAGAATAAGATGATCTGAACAGCCGTGTTCAAACCGTTCGACACTCTACGTAGGCAAGTGTTCATTCTGCACTGGTCTTTCCTTCTCCTCCCAGTTGAGAGAATGGAAAGGAAGCCGTATCATCATAGCTCCCAAGGAAACTGCAACCTTTCCTGCTTGAACATAGAAGGGCACGAAAGAATGCAAAGACATGACAACGCGAGAGAACAAGAATGGTCTTGCGATGATCATGGATTCCATAAATATCAATCAGTTCTCTAAGATATTAGGTTAGTAGGATACTAATTGACGTTCTAAAGCAAAACGGGTTTAGATAGGTGAGAACAATCATCATTTTTGGCGAATAGTCAGCCTGTCTCCATGGCCATTGAGGGTTTAGGAGGTATCAAGATTGAAGCCTCTGGTCTATCAATCAGATGCCCATCGCGAATATCATGATGTTGCGGAGTACCGTAGTGCGCACAAACTCCAGGAGTATATTCATAGGTACTTTGTGTGATCTCCCTGTCCTGATACACATCGAGACCAGGAAGATGATGAATCATTCACTGGGTAGTAACTGGGCAGGAGATTGCTTGTTTGTTTCTTGTTTTGTTGTGCTCCGATACCAACACCGACATCTATCACCTATCACCTATAACGTGTCTGTGTCTGTTCAATGTAAAGTTATATGAAATAGGTGGATAAACAATCCCCTCGTACATACCCTTATGCCTAGTTCGGCATACCTATCTACATACGTTTAGACATGAGTGCCAAAGCAGGTGTTGATTTGCTAATGCACTGCTAATGGATGGATGGGTGGCCGGCAGTTGAAGAGATCTAGACCACCACTACAGAGATCAGCCTATGACACCCTGCATGGCTCTAGGTAGAGACGGGGAAGATGCTGGCACTTTTAGTGGGCTTTTTAGCGGGCTTGCATCACCTGCACACGTGTAACGGGCGTATTAGCCCATGCCACCCCAGCCATCCCATGCCACTGGGTGACTTTGCCTGCCCCGGTCTCAGTATGACTTCATCCACCACACAGACAATCTCGACAATGTAAGCTGTCGCATTCGACATACAGTACCTCAGATTATTAGGTTGTTTGGTCGAAATGAACAGAAGCCCAGAGAACCGAATTTCACCAGTGCCTAACCTACGCCTACCACTTTACCTCACCCTCGCTTACCTAGTTCTGATCTACCTAGTACGATGAAGACTTGGGTATCCAGCAAAGCGCAAAGCTGGTGAAAATACTAAAAATGGTACAAGAGTACCTGTCTACAGACATAGGTACAGGTGAACGATTTGATCTGCAAAACCAGGGACTATGCGGAAAACTTGATTTTTCACCACACGCCGTAGAACGATATGATTGCTCAATATTGTCTGGGATGGCATACAACGGAAAATAGGTGTCCCTTTTCAGGTTTCATTCTTTACCGAAAGTGTGCCTTTGTATGGTCACACCACATACCTACCATCGGTAGCCGTCCGTTCCGATCATGAATGCACGCCCGAGCTCTATGGACGTCATCACGGTCAGGTGCCCTGACGACAGACACATCATCGCTCGGCACCACCAACCAACCAACAAGTAGACAAGCAAGCAGGCGAACAGACTCAATGTAGGACGGCCAATAAATAGGTAGATACTCGGCATGTTGCCCAACTCTCTATCCTTTCCAATCTCTTCTTGCCTTTCAAACAACCAGTCTAATCATACCAATTGTCCACCAGTAGCGAGTGGCTTGCTTGCTTGCTTGAAGCCCTCACAAACCACATATCGTCACACAGACAAATAGACAGATAAACAAATCGGCTAGTATACACCACCGCCAACATGGTTTTGACCGGCCTTGCATCCATCATCCTCCGCGCCGCGGAACTAGTATTCGCTACTATTGTCGCGGGTATCAACGGATACTACCTCCATCATGTCCAGAACGCATCAAGCTGGAGCCAGGGACGCTTCATATACACCGAAGTCGTCGCTGGCATTGCCATTTTCTTTTCTCTCATCTGGCTAATCCCCTTTTCGTCGGGCTTCATCCACTACCCTCTCGACTTCCTCATCTCTATCACTTGGTTCGTCGCGTTTGGCCTGCTGGTGTCGGTAAGTCAAAGTCATACAGTCTCCCGAGACAAGGATACACGGAGCAATGTACTAATTTGACGTGACATTCTAGTACCTCGATGGTGCATGCGGTGCCGTCTTCAACTGGTCTAATATTGCTTTCCGAAACAACCAGTGCGGCGAGTGGAAGGCTATCATTGCCTTCTCTTTCCTCTCCGCTATCTGCTGGCTCGTCTCGGGTATTGTTGGCATCATCTGGGTTCGTGACCGTGAAAGTCGAACCTACCGCCGTCGTGCTTGGAGCAGCCGATCACGCGTCTAAAGCTTGCAGCATGCAACTCGACAATGTAACAGTCTCTACCTCACGTTGAGCCGCGACCGTTTATACCCTTTGGATTATGGCATAATGAATATAATGAACTAATGGAACTAAAACATACGAGGTGGCGGGATCTGGGGCGTGATGTTAGTAATCTGCTTGGCGTTGGATATCGGCGACAGTAGTTGATGACACTTTGCTAGCTAGTAATTGATACCCTGATTTTAAATGGTTTACTTTCGAGCATGGATGAGAACTTGAGATTTATGATAACCAAATTTCGATTACGGATTGTACTATCTAGCTTAGTGGTGGTAGCCTTATGGGAGCGGACCAATTCATAGGAAGGCATGGTCTTCATCCTAGCCACCAAGGGAGAAGACGATCAGAGAGAATCTCCCGAACCGATCAGTAAAGCATACACTTGGGTCATTCAAACTTCGTGACTACTAGTGTGAACGAGTCGAGAGGTAGAAACCTCTGTGGCAGTGTTAGGAGAGGGTCCTCCTGTTCTTGACCAAACTATATTAACTACCTCAGCTCCGAACCGTCTCAGCATGCCCGCAGTCATGTGCCATTGATTGGCTCAATTAGATGCTTTACCTAGATTGCTTATGGTTTAAGAGAGGACAAAGAATAAATCAAGCGAGCAAGTAAACAAGGCAGCTAGCCGGGACCCGATCGTTCATTCTTATTGCCTGTTACGTGTCGGCACACAATCCCGTGTTACGGGATGTTGGATGGTCTATGACGACATAAAAGGTGAAGCGGCATGTTTGCTATGGCGTAGGTGACGCCACAACCCCCGTCCTCAAACGTCACCAGCCACACGCGAGAACGTTTTTATGGGGCAAATGAGCCGCATCTGGACAATCCCTGCCTCAGATCAGTTTCCTCACAAGGTATAGTACATGTACTCGGTAGAATGAGCTCAACCGTTAGTGAACTCCTATCAAGAATCGGGTTGGTCTAGCTGGGCCAGACTGGGCCCTATGTTGTAAGGCACCGTGACTGAGCAACGTCCCCGCGGCTAAACATCACGATCTACAGTAGTGCGGACGGAAATAGTAGAACAGCCAGCTCGAATCATCGAATCAAGGGAGACAGTGATGTCTTCAGTACGAGGCTCCCGCGCGCAAACTGCCTCGTCGAAAGGGTACCGGTACTTTCAACGTCTCCCCTAGCGTTGGTGACACGGCCCCGGAGCGTGAGCGCCTTGGGTGCAGAATGATGAGGTCATGACGACAATTAAGCTCAGGGCGAGACGTCCGACGTCCTTAGAGCTTCAACTCCAGTACTGTCCAGGCTTTGTCAAGCTATCTTGGTAAGGCGTGACTAGCTAACGTCGGTTCTTACGTATAGCTCTACCTGTCATTCTCAGGCACGACTTAGAAGTCCCTTGTTGAACCAATCAAGGGTCCAGAAAGGGTCCAAGTAGCCCTTCGTATGCTGGAGGCAAGAGATCTAGATCCACGTATGATGACATCGCCAATGATGTGAGACTGCTCCATCTGCCGTGTAAGGAAACAGATAGGATTCACTATCCTTCAGGATGTCTATATAACACACCGTTTCCCGAGACTTGAGGAAAATATTCTAATCCTCAGAACCATACTACAACAACAAAACAACAAACACAATACCAAAGCATCAAAAGCTTCTCCTATATCAACACACTTATAATATCTTCTTCACAACACCTACATCTATCCAACATGTCTAGCATCGTCAACAAGGTCAAGGAGGCCGTCTCCGGTCACCACGATAAGTCCTCTGCCCCCGAGGGTACTTACGGCACACACGACAGCCGCACTGCCAACGCTGCTGACCCCAGAATCGACTCTGACCGTGACCACCGCGCTGCTCCCGGCTCAACTGTTGGTGGCACTCACGACTACACAACCGGCAACAACTACTCTCACACTGGCCCAACCTCCGGATACTCTTCTGGAACCACTGGTGCTTACGGCTCATCTCGTGAGGGTGAGTACGGTCCTCACGGGTCTCGGATGGCCAACGCTGCCGACCCCCGTGTTGACAGCGACCGCGATGCCAGCCGCACTGTAGGTGGAAACAACTACGGCAGCTCTGCTACCCACGGCACCACCGGTGCCTACGGTTCAACTGGTACTTACGGCTCTACCGGCCGAGAGGGTCCTCACAGCTCCAACATGGCCAACAAGATGGATCCTCGCATTGACTCTGACCGAAGCGGCCAGCGCATGGGCAACACTGCTGGTGACTACTACGGCAGCGGTCGTGAGGGCGAGCACGGCCCTCACCAGTCCCGCCTTGCTAACGCTGCCGACCCTCGCGTTGACAGCGACCGTGATGCCAGCCGAACCGTAGGCAACACTTACGGCAGCTCTGGAACCCACGGCACCACTGGCGCTCACGGTACTCACGGTGCTACACACGGCACCCACCAGCTCGGCGGCAACTACGCCCCTGGCCCTGCCCCCCACACTGCCGGTCCTCACAAGTCCGATGCCATGAACAAGGCCGACCCTCGCGTCGACTCCGACCTTGACGGCAGCAAGACCTACGGTGGCAACAAGACCTATGGAGTGTAAGTTTGTACGACTACCCTGATTTACCCCAGTACGCACCAGTCTGGACGGATATGCTAACACTATTCCAGTGACGAGTCGAGATATAACAAGGATCCCACGGATGCTGCCCAAGTACCTCCCTCAGTCTTGCAGGAGACAATTGGCCGGCCCTCCGTCGAGCACAACGACCGCCACCACAACCGTGAGCGTCGACACAGCTTGGCGAACCAGGAGACGCACCGCGGGCTATAAATTAATGAAGGATTATAATGAAGTTATGACCACATTGTCTCAAGCATCGAGTACCCTGTTAATTAATGTACAATAAAATTTTCTACAATTGAACTGTTACAAAAAGTTTCTTCCGAGTAATCTATGATATTGTGATTATAACGATGTGAACTTTGCAATATTCATATTGCGCAATGCTTGTTTTTACTCCTGGGAGCGTCAAATTCGACCCTTGAGAAACGTCGAATCAACATTTTAGATACCTCGTAAGCTCCTTCAACTACTTATCCTAATGTTATCGACGATCTTATCTACCTCTACATTTACTAACTGCCGAGACTCTTCTTTACAAGAAAGTCTCTTCCAAAGTCGATGGAGAGTACCTGTGACGACTTTGCACCCTGCAAATGCAATTATGTCTGCTTTATGAACAAATACAGCATTATAACCTTTCTCGAATACCTAGAGTCGCCATCTACATGTTCCCGAACAGACACTTGATCTAATTCTCAAGACACGAAGGAAATCAATTACTACTTGTCAGTACAAGCGTGATATAATACCTGATTTATAGTTCTTCCTGTAGTGTTAAGATAAAATGCGATATGCTAAGTAGTGCATGCGCGTACTACGAGGTATTACCAGGGACAGTAAATACTTGGGCATATCAAAGATGATATTAATCGGCTCTGACAATGCAAGCTATTCACGCATTACATTAGGTAGGTATGCTCCATCGAGGAACTTCCCTCATCTAAGCTAGGGGACGATGAACTCGGTGCCGCACAAAGGCATGTCGCGAATGGGCCACGGATCATTTGAATACTACGTTAGCCAGACCTGTGATTACAATTTGTAAAGGTGTCCTCATGTCCAATGTACAGCGTTGTAAACTCAGAAGTGCCTGCAGCAGATAGATAGATAGCTGCAAGACACCAAGGACACAGCAAACCCGCATAACCATGGGACAAGCTCATTACAATATCACCAAACCCACGACAACATAGTCCACTGCATGGAAAACCAACGAACAAGGTATCATTGATCAGCTCCCTAGGGCTATGGACTTGGTTTAGCGTGTTTCCCTCGGCAGTTGTGTGAGATAAACGGAGTAAAGCCATGTCGATCACTGTCAGACCAGGCCAGGCCGGCGGTCTACCGTAAGTAAAACTGACCGAGCCCGCGGTCAAGTTCGGAAGGGAAGGAAACAGTAGGCAGGTAGGTTAGGTAGGTAACCCAATACCTACCACTACACACCACGCTGCGCCGCGCCGTGAGGCAACATGTGTTACTCTCGGATGGTACAGCCGGTATTATGGAGGTATGTAATGTAGTGCAGTGCAGCGCAGTGCAGTGGTGTAGGTAACACCTAGATAGATACAAGTCCAACTATGAAAGGCTCATCCGCAATCCCATCACACCATCGACAATCCAAAGCCTGGGGAATTTCGTATTCCTCGATTCCCTCCCATGCTGCTCTACAGTAGGCAGACAAGGACTTGTGTAGCAGTGACTTTGAATGTTTCCTTACCTACTTAGGTAGCTACATGTGCCTACCATTCTCGCTAGTCCTCAATACCTACCAGTGGTAAATAAAGTATTTCCCTTTCAACACGAGAGGTGGGGTAGCAGGGTGTGAGAGGAGAGGAGAGGAGGAGGTGGAGGTTCTCGGAGAATCCCTTGCCGAAAAGAGGCACAGTACTCACCAGTTGGATACCTACGATTCGCTTGTTGTGCAGACAAAGCAGGGAACCCAGGCGTGTTATGGCTTGCAGATAGATTGGCCTTGGCTTACTGTGATATGCCATGCCATGCCATAGCATTCTAGCCCATACCAGACAGTAGGTAGGTAGGTAGGTAGGTAGGTTATACGACTCGGCGCAATGCATAGAGGTGTAAAAAAGCCAAGCCAAGCCAACAGGCAAGACAAGAGACAAGTCGTGCTTTGAATACTTCCCTACCAACTCTGCTGTAGACATGTAATATACCGCACCAGCAGCAGCAAGCTAGCTGCATCGATTGCAACATTGTGACAACTCCCAATAGCTAGATATGCAGCTTTAATTACGTACCTACAATCTAATCAACGCCCCATCACCTATCTGATGATGATAATAAGAATTACATAAGGAGAATCCACGATATCTACCCAGGCAGGCAGGCAGGCCCATCCTCTCTCGAGTACTTAGATAGGTGAGCTGAGCTATTCGTTGGACCCCGAAAGAGAACTCTGCCGTCACGGTACCTAATTACCTACCTACCTACTTACTCCAGGGCGGAGATCCATACATGGTGACACAATAGGCAGGCGAGTAACTACCTACTTAGGTAGAGGTACGGTAGGTAGGTAGTAGTATGTAGATGAGTGTAATAGTTTACAGCTAAGCCTGGGCGGTAGGCACTTTAGGTAGTAGGTAGTAGTAGTGTTCGGCGATTAAAAGAAAGCTTATATACAAGCTGCCTATTTCAATACTTACCTTACTTAGAATACCTACCGAGTTAAATAAAAAGGTATCTCTATCTCGGCTCATTTAAATCGTCGTCCTCATCTTCGCCCTCGTACTCGTTGCCCAGGCACTTCCCTATTTAGGACGGAGCGCATTCTTTCCATTTCAAAAAGGTAATTTAATTTTATTTTCAATTATATCTTTTTTCAGCTGCACTAGAAGAGAAGACGAAGCCGCGTGAGCTGGGTACCCCCTTCGAAGGAAAAAAAAAACCGCCCAATTATAGGTCGAGAGAGGTAAACCCTCGGTGTATCTGTGTGTGAATGGGCCGAATGGATGACCTACATCTTGTCGTCTCCCTCAATGCTCACATAGATTTTCTGTGATAGATCATTTTCCCGGGATCATTCGAGATGTTGTGAGAAGAGGCGAGAGCCACCCCTGGCTGAGACCAGGTCATGGGACAAGCCATATCTGCCGCGAATCTGACCTCTTTTCCTTGAACTCCCCACTCTGTAAGGCATCATCTTGAACTAACGAAACCATCATACGGTAGCAAATAGCAAATGAGGTTAACTTGGCAGTACCTCTTTTTGCTCACTCAGGCCACGCATTACACCGAGAATGAGAGGGAGACGACGCGAGAGAGACAATGCAAGTTGTCCACACGCTAAGTAGCCCTGTCCGTAAATTGCCTTTTTACAAGAGGCACACAGACTGAGATGGGGAGAAACGTGGAGCAGATCTAGAACGACCTATTTTGTCCTGGTCTGCATGATTGCCGCATGGGGTCATGCAATCCTAGTCTAAAACGGAACAGAGACACCCATTCACAGCACCACAAACAGTAGGATCTGTACCAGATAAACCCTCTTTCCGGCCAATGCACGGCAAAAAAACGAAAAAAACAGAAAAAGAAGAAGCACATTTTGACTAGCCTGGCGCCCGCTAGCGACCAACCAATACGTGCAGACCTTCCCAGGTACGGTAAAACGAAAAGCGCTAGTCGGGCCATCGAATGTCCATGTCGTTATGGAAATCGTAGACCGTAGAAATAGGTAGAAGGGATGAATGGCCTATCGCACCCAGAGAATACCGCAAAAGGGTGCGAGACGGCCCTGTCTTCCCTCCTCCGCAACGGGACGCACTGGGCCAAGCCTAACCTGCGTCTTTCACCTTATATCTCTTGTCCTGTCCCCCTAGGATTTGATTCGATAGCCTTTTCTTTCCCCGCCTACCCAATATAACCAATCTCTCGCGTTTATCAGAACGCCTCACACCCTACTCGCATTTCGCCAGTCCGCATTGCCGGAGGTGAGATGTTTTTTCACTTGATTAGCGGTCGCTCGAAACAACTAAAGTGTTGTTGCTCCCTAAAGGCGGAAGAGGCCTCTCCTTCGATCTAATGGTCGGACCGTCCGGCGCGGACACTACGCTTGCCTCGGTCGCCGGGTGCTCGGAGACTCCACTAGACTCCCAAGAACACGGCAATGTGGCGAGCAGCCTGAGCACGGAACAGGTGTCCCGACCCGTCTCTCACCCGGCCGCGACGTCCAAACCCGGGCACATGCAGACATTATGGATTCTGAGTAAGCATCCCAAGAAAGATTTTTTCTTCGTGTTGCGACGGTTAGGCGAGATTCGCTTTACCCCCGCCTTCCGGTATTGTTGCGCGGATCCCGAGTTACTGCGGGCGTACAGTTAGACAGGTTATGACTAACCAGAAACGTTGGAAGTCTTCAAGGGTCAGCCACAGGATCTCCAGAGCACGCGAGTCACAGAATTGTATATCACCTTCGATGAAGATGAAGGAACAAATGTCACGATTCAGATGCAAGGGGAGTACCCGAATTTCAGGCCGCATGAGGAATGGAATCAACCGTTGCCATGGATGAGACCGAACTTCTATCGGCGGCTAGCTGTCACATCGTTCATGACGACGGGAAGGGAGTTGAACATGCGCGTGCGAGACGCCATTTGGGACACGCCGATAAATAATCCGGAACTGGACTACACGTGCCAGAGCTGGGTGGGAGATGTCGGTGAGTGCTTTCCCCAGAGGTCGCCCCATCCTTATAGAATCCTTCGTTTTTGTCCCGATTTCTCGTCCACCTTCAGAACATGAGGCATGATTCCTTGAACCTATAGCCTCACGAGCTGTTTCTATTGCCGAGAGGACGACTGACCTGTATCTGTAGTTACGATGCTGCAAGAGGTGAATCTAATCACAGCCGAGGAGGGTGATAACGCCCTCAATGGGATGGTCAATTACATTTCACAGGCACCCTGGCGGTAGTACTCAACGTGGACTCATGATGATTAAAGTGATGATCCGGGTTTAATGGCATTTCGTCGATGACGCCAGGCGACGCAAAGTTGGCAGAACGTCTGGAAGGAACGCTACCGAGGACATCGATGTCGTCGAGCTTGAAATCTCTGTGGTTAGGAGAGTCGGGAGATGTCTGAACAGACGAAAGCATAGGCAACATGAGATGGATTGAGGAAGAGCTCGCATGTCCAGCACACGAAGGACAGAGATGGGGTGAGTATTTTGTGGCAGCCGGCGCCTAACGGGTTGAAACTCGTAGCGGAAGCCTCGCAGATGCCCCGGAAGTGCATGTCCTACATCTCGGCAGTGCTGGAAAGAATAGATATTTGATATATGAGGGGAAACAGAACCACGCAAACACGAGGCGGATCTGAAGATAAACGAAAGGGTGAAGATAAGATACAGCCGGGGAAAGCCGCAGGTCAGACTCTCGTTGGCTCGAGAGTAAGTAATCATCCAAGGCCCAGAGCGATCATAATACAATTCAACAGTCGATCAGTATCATAATATACAGGACGGTAGCGATCAATGCATATTCTGTCGACGAGATTCCAGCGGTTGTTTGGAACACCTGAGAGCTAGGTACTTAATAAGACGCCTCGGGTGACAGACATCACAGGGGAACCCGCTCGTTGGTCTCTCCGTAAATAGAGAGCGTGGTAGAAGAGGCATCGCTGAAAGACCTGTCTGACAATGTAAAAAGGATTCAGTCTGAAGCATACCGAGGTAAGGTTTCGATTCCCCTATTGACGCCGCATAGCACCTGGGCACCGTCACACATCTCCTTTGTGACCTGTTGGGGAAATGGGGCTCGCTTCTGGCGGAGTGTGGCCATGCCATGAAAGAGGAGCTTCAAGGTTGCCTCTTGGCAGAATGGGCAAGGTGGATTCTGAAAGAGATGTGGCTTACGCGCTATCCCTGCGCACCTAGCGCAACGCCTGCAGCAACAGTAGGTATCCATTTATAGGTGCCTAGATACTGTACCTAGCGGACACCTTGCCATTAGTGCTGCGTTAGACGCGGCAGGACTTCAGTGAGCGCCAGCAGCTGATAGAGCCCATAGAACCCACTAATTCTGTTTAACCAGCGCCTCTGCTCCTACCTACAGAGCCCCAGAGCCCCGAGCACTGTGGTAAATATAGGTAGGTAGTATCCCGGTCCTGCCTGCTGGAGTGAGGCTACGTAAGCATTCCTAGCAGGCTGCGACTAGGTACCACACCCCAGACGTCCGGGTATTCATTCACACGAGTCTCCAAACATCCAAAGAGACCACCTCACTATCTACTTACTGTCTACTTTGCGTCCCTTTCTTACCCCCTTCCCAACGTCTCAGCTGTCGGATCCATCTCAAACCAGAGCCGGGGAAAAGGTTCCTCTTATATCCATGGACAGATGATCTCGGGTTCAAAGGTCGGGATCGTACTGAATACTACCGGCGACAAGACAGCCCGCCGGCACGCCACTCGCCATGGCTCCCCTATCGCGCTGGAGCGCCGCTCTGTGCGCTCTGGCATCGTCCATCGGCTTTGTCCAGGCCGACCCCTCTGCGGGTGACTATTATGTCCATAGCCTGCCTGGCGCTCCCGAGGGAGATTTGGTTAAGATGCATGCTGGGTGAGTAGCTTCTGGCTTCACCTGTCCTACCCCTTTGCCTTCTTGCGTCTTACTAACGGAATGGATTAAGACACATCGAAATCACCCCCGAGCACAACGGAAATATGTTCTTCTGGCACTTCCAAAATAAACACATCGCCAACAAACAACGCACCATCATCTGGCTCAACGGAGGACCTGGATGTAGTTCCGAAGATGGCGCTATGATGGAGATCGGCCCTTATCGCCTGAAAGATGCCGATACTCTGCAGTATAATAACGGTAGCTGGCACGAGTTCGCAAACCTACTCTTTGTCGACAACCCCGTCGGTACCGGCTTCAGCTACGTCGACACCAACAGCTATGTTCACGAACTTGACGAGATGGCCTCTCAGTTTATCATCTTTCTCGAGAAGTGGTATAAGCTATTCCCCGAATACGAGCACGACGATGTGAGAATCTTGGCTATATCATAATCATCCAGAGTTTTGCGCTAATGTGATGTGAACAGATATATATTGCCGGAGAGTCTTATGCTGGACAGCACATCCCATACATTGCTAGGGCTATTCTCGACCGGAATCAGAAGCTTGAGACCACAACGCCATGGAACCTCAAAGGTGTCATGATCGGCAACGGTTGGATAGCTCCTAACGAGCAATATGAAGCATACATCACTTTTGCCTATGAAAAGGGAATTGTTAAGAAGGGCTCGGAACTCGCAAATAAGCTTGAGGCCCAACTCCGGGTTTGTCGGAATGAGCTGGCCCTGACAAATAGCAACAAGGTCGGCAACAAGGCCTGTGAAGAGATTCTCTCTGATATGCTTCGTTTAACCCAAAAGAAAGGCAAAAACGGCGAGAACCAGTGTGTCAACATGTACGATGTCCGTTTGACCGATTCGTACCCCAGCTGTGGTATGAACTGGCCACCTGATCTTCAATACGTTACGCCCTATCTGCGCAAGAGCGAGGTTGTGACAGCATTGCACATCAACCCCAGCAAGAACACGGGTTGGACCGAATGCAATGGTGCAGTTGGCATGGCGTTCAGTGCGCAGAAGTCCGAGCCAGCTGTCAATCTCCTACCCGGCCTTCTCAAGGAAATCCAAGTTCTGTTATTTTCCGGCTCTGAAGACCTCATCTGCAACCATATGGGCACGGAGGCGTTCATTGGCAATTTAGAATGGAACGGTGGCAAAGGCTTCGAGGTTTCCCCGGGTAACACGGCACCGCGACGTCCATGGACTTTTGAGGGAGATGCTGCTGGTTTCTGGCAGGAGGCTCGTAATCTCACATATGTGCTCTTCAATAACTCTTCTCATATGGTTCCCTTCGACTACCCTCGTCGGACTCGAGATATGCTCGATCGATTCACCGGGGTAGACATTAGCAGCATTGGCGGCCCCCCAGCCAAGAGTGAACTGGACGGAGAGAAGCTCCCAGACACAACAGTAGGTGGCGTGAGCAACCACACCGAAACAGACCAAGCTGCCAAGGACGAGGAGCTCAAGGCCGCCAAATGGGCTGCCTACCAAAAGTCAGGTGAGGTGGTCCTCGCGATCGTAGCGATCGGTGCTGCTATCTGGGGATTCATCATTTGGCGCGCCCGAAGACGCACAACTGGATACAGCGGGATACCGCTCATGGGCAACCAGAGCAATAGCAGCGGCAGCGGATTAGAAGGGTTCCGCAACAGGCGGACGGCCCGCGACATTGAAGCCGGCGACTTTGACGAGAACCAGCTGGACGACCTTCATGTCACCTCTCCACGCGACATGGACAGGAATCACTATAGTATTGGAGACGATAGCGATGACGACGACGATGACTCTTCCGTCCCTGAAAAGGGGACTGCGAAGGACGGCAAGGGCCCTGGGAAGTGACCACACTAGATTCGGAATTCGCGTACAAAAAGATGCATTCTTATTTTTTTCTTGTTGTTCTGTTATTGTCGAAGTTATGATGTATTTATCTATGTATATACACTCAATCAATCAGGTCGGCGTTTATGAATTTTGAACAAACCCTGTCTTTGCTGAGCCAGATATATTTTGCGAAAGGTCAATAACGCTTGCTTGCTCACTACTACCTACCTACTTACTTGCGGGTTAGATTAGTTGTCTGGGAGAGTTAATCCTTTTACGGTAGGACTCGTCAAGTAGATCTATCTATCTGTATATCTGTACACGAGCTATACTACTTACTATCAATACATACATGATAAAAAAAAAAGAAACGTGTGACAATAGGTAATGTAACTACTACCAAGAGATATATGTATGATGTATAAGAAGGATAGAAGATATACCAGTGTATATGTATCGCTGTAGGGCATGTGTACATCTATCATAAAATATGACTTTGTCGATCGTCGATCAATTCTATAACTCCTGAATAGACAATCCCACCCACTCCCTCAAACCCACAGAGTAGAAGATAGTTTCATCACAAGTACACACTCCATAAATTCACAATACCAGAAACAGCACATAAACAATTTCAATCGCCTTTATCAAATGCAAGCACTTTATTCACTTCCTTCCTTCCTTCCTTTCTTCCCTCCTGCATCACCGATTTGGGGGGGGGGGCCCCCGACCCCCCGCCGCCCAACCCACACCACAAAAACACACCAAAAAAAAAAAGAGCGAGCAAACACACAAAAAAAAAATTTCAAACCCCCTTTAAAAAATCAATCACTTTATTCACTTCCATCCTTCCCTCCTTTCTTCCCCCCCGCATTCCCCATTTCCCCCCCCCCCCCCCCCCCCCCCACCATTATATACACACTTTATACATACTCTCCTTCGAGAGCATCATGTCCAACAACAACAACAACAGCAAAGCCTTAAACCCCGACCCAGCTCTAATAAGCTCGCCACCTACGAATTCAACGCAAAACAGATATGAACGACCATTGTGGGAATCTTTAAAACATTAAATTCAGACCTTCCATCCATTTGTCATCCCAATCCATTTTGGCACCATACTCCGCGCTGCTGGGGAAAAAAAAAAAGTACAAATTTCGTAACAAAGCGTCATGCGAATAAGAAAAGGGGGTATAATTCGCTCATTCTACTCCGTGGGCTGGATGGGATTGGAGAGTAATATCATAACCATATTTTCATCCTTTTTGAAAGTCGCGAATGCATGCATCACTTCACTTCAGCTATAGCTGATGCGTCTTCGTCCACTCAATCATCATCGATTTCGATGACATTATGTTGCGCCGAAGCCTTATGAGAGGTAGCCGTCTTCGAATTGGCTCGCGCAGTGGCGCCGTCGTCGTCGCTATCAACATCGGTATCATCGTCGCCAGCCGGATCATTCGCTTGCCACGATCGATTGGCGTATACCGTGATGGACTTGGTCCGCAACTGATTGGCCTGCTCCAACTGACTGCGAACCTCGACAAGAAATTCATCGATGTAGAGACTATACGGGCGCGCATCGCCGTCACAGAACGGACACCTCCACTTATCCACGAACGACGGCTCTTTGGGGCATTTGCAATTAGGAACACCGCCACAGATGCATATCGACTTTTTCCCCAAGCGGGTATTTAGCCAATTCTCGAGATCGAAGCACTCCAGATGTTTACACGCTTTCCCACGTACAGGAACCTGAAAGGTCATAGCAGTGAAAGGGTCGGCAAGGTCAATGGAGATTCCATCGTTAGACATCTCGAGGTCATTGTCGTCTCCATCCAGGCCTGACGAACAAGTAGCTAAACGGTTCTGGATCACCTCCCAGGTTTCGTTCGCAGGTCTGTTTCCGGACACGCGCACCATATCAAGTATGGCACTATGGCTTAGTACTTCCACTATCTCCACAGCAATATACGGGGTCTGCTGTTTACGCTGCGCATTTGACTGGAGAAGGGCGACGGACAATGTATTCTCACCCTGATGTATGAATGATGAAAGTTCAACGGGGAGGTCTTTCGAATGGTGTTGTTTGCGCATCACTTCTAATGGCTGGTTATCCAAGCTCATGAAGATCTGATCCGGCCAAGTTGTATCCGACGTTACCCAGTCATGATCGGGAATGGGGCCAGTAGCCATGGGAAAACAGCAGCACCTTGCACGAATACGAAGAGATCCGCTCTTAAACCGATTTACGAGAAGCACTTCGCCCGGCACTCTCTCGTTTAAGGTGAGTTTTTCAACGATTTTATCTGTAACATTGAAAGAGAACTTGTATAAACCCCCTTGTGGGGTAATCGGAGCTGGCTCAAGCGCAAAACTTTTAATGGCCTGGTAGTGTCTTTCAGGCGATCCAGCGTACAATGTCTTCAGGATACGCTTTGGGCTGCGTAAATGAGCCTGGTGAAGAGACATATCGGCAGACCTCTTCTCATAAGGTGTATGAGGATATTCTTGGAGATTTATCCTCTGGTTAGGGTGAACTGGAAACAGTCTCTCAACAGCTGGGTTCGGTTGTCGCTGTAACGCAGCAACTGCAGGAGGCTGTACATTGAATGGTTGAGTTGTATTCACGACCTGGGGAGAGCGCGATGGGTCAACAAGACCCGATTGTTGCGCTATAGCCGGATATCCTAACACTTGATGTGAATTCATAAAAGGTGCGGGAGAGACAGGTTGACTATTGATGTTTTGTGGTTGGGTGTGCCTCGCCATGGGGACTTGACCTGGTAGTACACGTGTTGCTTGGATTGGAGAAGGCCGTGGACTTGGTACTGCTCCAGGCTGAGATCGCTTCCTCTGTACAAATTCCAGGTGCTGGAGCTGTTGAAGCTGCTGTGGCAGTGGAGTATACTGTTGTTGCTGTTGCCAATCAAGCTGCTGCTGCTGAAGACGTAACTGCTGCTGAACCTGATATTGCCGGGCTTGATCCTGGAGTTGTTGTAAATGAGAATTTTGTTGCACATAAGGATTAAGAGGCCCATACTGTCCGTGCTGTGAGACATTGTGAGACGGGTATGGGGACGTTGGATGAGTTGGAAAATTATACAACTGGGGAGGAAAGGTTGCAGTTGTATTTGGGATCGCCATAGGTGGCGCGGCAGCTATCGGAGAGTAGGTGGGTGAAGGTGACTGAATATTTTGCCCATTACCGGAAACTCTCCTCCCGGCACTAGTTGCTGATGGCGCCGGCCTGGGTGCCTGGGCCATATCGAATTGGAAGTATTCACCAGTGAGCGAAGGTGACGAGGTGGCGGAGGAGTGGGCTGTTGACGCAGGAGGTATGGACGGGCTATGGCTCGAACGCCTAGACGTAGTACGCTGAGCTTTAGCTGCGGCAACGAGGGACTTATATCTTTGGACTAAACTATTGTTATACTGCTCATAAGCTGGCCCCTCAAGCCGGAGCGAGCAGGTCCCATCCTCGGGATTCCAGTGCTTCTCTTGATCAGCCCTGAACACCTCTTCCAATCGTTTGCCGGCATGACTATCCGGAACACCTAGCGTTCTTCTAGATGCTCGGAACACAATAGATTGCAAGAGTGGAGAATGCAGGTTGAACGTGTTGATCAGTTCACTCATTAGCAAGGGATAGCCTTGTGATAAGTGGTCATGGTTGACGATTGACCATCTTTTGGACACGCAGATCAGAAAATTAAGGACTTGATTTATTGTCTGGGCGTAGAACCGATCGTGTTGTAATGTGAGAAGCGGAACAGGGAAGTCCGCAAACCATTGTAGGAGAGGTACTCTCAGCTTTGAATTTGCCTTAAGAATCGTCCCCATAATTCCAAAGGCGTTATCAATAAGAGAGGTATCGTGAACCTTCTCATCACACAACGCATGGACTAAAATTTGGCTCACCGTCCATGAACAAAACAATTGGTGCAGTGCAACGAAGAAAACATCACCCTCGCGACATGCTCTGTATAAGAGAAAAAAGCGTGGTCGCTCAATAACCTCTTCTAGTGCTTGCTCCCCACCCATCTCCTGCAGATACGCACTTATTTTGCCTTTAGCATTCTGAGCCTCGAGACAAGCAATGGCACCGTTCCTAGAAAGCCTGGTATTAGTTACGTATTCTCAGAGCGGCCAATATGGTTCAAGCAATGGGGGTCGAGGCGTACTCGTATCGTCGCCTCTTCGATGCTCGAAGCAGAGACGTATCTGCTGGCACGGAACCAACATTTCCAGCGGCTGCCACAGTTGGAGTCTGCGTATGATCGGCCATCTCTTCAGGTAACGGAGCAACAGGCAGTGGCTGCATTTGGAGTGGCGAGGCACTCCGGCCGTTTTGTGGCAGAGAGGTAGGGACTCGGCTCTGAGGCGAAGATAGAGGGCGAGTTACATCGTCATTGAGCACAAAATGAGCCTCGGTGGTTGGAGGGTTGCTGTGAGGACTAGCTGGACATGCGTTTCCAGTGTTAGGTCCTCCACGAAGTAGTGATAAGCGTGGGCTAGGTTCGTCGCTTGCGGCTGGCGATGGTAGAGCGGGGTCGGGCGGCGAGGTGCTACAATAAGAGTACAATTAGCTACAAAGGAAATCCCATGCCAAATGAGAGTGGTAGCATGACAAACAAGCAAACGCTTTTAGGTGGGAGGGCGGCTTACGAGAGACGTGGTGGGCCTGCTGCCGTAACCGGATGGGGTGGCTGCGAGGACGCAGGCCGTGAATGTGCAGATGCCGGCAGTGATGGTGCTGGCTGATCTGATGATTGGGGCTGTTGTCGAAGGTTATTCTGTGATGGGTGACGAGGTTGAGGTGAAGGTCGTGACGGAGGGGGTGGTTGAAGTTGAGGTTGAGCCTGAGCCTGAGGCTTGGGCTTGGGCTTGGGCTTGGGCTGAGGCTGAGACTGCAACGATGTCGTCTCGGTGGCCGGCGTCACAGCAAAAGGGGCGGCGACATTAGTGACGGATGGTGGTCTCGCAGCAGGACGGGGAGTGGGCTGGACGGGCGTCGCGTTGGCCAGCCATGAAGGTTGTCGACGACCAGACCAGGCATTCAAGGTGGAATTAGCGGCGGCGACTTGACGTCCATCAAGAGCTGAGGACAAGGCAGGGCTCTGGCCGTGGCCTCTACTCTTCCCCGGCCCAAGGCTGGCGACTGTGCCTCCGACGGGCGCCATCGAGGCATGCGCAGAGTCTCGTCAGCGGAGGGAGGCATCCACCCAGGGTTGGTTGGGTGGAGGATGAGAAACCGGGCCGGCCGGGATCGAGCTACCGGTGTTTGTCTGGAGCCTTCATTAATGGGTCCCCCCCCACGACGTGAACCGGGTTGGCACACGAGTGCAAGTCGATTGATCTGCCTATTGAGGACAAACGAAGCTGGGAGAAAACGGTTGACAGGTTTGAGGCACTTTCTCACTTCAGCTGTCCTAGGTTTTATCTCATGTTTCTTGTTAGGAATCAAGCATGTGCACATGTGCAAGGGGTGAGGTAGGTCGAGTTATCTAATCGCTAAGATTCCGTCACTTCGATCAGTCAGTCTTCAAATGTTGTTGGTAACACATGCATAATATATTATTGTATTTGACCATAGGTAGTCTACTAGATGATTATACCAGTGATATATCCTATGCAGGCTACTTGTGCCAAAGCCAAAGCATCATGAGGTCCCAAACCTTGAATGGTCCCCATTCCGTATTATAAACCTAGGCACACAATGGAGGTATACCTATAATCACACATTCACACACATTCACACACATTGAGACACATTGACACGCAATACTTTGTAGACACGAATACCTATATATATTCCCGCTTCCATAGGTACGTGAAAAGGTACATGGTCGCATCCTGTGTCCCGCAACCTTGTTTTCCTCACGCCCCGGTACGTATTCAAGATGTCTGCCTCCCACCATTCCAAGATCCCGAGATCCCAAGATCCTACACTCTGGGTTTCACACCTCTGGCAACAACATCGTCATTTGACGCTCGGTCGCTGGTGGGCAAGCAAGGTGCAACATGGATTCAGCCAAATGCAGATGTAAGTTGGACAGGATCGATTGAAGTTTCCCCTGGGGTATACCTATAGTCCTGATTCACTGCCATCATCATCTCTGTCTGACCTTCACTCTGAAGTGCTACCGGTATCTCTAATATACCTATATATAGGTCCCTGTATTTATACCTAGGTATATATAAGTATAGTTATACCAATAATATTGTACTACATGCACTTCACTTTCCCAGAATGGCGGTCTATGGACGTGCGAGTTGAATGGATGGGTTGTGCAGTGCCATGGTTCTGGTAAGCTGCAGTCACGTAGCTACAACCGTATCTTCGTCTTCGGGCTTACCATGCCACGTACATGTAGGTAGATATATGAACAATTTGAAGTTATTAGTATCCCTACTGAACACCAAAACAAATCAATTCAATCGATGCCTTCTAAGCTTGGCACTTAATCCAAGCATATGCGCTATCTGCTATCTATACTTACTATCAGTATATGATTAGGTTGGGTAGGTATATACGAGGTACCTAAGGCTTCCAGGCAGGTAAGTGTGGTAGCTGTAACTGTACCTAGGTAGGCAGGCACAGTGGGTGGCCACCTATAATTCTCGTTTTCCGTTCCATCCACTCCAACCCCCTTGAAGACTCGAGACCGGTCAATATCAAGTGCAATTCGTCCAAGAGCCCATCCAACAGCTATTTTCGGTTTCATCTTATCCCCGCGCTCATCATCATTTGTTCGTAGTCACCAATTCGCTACAGAGGTAGGTAGCCTGCGTGTAGAGTGCACCCCCTCTGTAACCCCAGAAAGGGGTCCGACAGCTAAGAGGGGAAGGGGAAATTGACAGGCCCTTGACAGGCCCTTGACACGGCACGACGCGACCCCGACTCTGCCCGGCCACTCCCAACAGTCATAGCATACAGTAGCCATGGAGTGAGTCGTGACGAGCGAAGTTGCTTGCTGGCTTTTCGACTTACTTCTGTATCTCCGTTGATGGCTGCTTTCGCCTGAATATCATCCAAAGAGCCGAGGCGGTGCAGTGCAGTAAACGACGGTGGTGGCGGCGACGACGACGACGGTGACGGTGACGGGACGAGAAATGTCACCTCATCAACTGTGCATTCAAAACAACTTCATAACCTCACTAAACCTGTCCTCAGTCTAATTAATTACCTTATGCTAGGTGATGCGATGCGCCGGTGATATTATTTACTGCATGATTACACGATCGACACTGCCAGCACACGGACCTCGACAACATTAATCGGTATCAGCTTCAAGCACAAGCACCTGCATCTCGTTCTCGTTCTCGTTCCTCATCTTCTTCGCCTTCGTAATATACCAGCTTGACAGTTACAACCATAACTAGCATCGTGCATCGCCCATTTATTGTCCATTGTGGTCAAATCTACCCTCTTGCCAAATTGCCAAATACAGTCGACCGAATATCCATGCCACTTTCGCCACTCTCAACTTGGAACAATTTGTCCCCCAATCGGCCACGCGTGCAGTTACACATACACCAACCAACCAACCATCCACTACATTACTGATACGTATAGAGCGATACCAGTAGAGAGACATAGTAGAGGCCCACTCCTGTTGAGACCATCCCCTTAGGCCTTAGCCCACCCGTCGGAGGCGGCTAAGATTCCACTCCCTCCGCCGGCCGCTATCCAAACCACTCCCAGCTTCTATGGTTCATCATCATTTCCCCCCTCGCATCGCCGCGTAATTCCTCCCAACCCGACCTCGGCGTCGTCCGAAGCCCAGAATGGCATCGAGACCTCCTGCCGAAGGGCGTCCTGAAGTCGGCGATATCTTGGTCGTCATCCGTGAGTCTTGCCTTGCTACCGTTTCGTCACCTCTCTTCCTTTGCATCCTTGCATCCTTGCATCTTCCACCATGCGATTGATCATAAGCACTAACAGACGTCGCCATCGCTGCAGACGACTTCCAAGCAAGGAGCTCTGATGAATTGAGTCTGGCCAAGGGCGACCGAGTTGAATTAATCGAACGAGACGATGAGTTCGGTGATGGTTGGTTTTTGGGTCGCCACATGGTCAATGGGAATAATGGCCTGTTCCCCGAGGGTGCGTCCTCCAGCTTATTCGTTCTTCAATGTCGACTAAATGTTGCCCAATAGTCTATACAAGGGCAGCTCCCAAAGGTGTCACGGCGCCTGCCATCGTACCGAAGCCCACTCCAATCACTTCTAGCCCTCCTCCCTCTAATGGTACACTCACGGAATCGTCTCAACCGTTAAATCCCACTTCCGCACCCGCGCCCGTGCCTGCGCCGCACGCGACACCAAATCCCAATCTGACCCCTTCTCTACCCGCCGACCAGAGCCCGGTCACGCTTCCTTTAAGCTCCGCAAAGCAGGAGAGTAGGTCTGTTTCTGCGCCAACAGCACAGCTGGCCCATAAATCCCCCGGCCATGACGCTGCACATGACACCTCAGCGCACTTTAATCCATCATCAAATCAGGACAGCCAGGTTCTTCACGATACCTTGACCGTCATTAATGAACATATCACCGATCTACACTCGACCCCACCAAATGGCACCACGCACCATGCGACAGATTCTGGTAGCGAGTATAGCTCTCAGATGCAAGACCGGCTTTCATATATTCAGGGTGAAGAAACGGATGAGGAGGAAGACGCTCCGCATAGTCGTGCTGAGGTTGAATCCTGGACTCCTGATGATGTAGCCGAGTATCTGTTCACAATGGGAGTCGAGAAGAAGCACTGCGAGGTTTTTCGGGATCAGGAAATTGCAGGCGAAGTGCTCCTGGGCCTGGATCAATCCTCACTTTTTCTAAAGGCTTTCGATCTCGGCTCTGTGGGGAGGCGCTTGAAGACATGGCAAAAGATTAAGGCTCTACAAGATGAGGTGAACGGAGGTGGTATTGCCACGCGACGACAAACATATGGCAGCGATGCAGGGTCGGAAGATTCGAGGGCAACTGGTAGGAGGAGGAGCCGAACCAGCACTCTAACAGGCACGCAGAGGCTTCCACCTATTGACGATCGCCCGACATCCGTGCATGCCAAACGTCTGTCCCAAACCCCTCGCTTAGAAGCTATGACACCAAGTGGTCCCATTTCCCCCAAGGGACCTCTAGATAGTCCCACCAGGTCGAATCATCAGAAGAGGCCATCAGCAGCTTCTGTGCGGGATCTTCATCATTCACGAAGACATTCCTCCACCGACTTCAGAATTACTGTCAACCCTCCTGTCTCTACTGGCGGAACCCCTAAACTCTCCAACTCAGGGACCTTCCCACAGACGGAGACAAATCATAAAAAGCAACCGTCTTTTGATCGAAATTGGACAATGGGGGCCGCACCTATTGCGCATCCACCTCGCCCATTGTCTTCAGCGGGCTTCCAGGATATAGCCAACGGGTCCGAACCTGACATCTCCCAAGATTCTACTGCTGATCTTGACCGGGGCTATTTCTCTGGGACAGATGTGGATGGACGCCGACGTAACGTGCTTAAGAAGCGCGATAGTCTCGCTTCTCATGCTATACAGTCCAGCTATGCAGAACAGCAACGGGTCAGGAGTGCAACGGCACTATCTAGGCGTTCCCGGTACGGCAGTGTTGGTTCGACTCGAGACATGACCCCTCCATCGGCTGCACAGATGTATTACGGCACCGGTGACGATCACCGTCGAACCACTTCAACTACGACCACAGATTCATATCGGCCACCTCCACCAGCGAAAGATGGCCCGTCGCCAACTGTGACCAAACTTGACGGCGCATATAGTTCACCTACTACACTAGGTTCTCGGCAGGGAGGCCACGGCGACTGGCTATCAAATACTACCGGTAAGCTCACTGGAATTGGTGGACTTCGGGCTATATCTGATGCCGTCACCGGTTCCGAACGTTTGAAATTCGGCTCGCCAACTGAATCCATCAAGGATTCGCCATTGCAATCGCCGGCTAGGACAGGTTCTACTACTCCTTCGGGCGGACCTAGCTTTGATCTAGAATCTCCCGACGCTGGAAAGAGCCCCTACTCCACCACAACGGCCAGCAGTCGAAAGAGCGGGAAGAAGACAAAGAAAGAGACAAGCGCGTATTTACGCGGCCTGCAGAAAGTTGGCCCTAGAGAGGCAATGAAAGATGCAGACTATAGTGGATGGATGAAAAAGAAGAACTCGCACCTTATGACGACTTGGAAACCACGCCTCTTCGTTCTGAGAGGAAGACGACTTTCATACTATTACTCAGAAGATGATACCGAGGAGAAGGGTTTGATTGATATATCCTTCCATCGAGTGCTACCAGCTGATAATGAACGTTTGACTGGTCTGCATGCGACCTTGACTGGTGCTAGCAACACCCCAATGACGCCTGCTGACAGCAATCTTCACACCCTTGCTGAGAGTGATGCGGCGGCAGCGGCAGTTATCGAGAAAGGGACTGATTCAATGTTCATATTCAAGCTTGTGCCGCCCCGAGCAGGCCTTTCCAAGGCTGTCAACTTTACCAAGCCAACAGTGCACTACTTTGCAGTACCCAATCTCCAGCAGGGGCGGGCTTGGATGGCGGCGTTAATGAAGGCAACAATCGATCGTGATGAAAGTCAGCCCATGACTTCTACATACCAACAAAAGACAATTTCTCTCGCCAAGGCAAGGCAGATGCGTCACCGGCCACCGGCCCTGATGAATCTCGACGAAAAATTAGAAGAGAGCACGCAAGGCGACGACGAAAAGAAAGGTGGCTTAGGCATTACTTTTGGCGAGGTCGACAGTGCGGTGTCCGGCATAGAGAAGTCAGGAACCCAGAAACCAGCAGGAAGCGCTACAACCCTCAAATCGTCCTTTAACCACGAACCAAGCGACTTGTCCTTTACGTCGTCACCCCAAAGCGCCTGATCTGTAATTCTGTTCTGGGATGAACCCGGGCTTGCCACCTCTTCGACCAACTTCCAATATAGCATTGATGGCACACGATACAACGCCAACTACAAGAATCACGCCACCTGGGTCTTTGGCAAGCTAACTACCATGTCAATCTTTTTAGCGGCAGAGATCTATGTCCTACCATTCAAGTACTTGCTTCTCAAGTTGACGACCTGCTGCCGACGGGTGTACTTCTTGAAGATATGGCTGTGAGACAGAAATGGCAGACTGTGGCATCTTTTAATCCATAGCGGCGCGCGGCAACGTTGCTTGTCAGTAGAAATGAGTGAACGAGGGAGGTTCGTTGTGTATGATGGCGCTCTTTAATCTTCGTTTCTTTTTCTTTGTAATTCCCCCATAGCATATTTTGCACCACCATTTTGTGTGCTTACGAGACAAGGCAAGGCAAGGCAAAGCGGGGAGGCAGGTCTCCCTAGAAAGAGTCAATGGGAAAGGAGGGAATACCAATACGTTTTATCATCGAAACCTAGTACTTAGTTAGCAGCCCATAAATAAGTCTTAATACCTATATTTGTACGAGCAAAAGATTTGATCATTGTTGGATGTAAATGGGAGGTGAGAATTGCAGCTAACGCAAATCTCTCATATTATAACCTTCACAATCTAGACCTATCAACTCAGTTGAATCACGCTTTGGCATGGAAATGGCTTGGACGGGACCTCTCAATCTCCATGTTCGCGTGTAATCCAAACAGGCGGGGTCCCTGACTTCTGCTGAGTCTATCAGTCTGCTACTGCCACGACAGCCAATCCAATCACCGTATACTGAAGCACAAATCCATTGCGAAGTTGGAGAATATTTGACAGTTCCTTCTATATCACGGTTAATGCTGTTAGTAAGGGATAAATAGGACGAGCTTCCGTTATTGCCGCCCATAATGATTCAAGGACTTTGACTTGTCTATATACCTTTAGAATTCCTAGCTTCGGTGTCAGATTAGACTCCCTTGAAGCTACTCAACACCCTTAAATATGCTTGTACTGTTAGATTTACCGTCTTGTCCAAGTTAACTTCGTAAAGGGGTGAGTATAAGTATTCACGGGGTAACATTAAACCAACACGGAACAGATGATTTACATAGATACAACCTATCCAGGCCCTTATTCCATAGCGATTGACCTAAGCGAGATATTTTCTTCGGAATCCTATCGAATAGGAACTCTGCACAACTCCGAGGGTGACTATACTAATTCCCGATGCCCCTCACGTCTAGCCATATCTCACAGTTCCCATCATAAAGAGTTGGGGTATCATTGATCACGACGTTATACACTGTCTCAAATAAACCCCACATCCACACCAGGAAGGGCATCTCGCATGTTTAAACACGTGGAAACCACCACACCAACTGGTAGTCCCTGAAGACAAACATTCCATATCGGCCTGTAACTTGTCGATTTACCCGCTGGTGTCCAGGCCAACAGGCGCAGGTACCATGTGCCGAATATCATCACGATAGTAGCTTGGCTAATACCCGGCTGGGCGCTCATGCGAGCCTCTCTTTGCTGTGGCCGGAGAGCGGGTATACATGTTCCGACCCAACACCTCTTTCTCAACGGGATGTAATATCATCAACGGTCACACAACGAATTTGCGTTAGACCTCGGAGTGGCTGGATATTTTTCCAGAATAGTTAACTTCAAATTAAATCGAGATGAGAAAGTTCATACTTAGGTTTACTGATATAAGCTCACGGCCGCTCAGCTATGCCTCTTTCCAAGGGCTCTTAGTAGAAGCCGCCTAGCTGATTGAACAAAATGAAATCGAACACACAGAAAGGGATGTTTTCACGCGCGATAGCACTCGCGCTTTTAATCGCGGGTTACGCAGTTGCGGCACCAGCTCAAGCAACTGAATATGACTATGTTGTGGTCGGCAGCGGTCCTGGCGGCGGTACACTCGCGGTGAACTTAGCCAAGGCCGGATACTCTGTCTTCCTACTCGAAGCCGGTGACGCCAGCACGGCTACTGGCTTCGGTCAGTATCCGCCGGGTATAACATGGGACTTCTTTGTCAACCATTACCCAGAGGGAGACTCTAGGAATAACCAGTATAGCCATTTGACCTGGCGGACTCCTCAGGGTCGTTACTGGGTTGGACAGACAGGTGCCCCAACGGGCTCTAAGATCTTGGGCGTGTACTATCCTCGTGGTAAGCTATCATGGAACTCTGCCAACAGCTTCATTCCCCCCGTGATCGTGAACTAGTCAGAGGCTGACGAATAGATACAAAGGCGCAACCCTCGGTGGTTCCAGCATGATCAATGCTATGTGCACTTGGCTCCCTAGTGACAGTGATTGGAACTATGTGTACGAGATAACTGGAGACGCAACTTGGAAGTAAGCATACCTATACAGCCATTGTCTCAAACACATGCAGATGCTGGACTCGCTGACAACGTCTCAGAGCCGAGAACATGCGCAACATATTCACCAAAATCGAGCACAATAACTACATGGCGAAAGGCACAGCCGGTCACGGCTTCGACGGCTTCTTCCAGACCAACATGGGCTCCAAGCTTCAAGCCCAAGGCGGCCGCCAGTTGGTTGGCAACAAAGTCGCGGCAGCCTATGCATCTGATCTCAAGCTATCCATGTCGATGAATGAGCTCCTTCAGCGAGACCCCAACGTTCTATCTGCGGACCGCGACACGACGTCTAGTATCTACGGTTTGGTTCAGCACCAGTACAGTAACGGCGGCCGGTACAGCGCACGCGATTACATCCAAGCGGCGCAGAAAAACACCTCAATCCCACTCACGGTCTCACTCAACTCCCTTGCCACGCGGGTTCTCTTCGATACCACCGGCAACAAATGTGTCTCTTCCAAGGCCGACGTCCCACGGGCCACGGGCGTCGAGTATCTGGAAGGGAAATCACTGTACGCGGCCGATAGCCGTCGCTCGGCTAGCGCAACCGGAACAAAGAAGACTGTCACAGCCAGACGAGAAGTGATTGTCTCGGGTGGCGCGTTTAACTCGCCTCAGATCCTCATGCTTTCGGGCATTGGGCCTGCGGACCACCTGAAGCAGTTCAACATCACCGTGATCAAAGACCTGCCAGGCGTCGGACAAAACATGATGGATAATCAGGAGATGCCCATCGTTGGCTCTGGCAGCGCTGGCACAGGCGACGCCGGTGTAGCTATGATTCGGACTGCCCATGCTGCGCATGGCAACGAGCGCGACATGTTCTTGATGGGAGGACAGGGGTGAGTCATTATTCCACTTACATTACATCTCACCTACTTCTCACTCTTCTCCTCCAGCGAATTCGTCCCGCACACGACATTGAAACTAACGCAAAGCCAGCTTTCTCTTCCGCGGGTTCTGGCCCGATAACCAAACAGCTCGTCTGCCCGCAGAACCGGCCCAGCCGTACGGCGTAAGCATGGTGAAGGGATCCTCGGTGAACAACAAAGGATGGGTAAAGCTACGCTCCGCCAACCCGCAAGACACGCCCGATATCAACTTCAACCACTACGCGGCGGGCGCCGAGTACGACATGGCGGCCATGAAGGACGTGATCGCGTGGGTGCGCCGCATCTACAAGTCCATCGGGATCAAGCCCGTGGAGCCGCCGTGCAACGCGGGCGTCGACGCGAACGGGGGCTGCGGCAAGGAAGACGAGGACTGGCTGCATAAGCAGACGTTCGGACACCATCCCACGAGCACGAACCGCATCGGCGCCGACAATGATACCATGGCCGTGCTCGACAGCAAGTTCCGCGTGCGCGGGGTCGCGGGTCTCAGGGTGGTCGATGCGAGTGCTTTCGCGCGGATACCGGGTGTGTTCCCTGTCGTGTCGACGTTTTTGATCAGTCAGAAGGCGTCGGATGAGATGATTGCTGAGGCGAAGGGTGGCATGGCTCTTCAGCAGTGTTGAGGTGGAGGAGCACGCGATAGTGCTGTGATAGCGCAGGTTGATTCTCAGCTACTCAATCTTATTGTAGTTTATGAGTAGGTTTGTCAAGCTAATGGATGCGTCAGTAATGCCTTTCCGTATTTAAGTGCTCAGTACTGCAGATAATCATCCGTTATGATCAGCTCGTTGAGCGTGGACTATGAGATAAACATCGAAGCATTTCACGTAGCCCCTTTTCACAAGACGAATGACCAATAGGGCATTCCAGTGTTTTCGATGTGTAGTACGAGGTTATCGCAGAAATAAAGTTACTGCTTTTACTGCGTACTTGGTAGGAAAGTTGTAGATGTCTTATTATTTCCTTCACAGGTAGATTTACCATCGGCTCTGATAAGTATAATGTTGATTATTCTTGAGCTTTGGATCTCTTTGTCTACTGTAGTGCTGTATTAGGGATATGGAGTTAGTAACGTTATTAAATTCTTACTGTCGAATCGTGGAGCGAACGGAATACAGAATGGATTACGATAGTGGATCATGGAGATCCAACGCAGGTACTGTACCTAGCCTAGGCACTATGTATGTACATTACTAGTAGTAAGAGAGCTTACGAAGGTGCGTCAGGACCCAGAAGCCAGAGCTCAGCTTGAGAAGCTAATTGTGTGAGATGACGCTCAGCTTTCTCTCGGCTACGTGCCAAGTCTACAGAACCTCACTGAGATCTATAAATACGTGACATGACATACTTATGCCTAATAGAACTATACGCCAAGATAATCTAGGGATTTAGTTAGATTATTGCCCCGTCTCCATAATGCTGAAGCTGGGTTCGCTGTCATTCACACTTCGCTCGGTCGATCAAATCAGTTGTGAACGGTGATAATGGGTATATGTCCGATGAAACCTTGCGGAGCTATGTACAAAGCAACGAGCGCCCATCAAGCTCGGGAAAATAAGATCTCAGATGCACAGAATGAATAGATGATTCTATGACAATGGTGATAGAAAATGGGTTATGGTGTTAGATGAGGTCGAGCAGGCAAGGAACAATTTCCACTGCTTCCTAAAGCATCCAAAAAGCCCAAAAGGGGTGAATAAACCAGGGCAACCAATATATACACAGAATGGCTCTTTCTCAATTAAATTTTACAGGCCGATTCGCTCAATCGCCCGATTGATCTTCTTTGGTCGTTCCAATAAAACAAATTTACTGGGCCTTGGCGGTGGCCTCGAGGTAGACCTCGGAGGACTCGTCCCAGTCGAGGACGGCCTTGGCGGACTTCTTGACGCCGTTGTCGACGACGGTCTGGGTGATGGTGAGAACACCGTCGGCGGCGATGGAGTCGATGACAGAGCCCTCAACGGCGTTGGTGCAGCTACTCATGGTCTTGCACTAAATAGAAAGTTACATTAGCAAAATGAATTTCCGTAAATTCCCATGAATCTTTTATCTTCTCCTTCACTTCGTAATACGTTCTATGTACAACGTCCGGGACCGATCGAAAGGGTCGATGATGGCGAGAGGAATAGAACTTACGCGGGCGGCGAAAGCAGGGAAGGTCACGCCATCGGCGGTGAACTCCTCACCGGAGACAACGTAGCTGGTGAAGCAGCGGCCGAACTTGCAGCCGGTGGAGGTGGACATAAGCTTCCAGGTGCTGTCGGCAGCAGCGGCGGCGCCGGCGACGGCGAAGAGAGTAGCGAAAGAGGCACGCATTTTGGCTGTGGTATATACCGGAAGGATTATTAACTAAGCACAACGACTGATAGATCTTTCTTAAGGAGCGTAATGGGCTGATATCGTACGATCAAAGAAGGCCAGGGAGAACACGAGCTGTATATATATATTCAGACTACCCAGGCTGCTACCACTGCGCGACGTAAGCTATTCTTGTCCCATCGTTATTAAACGTTCATTTACTAAGCTTTGAGCGGGCTCTCAGAGTACAGGCGCTATCCCGAGATTGTAGATCCCTGTGGACGGAGACGGTTAGTCTGGACGGGCGGGTTGAGTATTTGATATATTTGAGTTTGTGATTACTGTTTCTGCCATGTTACGCTCTGTCTGCTTGAGCCGTACTGGTAGCCCTGTCAGTGCCATGTGGAGTTAAGATCTTCACTTGAGTGGAGAGGACCGGGGCCCCTGGCTCGCATTCTCGCAACGGCCCTGGTCATAGATCTGGAGGCTTGGATATCTCCCTCGCGAAAGAGATTTCCAGCAGTAAACAGATTGAATCATCAAGTGTTCTACCCATTTGGAAGCGTAGACATAGACTTCGTTACATAGGATCAAGATGCTCTGTCTAGTTGCTTGAAAATGCGTGGCGATATGGCACTAAGTGAAGTGTCTATACCAGAACTGAGTAAGTGATATAAATAGCAGACCTTAGCGTATCCCAGGAACACAAGTAGCAGAAGTACGTACCGCAGCCTAACGTCCGGAATTCTGTAGTTTAATTTGACTGTCAGCTTACCCACAGTAGCGTATGTACAGTATCTCTCAGCTCAAGGCAAAGTCCGGGGTTGCCTCCGGTGCCTTAAAATATAACAAGCACGCCCCGAGCGCGCAGGATGAACAGCCTCCATTCTTCCCTCAAGGTAATTTGCGGCACTGTCAGCTAATCAATACTCTTCTTGGTAGTGTACACTAGGGATTAGTATACGGGACAACAACACAGCTGGGAGCTTCGACGATTTCTCCAAGCCTCAGCGCCAAGATAAATAAGCACGCTCCCCTTACTCTACTTAACACTAAGGTTGGGTAGTATCTGACACTAGAGCGAGCGCAAACCGATGTTCCGAGAATGCGTGGACTGCCTGCAGCAGCTGCGCATTGGACACTTACTACTCTTCTCTCTATCTATCTGGTTGGTGCGTATAGTGCAACGTTGGAGAACTAACTGCCTTTATAGGACGCTGTGATGCTGCCAATGATGGAATGATGATATATCTTGTCATACAGTCCCCGCAGCTCGATGCGATCAAACCCCTGAGATCTCGCCTAGTGCAATGCCAACCCGAAGCCGCGCAGACAAGCGAACGCAGTGAAGGATCAGGGTTGCTGGACTTTTAAAGTTTTCAATCCGAGATCTGACTTCGCTTAATCCTATCCCGTCTTCTAGTGTACTAACCTGAGTTGGCGCACGTGGTTCTAAGGTCTAAACTCCAACAGAATTGTACAATCCTTCGACTTTGTGGACTTTTTGTAAGAGCAAAGGAAGTGAGACATCTTATCAAGAAGTCTACGTCGTTCCCTTGGTTGTCTCTTCAAGTCCTTTCATTGTTTCCTAACACCTATGTGTCCCACAGGTTGCTCTGCGTGCGTACTAAGTACTTATCAGTGACGGGTTGCTCGAGAAACACTTCGGTAATTAACTCCGGTCGGACTTACAGCATGTCAGCTAGGTACCTGGCAGGGAACCCTGACAGAGGAGTATACGTCGGTCAGGGGAGAGATGGAGAGCGGTCAACTCGCACCAGCATTTGGGTTCTTCGCTCATCTCGACAGATTGGAGAAAAAATTATTCAGCTTTTGTCGCTTTGATTTCGGTTCATTTTCGTGTCCCCCCTCTAGACGATGAATTCGTTTCCTTGTTCTCTCTTGACTTTGTGAGTCAGAGCTTATGGAAATGGGGGATTGAGCATCATTGCCGCTCGAGGAGTCCAGGCTAGTTCCGATGCCACTGTCCTGCATCGAAGTATTCAAGTCATCCAGCTCGTTGTCTTGCTCCGCGTGGCCTTGTTCCGGGTCTCCGCGATCACCCCATCGAAGGGGAAACCGTCGGCTATGGCCAAAGATGAGAGCGCCACGCGTCGCCTGGGAGAGATCTCCGGGACTCCTGAAATTCCGTCCCCAAAGCTTTGGAAAAGAGGCTGGCAGCAGGACTTGCACTCTGTCACATTTTTGTCCACGTAGACAGGGCTCGAATGTCTTGTCAGGGGTAAGCCAGTATATGTCATCCACGAGCCTCCAAGGCGTGGTAGCTTTTGAGCCACGTTTCTGTAAAATGTCATTCAGTTCGGAAACACAGACTGCAAGTAGGTCCTGACCCTTTGGCAGATCCACGTTGGCGTGGCACGATTCGCAGGCTTTCCCCTGGATCTTGGAAGGACTGATTAGATCTCCAAAGTGACTTCCGAACAGAGTGACGGCATGGATAGCTCGGATGAAATCAACCCAGCCTCTTCCGCTTGAGCGTAATGTGATTTGTCGCGGAAAGCAGGGGTCTTCGTCAGTTGCGATATCCATAAAATCGAACCCCTCAATATGCCGGCGGTCGCTTGCCTTGACCTTGAAGCCGACGCCGTCTTGTGTGCATGTGTCTGCTTGGTGCGCCATTACCTGCTCTAGGACGTTACATATATCCTCAATTCTGTCTTTCAGGCAGTAATTCGTCTTCGTGCTACTCAATACTTTACTTTCTCTGCCTCTTTCATGACTGGTCACTTCCACTTTGTTGGTATCAGGCTTTGCGTATAAGGGAATGTCAAGGTTTCGTGGGTTTGTGAGTACCCTAATAGCAGCGTTCTTGCCGCTGTGAGGATCTAAAGACTCGCTCAGCGCCGATTCGTCGTACAAGCACAGCGACTTAAATGGATCATTCAGATCGTGCTGCAGGGAAGCCCTGACTAGATGCAACAGAGCACTCGCACCGTTCAACAGCCACGCCCTCCTGTCTTGAACGTCATATAGGACAACGTATTTCTTCGAAATCCACTTGAGTCGCATGGTGTAATCGTCCCTATACTTGAAGTGTACGGCCTTATCTCTTTTGCCGATGATGGTGGATACCCCAGCGGTTAGGAACATGCCGCCGACGATCGAGATCTTTTCAAAGGCGAATCCAGGTGCTGGTGGTTTCAAAGAGGACCATCCAATTGAGTAGTTGGCGTCTGCAGCACCTGTGTCTGTGTATCAGCAAGCGTCTCAACTTAGCCCAACGGGATACCGAATACTCACCTGCGTGGTTTAAAGCATAATTACACCAGCCAAGAACATGTCGCGAAGTTTCGAGATTCCCATGTGTCAAGCCCTTCACACTTTCTTTGAGTATATTTTTGACTCTGGGGTCTGTGTATGACATATATTCACCAAACTGGTCGAACACCAAGTGCCAGATTATCGTGTCGTGGATATGTCGCGTGGGGATTAGCAACGCGGAACATCCTTTAATAACAATAGATCCGGCGAAGGTGGAAATTTTTCTTGCATTAATGAGCTGGGCCATGAGGTTCAGAGGAATTTCTGCACCAGTTTTCATCGTGGTCCGGCGGGGGATCGGATATCCACTGACAACAGGGCGGTTTCCAAAGAGGTTGATCCAACAGCATCCTTGGGGACCTGTATCAGTTGGTTTTTGAAAGGAGGATTCGATGAACGTAAAATTCAAGTAGGATTTCGTATTCATAGAGTAAGGGGGTGTGTTATAATACCTTGGCTTATTTGGTTGCTGTCCGACTAGTTGGTTTTCTATCTCGCAGGTTGGATAGCGATAAACGAGATCATCCCCTAAAGTATTACAGTTGAACGCAGCACTCAGCCAGACCAATATCTCACCTATCTCAGCTAGAGAGTATATGGTACCAGTGAGATGAAAATCCACAGTAGATCCATCTTGGTTGACATTAGCAGAGACAACAGTCCTATCGAAGAGCGTGCCTAAGAAACGCCCAGTTAGTTGGCTTTGTAGAATATGTTAGGTGGGCCAGCAACTCACAGCTAGCGAGAGAACCATGAGGACTACTTAGCAAACTTATGCAAAGGCCAAGTATTTGTGGTCCAAGATCTGGCCAGACGGTCTCTAGATATTCGCCGCACGTTGTGACATAAGTTTGATCGTTGACACCCACGATCACTATGCTGTGAGGGAGTGCTTTGTGGATGGGTGATTTGTACTCTTGAGATATTAGATAGTTCCGAATCCAGGGCAGTTTGAAAACAATGGGTTGCATCATCGGAGCCCTTCTCTGACTGATTTTGGAGGGCTCGCTCAGGAAATCGAGTATCTTTCTTCTTATCTTGCCACGCGCATTGTCGTCTCCAGCAGGTATCTCAAGTTCGACTTTACTAATAACTGACTTGAGTAACCATGAATATGCTTTCGAGTTCAAAAGAATTTGTCGATATTCATTTATTTCAGGAAAATCCTCCGATAGGTCGTGGCCACTTCCGAAATCGTCGTCCCACGGATTGTCGTCTTCATGATCTCTGTCTGAGTTGTCAACCGGGGTAGATCCATGCTCCGGGTTGTCGATAAGTTGGCGGTTTTTCCTGTCCCATAGAAGCATCTTATCATGTATAGGCATTGCATTGTCAGGCCTTTGTACTTCATCCTCAACATCCTGTTCTTCTAGGGTAAACGTGTCTATCACAGCTTTAGATATTTGACTATTAGTAGCGTGTTAGTTGATATGACAAATATAGGGCAATCCCAATGACTAACATTCTGTACCTATGAACCAGGTACATCAAACGGTATTGCAAATGCGTATCTTCCTCGGAGCCGAATTTGATAGCAAATGCTTTCAAAAGATCAGGAAGCGCTCCAGACAAGCCGGGTAGTTGTTCTGCTGAAATGCTCCGTGGAAGTACAGCCGCTAATTCTTGTGCGAACTCAGAGATATATACCTCTAGTTTAGCATTATAAAGGCTACGCGCATCAGAATATTCCGTTTTATTGTCGTCACCCTGGTCGTTCGAGTTGGAAGAGGGAAATTCCTGTAAGGTGGTTCTGATTGTGTCTCTCATTTGAATCTTTCTCTGGCTTTGCCCTTGGGAACCGTATCCAGAATCTGTCGCTGTCTCAAGACCGCCAATGACGCTGCTCTCTTCCAAATTCCTCACTGAGTCACGTCGTCGTAAATCCGCTGTGCTCGAGCTAGCTGGTGGGAATCTATAGTTGTCCTTTCTAAACGCATTATAATAATGCCCGTTTGGGTAATTCACTGAATTGTTGAACAACGCCTGTAGGAACGTAAACATTAGATATCTTCATTTTCATACTGTATATCGAATCCTCATATGACTGACATAATCATGAATAGTTGTCCACCCTGCTAATCCGGATTCCCACTTAGTCTCAATCGTAAGTACCTGTCTGGCTCTTTCATCTTGTTCACTATGTTGCCGTTAGAGTCCGCTCCATGTTGTACGTAGGTACACATTTCAATTTCTAAGTTGGGGCTCAGTACTTACTGTCTCTGCGTGTGTCGATCTAATAAGTCCTGCCTATGAAAAACCTTGTCGCACCCTGGCCAACAACATATAAATGCAGTAGGGGATTTATGGCTTAGCTGGTGGCGCCTAATACGTGGGATTAGAACTAGAAACTGCGTTGCTGTGATTCGTAGGGTATGAATAACCTTAGATGTTCAGCTCTAGTAAATGTCTAAGTTGACAACACATTAGCTTAATAGTTCACCATTTTGAGCTAGATTTCAAGCTCACCTTCGGTGGATTACACTGCTCACATCTGTGAACAAGTACCCCTTTCTTTGCCCGTGATACTCGACCAGTAATAGGCGTGAGCTTACTAGTAATAGGTGTGAGCTTATTAGGGATGAGCGAGAGCAAGCTGGGAGCAGCTGCTTTGCTATGGCCTATAGAATTGTCGGGAATTACTCCAACACCAGATACCCCGACTAGAGATGTGTCATTCGCGCGAATGTGTGTTAGGGGTTGCATGGGGGCTTGCGGTTCGCCGTGTCGGTGGTTGCCCGGCTGGTCAGGAGAGCTCATAGGTGAGTTTGCTGAAAAGGCATTAATTCTAAAGGCAGGCTTCTTGTTAACACTCCAAAGTCCCCCGCTGGATGTGCGAGATGGCGGCGCATGGCTATCTTTGGATTCTTGTTGATCTTCAAGAAAATAGTCCTGACTGCCAGGAACTATTTCACTAGAACTTGGACACCAATCGCCGTCCATTGCTGTTGTTCAAAGAATATAGAGCATTCGAATGAGAGAGCAGCCTTGCGTCACCGCACTCATGTGTTATGTGTGAATTGGGGCGATCCAAAATTTTTAAAAGATGAGATTCGAAGTCATGGACTCTCCAAGGGAAAGGTTTTTAATCCAACTTCAACCGTCTCAATGCGTGGCCGAATATGCGGTTAGAATCATCCGCAAAATCCACCATAACCAATAACAACTGGAACTTCCACAAGCCACTTCTAAGCGACATAATGCAATGCAACTGCATAGCCTCAGCCATCCGCCGTTGAAGACAGGGGCGGGGCTTAGAAAGTGCAAAATTGAAGGCGAAGCCTGTGAGAGAAACTATTGGTTTCGCTATGAGGTGCATATTGCCGATGGTCGAGTACCGAGATCAACATCTTTGATCATCACGAGGCTGGGATGCACATAATACTGCGACATCATCTATACAGGATTTCGGCATTATACGAAATGAAAGAATCACGTAAATCCTTTTCAGCTTGGTTGGTATAATTGAGCCCGGTAGTTAAAGAGGATCAATCGTATCAGCCTCATGCGTATCATGAAATCCGACGAACTGTAGAAATGTCATTTGCTTTGTAGTGGTATCATTCATCATCAATTCCAATAAGTGTACAATATGGGCGAGTGCCGAAGCTGTCTCTGCTAACTTGATGTTTCTCTCTTCATTATTTCTTCAGCCTCTTTGCGCTCTTATCGTCGCTGGCGCCGCTTAAGACACTGGCACTTCTCTTCTGCCCACCACTACTCTGTGGCCTAGTATTCCTATCCTCGCCAGCCTCAGCCTTGCCCTGAGCGGGATTTTCGGCTTCATTGCCGTTAGTCAATTCATGCTTCTCCGTTCCATTGCCGCCCTCATCTGTAACTGGCTTTGAGGCAGGACCATCTTCACCACTATTTGGTTTATCCGTAGAAGATGAGCCCACCTTTTCTCCATTAATTAAATTCGTGGTTTCGCTCGGTTTGCCGGACACCGATTCAGATGAGCCTTCTGCGTTTGTATTGGCAGGTTCTGAGCCTGATGCTGCTATGCTGATAGACTTCTTACGATCGGAATTTTTAGCTTGTTCCACACGTATCTCCGCATCGATTTTGTCGCTGAGTTTTCTTATCTCTAAAAGAACGCCAATAGAGTTGAGTAGTTTTTCCATCCCTTCAACAACATTCCTTGTTGGCATGTTCAGTCTACTTGGAATGTCAAGCTCGGCAAGCGTGTTGGTGATTCTTTGATGTTGTGCATTGCTTTTCGTCGTAAGGATCTTATTAATACGCTCATAACGGAATGTTGGGCCAGAGGGAAGACGGTCGTGATGAGATACACCATATATCTTCTCCTCTTGCTCAGTAAGCTTCTTACGCTCTTGTTGTTGCTGTTGCTGCTGCGAGCCTTTCTTGCTGGGCCGTTCAGGCCGCTCGCCTCCTCCAATGGAATCACGATGGCCGCCTGTTGAAGCTGCAATGCTCTCTCGTCGGCTTTCTGTGACCGGTGTTGAGTTGGGGTGTGCTGAAGGCTGCGCTGAGCCTGGTGTGTTGGCACCATTAGTGTCCAGAATTGGCTTGCGCTTCTTTGACCTGTCAGCGGTTGCGAGGTTCTGTAAGAGTGTAGACAGTCCAGCACTGGACTTGAAACTGGTTATGTCTTGTTCTGTGGGCGGGAAATCAAGTCGGCGATACAAGTCTTGGCGGTCCTGATTGAGCTTTTGTTGCCTAGCAACAATTCGCCTGACCTCAATGAGCAGCTGCTCTTCCTCCCGGGCTTCATCGGTAGACCGGCTTAATGCATCTTGAGCAAATTTCTTGCGTGCCAGTTCTGATGCCGGGTTGAAATTGGCCATTGTTTCATGCAGGGAGAACTCAGCTTGAGTCATGTATTGCACGGGCTTCTGGACTGCCATCATCTTCGCGGCAACCTCATAATATCTCTTTTTCAGATCTTCCATAGTACGAGGCTTGGGAGCAGGTATCAAGGCTATACTTGGACCTGTACCATCTGCATCCTTTTCCTCTTTCATGTCCTCTGGCAACTGTGGTGAATAATCGTACCGATCCCATATCAAAGGCCATCGCAAGTCAAAATCTCTGGCTAATTCGAAGAGGTAATCTGTCTCATTCTTGGTCCAATCGTCGTTAACCAAATTTGATGCGTACTGGTCTTCGCTATATTGAGGAACGTCGACTTGTACATTGAATTTAGCGAAGCTTGAATCCTCAGTTACATCAGTCCTTTTTGTCCCTTCTATGCCATTATCGCCAGGAGTCTGTCCATCCGATTGGGGTTGTGACGTAGCCCTTGATTGGTCTTCGGTCTCCTTCCTCCAATGCCGCAGCAATAAAGACTGATCACTGCGCGCCGAGTTGTGAAAGGGGCTCATTTCCCATCGTGCAGCTGGTTTCCGACTTCCAAACCGCCTCTTTTTGAAGGTCGCTATTTCAGGCACAATTGCGATGGGATTATCGCCTCCTAAACTCTGGACTTCACGTGCAAGACCCTTGAGATTCGGTCGTGCAGTGCTTGTCTTTTGTTTCTTATTCGGTCTTGGGCCGGCATTGTCGGAAGGGAGGTTGAGGACATCGCGGACATCGTGCGAGGCCATTGTGAGCTTGATAGAGATGTAGCGGCAATGAACGCCTCTCCTATCGTGACGTATCGCAAAGCGGCCGTATATGTTCGATTGGGATTAAATGCGCGTTAATCTATACGAGGAAACGAACTTCATAGCCATTTGCTCAATCTCATAATGCTAGAACGTAATAGACGCGCGTTGTTTGATGAAATTAGGCCCATTGGGGGGTTTGGGGATGGAAAGCTGATTAGAGGCGATTATAATGGAGAATTTCCAGCTTGGCGTGACGGCTCAAGATGTTGCAGTCACTTCCATCAATGAGTTCCTGCTAGTGCAGTTACAGTGGGCAAGTGCACTGTCCTTGGGCAGCTCCTCCCACACTACCTATTGGAGCACGTGATAAGTACATGGTACATGTAAGCCTGAAGACTTATCGATAGAGCATAGCACTCTGTGGCAGTACCTAAAGTAGGTAGGCAGGCCACTGTGGCTTTTGGCGATAACGATCCCTTAAACTTGCCCCTGTAGAGTGAACGTGGCAGCTTGGCGACGAGCGTGGTGAGAGCTTCACTCTCGACATCGAAATCGCCCGATCCGCCCATCTACCACGAACTCCCGAACAACTGATTATCGAAAGCACAAGCGAACAGCGAAAAGCCCCAATTGAAAACAGGCTGGTGTCAGAGGAGCAAATATGAGGGCGATACTTCCCCTTTTGTCGCTGAGCACCGCTGCTCAGGCGCTTTACTTTTTCATCGACGGCACACAACCCAAGTGTTTCTACGAGGAGCTGCCCAAGGACACGCTGGTCGTGGGCCACTACAACCTCGATGAATACGACGAAAACTCACGGACGTGGTCGAAACATGACGGCTTGAGCGTGTACATATCCGTTGACGTAGGTTCTCTTTTACACTGCTGCTCTTTCTTCAACTGCGCACAATGACCAACCCAAGTCCCACATGCGCTCATCTCAAGAAGAGGGACTAATGCGCCACAACAGGAGGTATTCGACAACGACCACAGAGTGGTATCGCAGCGCGGCTCCTCGTCAGGTCGGTTCACCTTCACTGCGCACGAGGCAGGCGACCACCGCATCTGCTTTACACCGAGCAGCAACAGCGGCCGCCAGGGCTGGCTCAACGCCGCGAACCCTAACGGCGGCGTCAAGCTGACGCTGGACCTGGCCATTGGCGAGTCGAGCGAGATCGAGAGCACCGACAAGACCAAGCTGCAGGACATTTCGCAGCGTGTCAAGGACCTCAACGCGCGCCTGCAGGACATCAGGCGCGAGCAGATCTTCCAACGAGTAAGTCTCCGCGTACACAACTTCTCCATCCTCCCCCACCTCTCTCGACAAATTTCGTCAGGCACAACCGATGAATGAGGTCAAGGAAACATCAGTATAAGTACAATCGTTAGAGTAAAACCCCCACACTAACACCGTCCCCCAGGAACGAGAAGCCGAATTCAGAGACCAGTCCGAATCCACCAACACCCGCGTACTCCACTGGATGATCATCCAGCTGATCGTTCTAGGCATAACATGCGCCTGGCAACTCTCGCACCTCCGGAACTTCTTCATCAAGCAGAAGCTCACGTAAATCATCCCCCTCAACAATTCACCATGTATTACAATCACAACAAGGACAGTCGACAACTCTACAGCCCATGTACAGATTCTTTAACGCAGCACTCTGTTTGCGAGAGGGATATAGAAAACAATGAATAAGCCGAAAGCCGGGGGGATATGGATTGGACTGTAGATACTTAACTAACACTTCAGTCAATCCATTAAAGAAGAAACGGGGTGCTCTACCAAGAGAATAACATGCACTGTATTGCTCCATGCAACAGACAGCACTGTTTGTAATGATATATGTCTTAGGATCAGAAGAAAATAACGCCTTAGTACATGCTTTTTGGCTTAGTTGTCCATCCAGGTCTAATCGAAACTACCTAAAACACTTTTCTGTTCTTAATTAAGTGTACATGTCGTATTACAGATAAAAAGAGGAACGCGAAAACGAAAACTACAAAACCAAAGACTGCGAAGATCATCACAAGCCGCTCAACTGTTGAAAAAAATAGAACTATGCTTGTTATGTCCCATTGTTTGCTTTTCTATCCTCATAGGAAGCTACGTCTCTTCACCTCGGTTTGTCAGATCACCTTCACTATAAAGCCCCCCCAGGCGCGGTGGTCACATCCTATTATGTGCTCCAGCTGTCCACCAAATCTACACTTTTCTTCCACTCTTGAAAAAAACTTTCAACAGCACACCCCCATCATTGCAATTATAAGCAGTTATGTCAAGGACGTTGCTACACAGAGAAAAGAGTAGAGGATACCGGTTTCCCAATGCTAGCATTCCCAGAGTTTCACGAACTCCACCGGCGCCGTTGCTGCGAGTCGATGTATTAACAGCCAGGATCTATCTCATAAGAGCGAGAGTCATGAATAAAGAAAAAGAATAAAGTCAATATGGGAGTTCGTATCCCGAGATATGCGGGGCTCTGATGCAGCCAGGTCCTACTCAGCAAATGTGGCCAGAAAGAAATCCTGGCTGGTATCTAGCAGATGTCTTCGGGTTGGTTTGTAGTAGGGTGTTCCAGGGTGGTTCGAAGAAAATATCTTTGAGCACCCTAGGGTATCGTGAGTAATGACTATCAGAAAGTCCGCCCGGTGCTCAGAATTCCGCAAATGACCTGGAAAATGCATACGCTATAAGGGGACCAGGTCCGTTTGCGAGGAAGCAACCGGGAAAAGTATTAAGAAGCAATACAATACGGAGTTGGAGGTCCAGATCCAACTCTCTTAGTCTATATGATGTCGCTCGTATGCCATGATTGTATGTTAAATTAGCCTGCTATCTGTTAGTCATGCTTTATTCCATAGCCTCGAGGTCTGCAACATACCGCAGCAAAGAACCTTCATAAATTTCTGGAACCCGGTTGGCGGAGGTTCATTAAGTCCCTCGTTAGCCATGCCCAGTTCAGGACTCATGTTCGTCTGCTGAGCGATCCTGGGTGGCAGATTCTGGCTGCTGTTCTGGAATTGGGCCTGGGTTGACCCAGTCGGTGTGGCCATGTCCCGAAGACCCCCCACCGCGCTCCCGCGCTGTGCTTTCAAGCCAGCGGCGGGGGCGTTTGGCCGGCGCGGGTCCGTCCCCTTGGCTGGTGACGGAGGTGGGGGCTGCGCGGCGTTTAAACGGTCGCGTGTGAGGTGAGGTGTGTTCGCGCCGGTCCGGGACTGGTTGTGTAATTCCATCTGTGAAGGGCCGGGTCGAGCATTTGGGTTGTGGTAACCACCATGCTTGGGCATGGCATCCCAACCCTTGGCCGACTCCTTGTTGATCTTCATCCAGTCATATTCTCCATCCTCTACTTCGCCCGTGTTCTTCAATGCTTGGGTGAAAAGCTCTCGCAAGTAATCGTAGTCGGGTGTGTCCTCAAAGCCAAGATTTCGGACATACGTCAAATACTTGTTGAACTCGTCAGGGAAGCCCTCGCAAAGATCCTTGATTGCGGTGGTCTGCTTCTTCTCTCCAATCTTCTCATATTTCTGCTTGTTTGTTGCAGCCTTTAACCCTTGCCAGGGAAGACCACCACGCAGGAAGTACATAAAGACGTGGCCCAACGCCTCCAAATCATCTCGACGAGACTGTTCACGTCCCAGGTGAGTATTGATACTCATGTATCGAGCAGTACCGGATAACGATTTTCTCTCACGATAAGGAATGTGTTGCTTGGTTTTAGGATCTCGATATTGCTTGGCCATGCCGAAATCAACAACATGGATGACATTGGCGGCCTTTGTTGTGGGACGACCAATCAAAAAGTTGTCTGGCTTGATGTCACGATAGATCAGATTTTTCTCGTGAATCGTCTGAACACGGGACAGCTATATAAGATGTGAGCTATACATGTTGTTTGACAATGTGGGAGAAGTACCTACCATTTGTTTTGCCACCATTACCACAGTCTTGATTGAGAACCTCCGGTTACAGTGGTCAAATAGATCCTCCAAGGACGGTCCGAGCAGATCTATAACGAGGATGTTATGGAGGCCCTCTTGACCAAAGTAATAAACATTAGGAATGCCGGCTATGTGTAGTCAGTACTAGCATTGAACGTGCCATTACATTGATTTACTCACGGCAGCCAACAAGTATCTTGTATGTACGGTATTCATCTCGAAGCTGCGGTGCGTCACTCTTACGCGGCTCCTATTCAAATGATTAGCTAGGTTCCAAGTTTCGGGTACATTTTGGTATAGCACTAGATCTTTAGTGTGTAACGAACAAGCTCAAGTTACAAGAATAATCAAAACGCATTCATGGAAGAACCTACAAATTTGATGGCAACTTGCTGGTTATTCAACAAGTTGGTCCCTTCAAAGATGACACCGAAAGAACCTTCACCAATCTTCTTGCCAACTCGGTAGTGGACACCCACCACATTCGACGACGACGAAGCCATTATGGAACGAGAGTAATGATCGGAAGGCGAGGACGCGTCAAAAACGGGGACAATGCGAGGTCAGAGGCAGCACGGTCGGCAGGCGTAGACAACGCGAGGTTGTGTTGTGGTAGAGAGGGAGAGCCGTGGTCGGAGAAACGAGCATCAGAGATACTCGAGCAGGCTGGAGGCCGTAAGGACCATCTCTCGGAGCTGTCGAGGGAGAGAAAGCAAGCTGCCAGAGAAGGCCGGAAAGGAAGAGAAGAGCCAACCGTGGCCCCAGAGAGGGCAATCCGCGGGAATAAGCTTTGTTGGAACCCGTTTGGTTGATGCGGCGATTGAGGATGGAAGAGGTTGAATTGAATTTGGACGGACCGGATGACTAGAGAATTGGGGGTGAGAGTCAGTTCAGTCAAAGGGGAGGAAAACCGAGAGAGGCGGTCGGGGGGGGGGAGATTGGGACCGCTGAGGTACCTGGGTACCGCACCCCGGCACAAGCAAACTAGGCCTACCTTGGACTGCGCTAGGCCAGATACAGTAGTTGGACCACTGTTGGCTCTGGGCTTCCGGAGCGCTGAGTGGCTGAAATCCCCTGGCTGCAGGTTTTTGGCAGTCTCGACCAGTGGCAGCGAGCCAACTTGCGTTTGGCAGTTGTCTGGGGCGATTGGGGCAATTGGGGCGCTGAATGGGCAGAATGGAGCCTAATTTTGGTGAGGCTTAGGAGTGCTAAGCACTGCACGTACCTACCTCTCTCAGACTCTCTCTCGCGCTTCTCTACTACGTAGGGACATGGTACTTACCTGTACCTACCCCTTTCAGGTAGGTCTTTCAGCGCTGTGTCCAGTATCCAGCCAGTCAAGCCACGAAGTCGTCCTCAGCGAGCCCGGACTGCCTTGCTAGCACTGCAGGCAGTGGGCATCGAAGCTCACTGAGAGGGCCTGGCCTACCCTAGCCCCAGCTCGATAGTGCATGTAGTGTGCGCTAGGTACGCTACATGTAATGCACTAAGGTCGTGAATATGGAGAAGCCAAGACCACCCGCCCGGTTGCCCCGAGTCGACAACTGTTTTTGCAGATGCAAAATGTTATTGTACGTGTCGTGTATATTAATACTTAGTACTTAGACAGCCTCCCTGGGGCAGATATGGATGTGAGGAGGTCCAAGTATAGCTTTTCATTCGCTTGTTCTGGTTGAGAGACTTTGTAGTCCACTTTAGAGTCCAGAGTGAGACATTCAGGGTTCACCTGGACTAGGTTCATCACTTATCGACTCTCCTAGAAAAATCACATCACATCTTCTGCCATCAATGCATGCTAAAATGTGTATACTACTTGTAAGTCGATTGACAGGCCAGCCTGCCTCCGACAGTACTTTGGAGACTTGTGCCTTGCTTATGCATACAGGACCTGGCAATACCTCCTTGGCAAATCTACAAGCGAAGACTTTCATCCTGTTTAAATCCCGTCTCCTCTCCCGAGGAACATATGGACAGAGGGAAAGGAGTTCGGTCCCCATGTCCTTGCAAAAGGCACCAGCAAAGTGAAGTGTAGTGTACAGTAACAACTGTATCGGACCAAATCTACACGATGCGCTACCATCTGTCGTTAACTGCTTCAAGTCTAGTGCCGCGGGGATTAGCTAAGATACCCTGCGAGTAATTACGGCCTAATGCCTCGCAAGAGCAGGACAAGCGGATGGGTTGTGGGTAAATACCAGCTAGTTTTGCATGTCAGAATCAGTACTGTCCCTAGGTAAGGACGGAGCAGACGGGCTAATACTGACACAGCATGGGCTGCAGTTAGAGCGTAGTCAACGGTCCGTATGGAGGCGAAATAACAATTTGAGCTCCCGTATTGTCATATGGGCATCTAGCTCTAACGGTACTAATCCCCATTATTCAAACAATACTACTCACATGTTGAAGCTAGACTCAGTCCAAAGGGACAAGACAATTTTAAACACGGAACACTTCTGTGCTGTTGCATTGCCTTGGCATTTTGTTGCGATTCTGATGCGTTGCTTGGAGAACAGTGCATACCAAACCCTTACAACCCTTACAGTATGTGCGATTAGATGGACCAAGGAACTCATCTAACATTCCTGCTTTCGGGACCAATGGCAATTAACAGATGCACTTACACTAAGCCGGCCATGCTATAAAACGTATAATAATACACACCCTCCAACATCTTCCCTAGCTCTTGGCGTGATATTGCCACTTCGATATCACGCGTGTTGAGTATATTGATCATGATCCTCCTCGCGGGACAACAGAACGCACGGGTAGATCTCCGACTAACCGGGATCAAGAGCCGTTAAGACCCTTTTAAGACCTAAATCCTGTCTTGAGCAATCAGATCGGCGACTCCACGGCCAACTGAGCACATTCATCAGATGGAGTCTATGAATGGCCATCGACCAACGCGACGAAACGCCAACTAATGCGAGTGGTGAAACAAGATACGCGCCAAGATCTGAGGATGCGACGAAACGCCCAAATCGCAGCCTGGTGAACAAATGCGGAAGTCGGTATATGCAGTCATATTAAGCCATATGCTGCGGCAGATGAACGCCTCAGTGTTTCGAGAAGGCTTACACAACCTAGGTAGCATCCTTTTCCAGAAATTCGAAGGCGTAGCTGTAAGTAAGCATTCACTCTCGCTCTCCGGTAACTCTCTTGCCGTCAATCCCTTTCATAAACCATCAGCTTACAGCCAAGCATTGTGCCGTCCTTTCTGCAACCTGTATTTAGCTACTTACAAAAATGATATTATGACAGCCAGGGAGGTTGAGCATAGCCCCGACAGGATACAAGTTGTGTCTACGAAAATTTAAGACTACAGACATTCCAAGTTTAGCTGTGAATCCTAGAAGATCAATATAGAAGCATGAATCACAATCTTCTCACATGGCAAACATGATGAATAATGTGTTGAAAATGCAAGGACAGCTTCCACTCTATTTGGCATCATTGCTCTGTTTGGTATCATTGCTATATCGCAACATAAAGTAAAATCTTAGAACCATTTCTATTCGCCAACTCTAAATATATATTAATGATGATAGTAGTGATAAGGAGGTGATACTCTTCCGTTCCTTTACCTACGTGTTCCGTCAGCCATGACACCTGATTCGGTGAGATTTTTTGTCAACAAGCTCACAAGATATAATAAGGGCACATGCTTTCTCACGATCCTGGTACCATACACCTTATTCGTCGTTGACCACGTCGTTGGATAACCCTTTTAATTTCCATCTTTCAACTACAGCTACCTAATATCAATACTATTCCCGCGACTCCCTATACCCCCTCGCTATCTCCCCCAAGCTCTTCCTAACAACATCATGCGCATCCCGCGCGTCAGCCCTCCAGCTCGAAACCGCAACACGCACAGCCGGTTTCCCGCCCCAGCTACTCCCGCTAACATACCACTCATTGCCCTCATTAATCGCCTGCACAAGCACGCTATTCAACCCATCATCCCTCGCGCGGAACAAAACCACCATGTGAACATTCTCATCGCTCGTAGTAGATCCATCATCCGGCAGTAACACATACTCGTCTCCACAAGAGCGGATAGCCCTCGCCACCGCACGCGCAGTAAGCACCATCTTCTCCATCATCGCAGACATGCCCTCTCGACCCTCGCTCATCAACACGGCGTAGACGGGGAACGCGCGGAAACGCCGCGAGTTCTCCAGGCCGATGTTCAGCGGGCTCTGGATCGCGGACGCCGCGGCGGTGCCCGAGGAGAGGTATGCCGCGTTAGGATTCTTGAAGACGTCGCTGAGAGTAGATGATTTCCGAGTGAAGAAGATGCCGTTGTCGTATGGCTTTTAAGAAAGAAAAAAATTAATTTTAGGTTTGGAAATATTTCATGGGGGATATCGTATGAAGGAGATGAGAACACTGTCAAGGCAGGCAGAACTTACCACATTCAGAAACTTGTGTCCGTCGATCGTCAGACTGTCGCATAGTTCCAGACCAGCGGTAGCCGCGTGGAGGGAGGCGTATTCTTCCTTCTCCGGCAGAATCCGCGCGAAAACGCCAAATGCTAATACATCATCATTAGTTAATACCTAGGTACGTTTCCCAAGTTGAAGTATCACAACACTTACCCCCATCAACATGGATCCACGCCCGATATTGATCAGCCAGACGTCGAAGCCTCGTCATATCCTCAACCCCAGCAGTCGCGAACCGCCCCGTATTGACCTCGCCCGCGCTAATCGCAATGATACTAGCGACGTTCTCGCGCCGCAGCTCTCGCTCTACAGCATCTATATCCAGACGCCAGGGCTCCGCATCGCTGAAGGGCAGGAGCTTGACCGCGGCCCGGCCAAGACCGACTACGGACGCCGCTTTCGAAAGCGAGCTGTGTCCCATGCTGGTCAGGACCTGGATTTCCTCGATCCCGGCCTTAGCGCAGGCTCGCAATAGTCCGAGTTCGCCGACGGATTTGGAGCTGTCGGATACTCTTGCCGTAATGACTGCCTCGCGACCACACGCTAGTCCGAGGACATTGCTTCCCGTGGCACCCGTGGTGAACGTTCTGCCCTCCCATTGTTCCGGCTCGCCCAGGCGCAGGAGGCGCAGCAGCATCTTCAGCGCGGCATCCTCGACCTCCGTGGCAATCGTCTGGTTGGGGAGATGTACTTGGACATTCTGGTCGTAGGCGCTGACGATGTTATCCGCGGCCTCGGCGATCGGGAGCGTCGAGCCCGTGACGAAGCCCCAATATCGACCGCTCCTGTTCTGTCCATTTAACCCCGGCACGATGTCATCTAGTAGATGGTCCAACGTCGCCTCTGGTCCGCGGCCGGAGAGATAGTCTGTCCGAGCGGCATCCGGGAGCGAGGCTCTCGCGTGCGCGAGTTTGTCTGGGCCGGGAAGTGTAGGTGCATGTTCCCCGGGTGCCACAGCGGCTGACTCCCTGATGCGGCGCTGGGCCTGACCTATGAAGCTGTCCATCTCTTTTTTTTCTTTCTTGACTCGGATACGTGTTTGCTTCCCTTACGTATCAGCTGATATACCCCGCGCGCCGTGTCTGTGGTCTGATGCTACTTGGGGGCCACGAGGGTTTTATGTAGGTGATTTTATTTCTCGGGTGAGTCACAGCTGCGACATTGTCACCTCTGTAGACAACTCATTTTACACACCCGTTACATTGATTGTGCGGTGGATCATGTGTGTTTGTTCTTGTTTGTCATGAATCCTCAATATCGATCGCAAACTACTTCCTCCGCTTCATACTGATGAATATGTTGAACGACGCTAGCTTTTAGGTAGCTTGCCAGACCCGACGTATTATGGATGTACGTATTGTCGGTCGCTAGCTGTAGCTGGGGCACAGCCGACCAATTAAGCGTAGTGTACGGCGTAGAAAGGTAACTTCATCATCTAGGCAAGGCTGCGAGCCTCAAAGGAAGTGAGAATGTAGGGATGCATAACACTAACGGTTGTTTGAGAGATGTGTGTTACGTGATGGTTACGGGTCACGATGTGTTACCAGAGTCACATTGTGTTGCAGGTGAGCGAGTGCCTGAGCTCCAACGGTCTAGAACATGTGATCTGAGGGCCACGGATCTGAAAGGGCTTACGATCCTCGCTGGTGTTGACCGGCGGCTTGCCTTAGGCTGTGAGGCAGCACTCCCTGGCGAGCTGGGTAGGTATGATTCATGAATGAATAAGCACGTATTCGCACAGACTCCCTACTTGCCTTTTTGGGCGTCTAAGTGCAACGCCACGGGATGGATCGGTGACTAAACAGAAATACATCATACATGGACGGGATTGTGAGATTGCACCCTGCATCGCGCATATGTTACTCATACGCAATCTTGGGCTGTACATGGGGTGTGTCCTGAGAGGGCTTTTCGAATCCTCACTTCGCCGCCATCGTACATATGTATGAAAAGTACCCATATGTTTCTCGGTTGCTGTAAGGATTACATGTAAGTGCTGTATGTGTGTACTCTGTAAGTGATCCGATCGTCGATGCGGGGCTTGTTCTCTAGCGCTTTCACTAATAAGTAAGCGCGATATTCCTGCACATCATCAACAGCGTGGGTTAAGTAGGTTGGCTGTTATTGAAAAGAAGAATAATACCTAACCAACCTACCTATCTGCTATTGTGCTTTTCTGGTCATGCTGGCACTTCCGTTTCGGCGCAAAAAATAACTCCATAATATTCCGAAGGGCCCCTACCCCGCGGAACCTTGCTCAACATACCACCAGCAATTACCGGCCATGTCTTCAACCGTATCCTCCTTGGTGTAGATCAGGGGCGTGCAGGCCGATGGATCTTTTGTCACAAGCGCCCGGAACCTTAACAACAGTCGAATGCTACTAGTCTAGCGTTAGTCATTTGGAGGGAAAAGCTCCTGTTACCCGGTTACCGTACCTCTCACTGCGAAAAAGGTGTACTATGTACTATGTAATAACCCTCACTCGCGCCAAACCTCGCTTGAGATGGGCAACCACACTAATTTTGCCCAAACTTCTCGCGTCGGTAAGACAAGGCGCTGCGGTTTGCTGATTACGTCTTCGTGCAGATTCCCTCGGCACTCGCTGGGTCAACCCGTATAATGAGCTCGTCCCTCCTACAAGGTCTTGCCCTCTAGAGGTTGGTTACTATTCATTGGGTGTTCCAATCGCCGCCCCCGGATTCTGTGGCTGCGGACTTTGTTCCACTCTAAGCCTCCTAGGTTAGTGTCTTGTAGTTTCCAAGCTCGACGGCCAAGTCAATGAGGCGTTCAACCACTCGATACGACTGATTGGTCGCCAGGGCAGAAGCTGGGCTGCTTGCTTGCTGTTGGCAATTTGATTTATCATTCTGCATGTTTTGCTTAGCTTACGCCCAGCCTGGTTAACAACCTCTTCAGTTATATGGGTCTGCGTCCCAGCAGCTTGGTTCGACGTGTCAGTTTGGATTACGGTGCCAACGTCATCCGGGTATAACTTCACATCCCCAATTTGCCTTCTTGAAAACCACGTTTGATTTCACGACTCTTTTCGCACATGATTTCCTTCGTTTGTTAACTGGCTGAGTGTATCTAATTGCTATAATTGTCTTAGGGTTTCTTTTTGAACAACCGATTTACATTCATTTTATCTTCAATCTCATTTTGAGATTACTGTCAGATAAGCGGGCCCCCATGGCTTCTCAACATTCAAGTAATACAGAGGGCGAAGATGCCCAAGAAGAGATGATCATGTCCGATTCCCATGAGATGACCTATGACCCAGATCAAGAGTCGGCGAGATTACCAGCTCCGCCCTACGACCTTAACAACTTCCCTTTTACATTCGAACAGGCGTGTGACACGTCCCGCTCTATGCATATTGAACCTGATGTGAGAGCGACCGTGTCACTGTTTCGACAATTTAAAAACTATGCTAACCTACGAAAAGAGCGACCCTTCAAAGTCTCCAAGTTATGACTGGTGTGTTGACGTCATGCTAATGAGGTTTACTAAGCTTGAATGCTAATGCGATTCATCAGGGACGGCGAGTCAATAACGAGCAGTGTCACAGCGTATAGAGAAGAAAATGGCAGGACATATCATGCATACAGTGATGGGTGTACGTTCAGTGTTCTCTACCCTTTGACATGGACGTGGGCGTTGGACGACTAACAAGTGCTCACATGTTAGCCTACCACTATCCCAACGATACCGTGGAACTTGAGCGGCTCGACTGGCAGTACATATGTTTAAAACGCCTATTCAACGACAAAAATTACTTCGCGCCATGGTCCCAAGAACAACCTCCTAAGAGGGTATTGGATCTGGCCACAGGAACAGGCATGTGGGCGATCGAGATGGCTGAAGAATTCGAATCATCAACTGTCATTGGGACAGACCTGTCGCCTATCCAGCCTGAATATGTTCCGCCGAATGTGCATTTCTACATCCACGACGCGTAAGTTTGAGCGCATTCCTTTGATAACAGTTTCGGTAGATGCCTTTAGGCAGCTTATGATGCTATGTCGTTCTTGATCTATAACTGCTGGGTTCACGCAAGTGAGATAATGACTTCATCGTGCATGTGACGTTAACCTGATTTTCTGCATAGGAGACTGGATGAGTGGTGGTGGCCAGATCCTTTTGACTATATCCATGGTGTGTTTGAATACCTTCTATCTGGCATCAATCATCTGTTTTGATATACCGCTAACAGTCCCTATAGTACGTGAGTTTCTTTATTCTTCTCGAGCTGACGAAGAACGACTGAGAACTGGGCTCCGAGAGGGCGAGAGAACCAGTCCCTGTGCGTTGAATTGCGTGAGGTCTCGACTTTCTGACAAGCTCTAGATACGGATGGCCCTGGGTGCATGGGAGGACTTTGAAACCGACGTAGCTCGAAAAGCCTACGATCACTTAGAACCTGGCGGTTGGTTCGAGGCCCAAGAGCTACTCCCAACTCTTGGTTGCGACGATGGATCGATGCCCGACGACTGGGCTCCCAACCTGCTCTTTAACGACCTGGAAGATTGCGCGAGGAGAGAACAGCGACCGCTGGACATTGCCAAAACATATAAGCAGGGGCTGATCAACGCGGGTTTCGTGGACGTCTCGGAGCAGGTTTACAAGATCCCAATCAACGGGTGGGCGAAGAGTAAGAACTGGAAGACGCTCGGGGACCTGTGGAATGTGAACTGCCTTGATGCGATACAAGGCGTGGCCATGGCTCTTCTGCATCGTGCACGTGGATTAAAACGGCATCAAATCGAGGTAGATATTGACCTTTTCTTCCCTAAGCCGGGGTGGTGTGATATTGGACTAGCGCTGACCACGCCGCAGATACACCTGATGGAAACGCGTCGAGGACTTTCGGATAAATCCGTTCACGCTTACCAAAGCTGCTACGTTGTACTGGGACGAAAGCCGTTGCCACATGAAATTATACCAACATCTCCGGAGCCTCATTAAATGAACATGAATGCCATGTATACGTCTGTTAGATTCTATTCATTGTTATATATTTATTTGTCTTAACATAATGATATGAAGTTCGTCGGTCAGGATTTGACTGAAGATGCCCCAGTCCAAGGCTATGTCTATGTCCTCCGTATGCTCCACCGCTTTCGTGAAGACGCAGGGATCATAGAACAAAATCCTGGTTCTATCTGACCTAGTGACAAGGAAAAGAGAAATCAAGATCGAGATAGCATTTGTTACCTGAATGCCTTTCTGTGACTCCAATGCTTAGATACAGAAGGGCAGGTAGCCCTGACCTCGCCCTGACCTAAGTAGAGGGCTGGGTGGACCTACCTCTCAGAGAAGGTAGGTACATAGTCTCTGCTAGTAAGCGGTCTAGGCCGATACCTACCTAGGTAGGTACCTACACAGGTACGCAATAGGAGTACTAATGGCCCCTTTTACGGGGCACATTTACACTACCTCCATAGTACACCTGCATTGAGTGTCTTGTCTTCTACATTGGGATACCAACTACTCCAGCCTAATCCTAAAGCGCAGTGAGTGTACTACTGTAAGTAAGTGCATGTAATCGCGTAGGTATTTCGTAGTAGACTAGAGACTTATTTAAAGATGTTGCAAATATTTCACATGTAAGTCCATCCTATAACAGGTACCTATGGGCCCTCGCCTCCTTCCCAGATACTTACTTAGTTAAAGTACCTAGGTACATAAGCATACCTAGGTATGGATATCAGCAGTTGGTGCATGGTGCAGGAGCATGGGTACCCCGTAGTGCAGGCTGTGCGGCCAGTGCCGCTGTAGAGTACTGTAGGTATGTAGGTACATATGTACCTAGACACGCTGTAGGGTAGCATCAGCTAGGTCGCAAATAGTGTACTTGGCTCACTGTAAGACACCTGACACAGTAACGCTCTACTTCGTAAGTAAGTACATCACCACAGATTGGAGTCTTCCACCATCACATCTCACGATACAAAACCTAGATAACTGACTCCCCGAACTGACTAATGTTAGACCTCTTTGTTTGAGCGTCTTGATTACACCGATCCTCTTAGCTGTCTTGACTGTACCTATTCCCTCTCTTTTTTGCAACCCCAGTGCACCTCGACGGTTGCGCCAATCCCTAACCTTCTCCAAAACCAAGGCAAATACGCCCAGCCTTCGTTTAGCACGGGCACACATTCTATCCAGCCAGCCAGCCAACTGCTTGCTGCGTGACCAAATATATTCAGGCCTTGTGTCACCCAGGCTTCCGTTCTTGTGTTTATATTTTTATTAGTTAATACCAGCACGGGAGACTAAATAGTCGCGCTCCTGGCCGGAATCCTGGCCTATACGCAGCTTCTCCATTACCATTCGACCCGGGGCTCTTAGCAACCATCGTTAGTCCCACCCGGTTTCCAATCTTTTTGGTCGACGTTACTCCAATCCTACTGTGATCCTACCGTGTCTTCCCGTCAATCGCGTGCGCTCTCTTGGCATTTGTATATATCCTATAAATCCCAAAAAAGGACAGGTCCTGTTAATTTCGAGCGCGGCTCGCCACGGGAAGAATCATGGCCGGACTCATGAGCAAGCGCCAACAAGCACGAAACGAGCGCGCCCTTCAGGATCTCGTGCAAAGCGTCGCCGGCAACAACCTATGCGCCGACTGTGGCGCTCCAAACCCATGTATGTTCTATCTCGCTCGCCGAGTCCCTCCTTCGCTGTTACACTGCAACTTTTGCCCTCATCCGCAAGGAATTGCTGACATGTCGGCCTCTTTAGCCTGGGCATCATGGAACGTATGTGCTCCGAAATACAATCCGCCCCGTCCCCATTGTGGTGTTCCCTTTTTAGACCTTGCGATGGCGGCGCGCATGCGTGCTACTAGCCAGTGAATTCGAGCAATCGAGAGGTGGCGGATTGGATGGAATGCTAATATCTAGGGCTACAGCTAGGCATATTCTTATGTATGCGATGCGCTGCCATCCACCGCAAGTTGGGCACGCATATCTCCAAAGTTAAATCGTTAAGCATGGATAGCTGGACCAATGATCAAGTCGAGGTACGACAACAACCCCAGACCCGGTCCTTTACAACGCAAGATTCTAATTGCTCTTGGGACAGAGCATGAAACGAATAGGAAATGCTGCCTCGAATAGGACTTATAACCCCCAGGGCAAGAGACCGCCTGTGCCTGTCGATGCCGACGAAGCTGATTCCGCAATGGAACGGTTCATCCGAGCCAAATATGTGCAATCGCCCAGTCGAACACCGACAAACGGTCCATCTAGACACAATACAGGAAGCTCGGACGAGGGTACGCCTCCACCATTACCTCCTAAGACGGGTACTCGGTTCTTCAAGTCGGGGACACTTTCGTTTCGATCCAAAAAGGAGCCTCAAAGCCCACGAGAGAGCACATCTCCTCAACAAGCTTTGCCACCGCGCGACGACCGTCTACGTAACAAACCGTCCAAGGTCTTCGGGGCAAGTGTGCATCAAGATAGTGTAGAGGCCACAGCCATAAAGCTAACACAGCTTCGTGACATGGGTTTCACGGACGACAAACGTAATGCGATGATATTGAAGGGGGTAAATGGTAACCTAGAAAAGACAATCGAAACTCTCGTGCGTCTTGGTGAAGGAGGCGGGGCAATCTCGCCTGGTGTAGCGACTCCTAGAGAGCCGTTATCAAGGTCCTTGACGCCGAAAGTCACAAAAACGGTCACGAATGGTCTATCTCTATCAAAACCGAGCCCTCCTCTTCCAGTTCAAAGTCCGTCGTCGCCGTCCAACGATCCCTGGGAAATTTCACCGTCGCCTGCCCAGCCCCAATCGTCACAATCGACTGGGACATTGCAAAACAAGAATCCATTTTACAACAACAATCCCTTCGGTGCGCCGAGTCAGCAGAGTGAATATAACTTGAGCCAGTCTATCCAGAACTTGTCGCTGGCACCGTCTCAGCCGTCTCAGCCACCGCTTTTCCCGCATCATACAGGCGGGGCACCTACAACGCAGCCAGTGTCTCAGCCTACATATCCACATTCTATGACTCAGCCTATGCCGCAAATGCAGAACTTCGCATCTGTGTCGTTTAATAGCAACCAAACATACCCACAGCCCTCGCAGACACCGCAGCACGCCTATAACCCCTTTTTACAGGCCCCTGCTCCGGCCCAGCAGCCCTTGTCTCTGAACACATCTCCGTACCAGTATCAGGGACCTCTGACGAATAATCCATTTACAAAATCTCCAACTAGAGTGGTGTCGCCCATGTTAAACCAGATACCCGAACAATCACAGCAAAATGTATATAATTCACCTCTGACCCCATATAGCGCCAACCCTTTCATGACGATGATGAACCAGCCGGCTCAGATATCCCAACAACCTCAGCAAGACTGGTATCAACAACAGGGTCAGCAATATGTTCAAAACATGCAGCCAAACTACCCCGCCCAACGGGCAAACAAGGAGTCGATTATGGCCCTGTACAATTACGTACAACCTGTGCCAGCTCCTACACAATCACCAGGACAGGGCATTTCAAACCCCTTCGAGACAAGTCCGATGGCTTCTTCCATACAGCCCCCGACGCAGGTGTCTTACCAGCAAAGCGCTCCAACTGGCACGAATAACCCATTTTTGAGCAACGTGGCTGCTCCCGCACCCTCTGCCTTTGCGCCCACGAACTCAGTCGCTTCTGGTGCAAGGAGCCGAGAAAGTATGATGCTTGGAATGGAAATGGCCTGGAATAATGGCCGGCACAGTCCGGATGCGTTTACAAGCTTGAGCGCGAGAACTGGATAGTGAGCTCTCGGGGTTTAATGGACACTAGTATATATTGTATGAACCTGTTAACATATCATGTAGTTATAATATAATGCAGCCTCGTCATGAGAGAGGGGGTTGGTCTAATGATTCCACGGAGGAAAATGACAAAAGTTGAACGATTAGTTCATTTTCATTGTGCACGCTAAAGACCGATATTTACGTATACCATTACTTGTGAATCTCCTTCAGTGAAAACTCCTCCCACGTCATCCCTTCCAAATCATTAAATTCCCCATCGTCGAAACGCACAACCTCGCTCCAACCCCGGATCAAACCCCGCCAATAACACATTTCAGCCGCGGCACTGAAGTATCCGCCGTCCGCGAACAACGCGCGCTGCCGCTTCGCGATACCCTCGGCGATCCGCGGATGCGCTTCCAGCCAGGCCACGGTCGCCTCTAAATCGCTCCAGTCCGGCGCCACGAAGACGATGTTCGCCTCCGAGACGTCGTGCTCCGTCGGCCATGCGGCGCGCACCCACGGCGCCGGATACGGCGATAACGGGGGGGATTTCTCGCGGGGGCCGAGGTCGATGGGGGTGCGAGGGAGACCGGGAGCAGTAGATTTGTCGTTGTTTCTCACACCTTTCTCGTTTGCATTTTCGCTTGATCGCTGTGAAGAAAAGAAGGAGAAGAGCGAGCGGGATGAGGAAGAAGAAGAAGAAGAAGAAGAAGAAGAAGAAGAAGAAGAAGAAGAAGAAGAAGAAGAAAAGGGGGAGGAGGGAGAATCGAGCGCCTGGGGGTCGAGCGTGTAACTGAACACGGGACGCAAGAGGTGCGTGACGTGCTGCATCCACGCCAACGGGGGCGAGAGCACGACGCTCGCGCAGAGGTTGTGGAACTGGAAGCGTCCGCTGTACGTCACGCCCTCGGTGTGGATGATGTATTTATACTTGCAGAAGTCCTCGATGCGCAACGCGTTGCTCGCGTTGCGCTCCCCGGTATTCATACCCCTCCTACCCCCTTTCTCTCCCTTATTACTAGAAGACCAATCGAGGGATTCGATATCCGCCCATTGCCTGACCTTCTCTTTCCTAGGGTCATGATTTGCATTCTCTTCGCTCGTCCCGAAGGCCCGCACGAGGTTCTGCCGCAGACGCCCCGCGCGCGGATTATTAAACCATGTTGTCCCGCGCCATACCGCGCGGGGATCCTTTTCAGAGAAAGGCAGTGAGGATTCGAGGAGGGTGATGCGTTGTGATGCGCTGTGCATCGAGCCTATGAATGGCAAGGGCCAGGCGTAGAAGCTGAAGTGAGGGATTGGGAAGAAGCGCTTTGGAACACCGGAGGGTGTGGACTGGAGGATTGGGTCCCCGGGCCGCGAGTAGGAGAATGTGTTTGGGAGGGGATCGTCGTGGTGGTTGAAGGCGAAGATGGTGTTGGGGATGTGTGAGTAGGGGGATAATGAGGAGGAGGAGGAGGAGGAGGAGGAGGAGGGTGGACGAGGCCAGGTTAGGAGTGCGTTGGAGATTGCATGGAGTGTTGCGGAGCGGTGCGCGAGCATGTCTCTGCTTAGATCGGTTTTGCGAGCCGCTGAGAGGATGTAGAGCTGCGTTGGCTATTAGTATCCGTTCCACATGACCGTGTGTGTGTAGATACAGGTCTGGATGCATATGTATATATATAGATGTATGTTCTGGTCTTCGTGTCCGCACGCTTCGGCAGATTCCTTACCTGGCCATCTTGGATTCGCGCCACGAGCGGTCCGAGATCATTCTCCCGTCGCTCAAGCTTGAACGGGCCTTTCGCTACCTCGTTATCTACCTCATCTAACAAACCGGGAAAGCTCGCGCGACATCGATCCTCAGTCAGGAAGCGATTGCTTAGGAGATCTGCGGGGAGAGTGTTGCGACTCTCCCCTTTCCTCTGCGCCTCATGTGTGTGCTGGGATTGGGACCGGTATGCTTCTGGATGTATCGACCGTGAGCCATCCAAGCTCTCATCGGGTACGAGCAGGAAGCAGTAGATGGCGAGACAGATGACGGATATAATCATGATCTGCCTCAGCCGCGCCGTCTGCCTCGCGCTACGATGGTGTAGATGCGAGACGCCCATGGCTTGGATGTCTTTTCCTTTAATATGTCTAGCTGACAACCTTCGGAAAGCTAAAACCATGCTTCTTTTTCTTCTACATTGTCATTTCGCATATGTTTTCTTCCCGATTGATGTCATGCAGCATCAATCGGCTCACATAGAGCGTTGTGGTAGCCCGTTCCCGCGATGGGTCGCTCGCTTGCAGGATAACCGAATCTATTTACAGCCCGCGCCGCCAAGCCAAGAAACAACCAAAACCGAGAAAGCAGCAAGACGGAGACTTAAGAGTGGAGTTTGAACAAAGCGGACACGCATGCGTTTTCTCGCAGGCGGACGCGAGTGGGCAGAGGTTGGATCATGTTCGTCTTATAGTGATCTACCGACAACTGCCTCCGGGACATGTGCCTCCGAAACGGGGGATATGGTCCCTATTTCTGCTCGTATTTTCTCTATTGTTCCTGGGTCTTGCTGCTTTGAGATGGGCAGCAGATGGGGTACCCTCCATTGGGTTCCTAGACCAGCTGCATGCATGCATAAATGGATCGACATTACAGGGTCCCGTTCGTGGGGAATTACTCCCTCTACGATGAACTTCTTATGTGTGCATACAGAGGGTTTCCGCATCTATGGAGGTATCCTAGTGGTTAGAATGAAATGTAAAGTTTGGTAGGACGAGGAGCTTGTAAACCATTTAAGCGGTTGTAGGTAGTATTAATACATAATACCAAGACTGATTGACGCCTAGGCTTGCTCATCGAGCCCACGGAGGTTACCATGACAAGACGTAGATACTCGAGTATGATTGAGAACAGGTGCCCGATTTTCCGCCCAGTATCTTCCGGCTATAAGTTCCTTTCTCTAGTCCTCGCGTGGTCTTGTCTTGGGTTCTTACTTTGACCATTGTTGATTGAATGTGCTGGCTCAGGTCTGTAGTTAGTAGATGTCTTCAATGGAAATGGAGAGTGCCACTGGAGTCGGTAGCATGCTTAGGAGTGGAGAAACTCCAACAGACTGACTTGATAATTTTCTTTGCAGAATCCATCCTGTCTTTCTCCGAGTCTCTTTCATTAGACACAAGCAACCTTGCTACCAATGTTGGCTCTTCGCGGCGATATGCTTCGAGCATAGGAGAGGACTTGTGGCTTTCACCCCTGTAACTGGCCCCAAGTCAGCTTCTCGGTTAGATCATGCCGGAAGAGAATCCTTCTCCCGCTAACTCCATGTAGTTGGGGGCCACTGAGTGCTGCTTACAGCTCGCTATCAGCAGTGAGCGTAGCTGATGGTGGGATTGAAGCACCGGACATCTTTCACTACGTTCGGGTGTCTGACGACGTATCTCGCTGTCGGGTACAGTGATGTATACTTGGCGTGGTTTATCCTGGTGTCAATCACAATCCGAAGTGGTAAAGAGCGCTGCATTGATGGATGACGATAGGTTGGGAACATGCCCTTCTCATGAGACTACGAGTTCTTATAGCTACTACAAATGAACATCGGTCCAAAGATATATCACGATGATTGCGAGTAACGGTCCTGAGCAATGTCCTAAAGCTGGCAACTCGACGTACGTTATTCTAGGCTATGCGAATACAGCTCTTGGGCAATGGCGGCATGCTTGTTTTGGAGGAGTGGCGTTAGGACTGGGTCTCGTTCTGCGCAGCTGCGCATAACGTAGGACTCGGCTTTCGAGGGCCACGGCCGATTCCACTGCTGGGGTTGTGGCCATTGTGCATTGCTACAACTTACCTACATATCCCACCAACCTCCCGCTTACTTGGGGGTGCGCTCCTACACCTCCAATACCCTGTGCAGCTAACCACCCATCCATCAGTCTTCAGCCTCGCTGACGTCGATAATACCCTTTCGATCTTGGATACAAGGGGTCGTTTCTCGTTGGCAATCGCGACGAGGGTATTCAGAAGGTGGTTTGGGCAGATTTATACACCGACTAGTTGATCAAGCCAAGACCAACGAGGAGGGGCAAATTGTACGGCCGTTTTCACCTTCGCATACACTAAGCAATTGCAACGATTCTGTGCGAACAGGGCAATCCGGCTTTCGCCGACCAGAAGAGACAACAATATATCGAGTTGGACGAATTGACAATACCAATAATCCGGTATTGTGATCGCTGGATCAGCGTGTGCTTCGGCTTTCTGGATAAAGCTGCCGGAATAAGTTGCGTTAACCACTTCCTTAGTGATAATGTCTTTGAAGCAGGTAAGTATCCTATGAAGCTCGAATCCTTGAAGATGAGCATCCCGAGCTGACTCGTGTACTCTGTTAGGAGATAGAGACGTGGGTATCGGCCCTCGGCCGGTACGACAATAATGAATTCGAGGACGCTCTGAGAGAGTTCGAGAACATCTCGGATACGTCTAAGATTCTATTCAACATGGGTGTCATTCATGCCACGCTCGGCGAACATGAGAAAGCTGTGAGTGGACTTTTTAGACTTGAGCTACATTGCCAGTTACTGATTCTGAAAAATAGGTTGAATGCTACCAAAGAGCTATTCGGCTGGACTCGTACCTCGCCGTCGCATATTTTCAGCAAGGTGTCTCAAACTTCCTGCTCGGTGATTTTGAAGAAGCCCTGGCGAATTTCAACGACACCCTACTCTATTTAAGAGGAAACACCATGATCGACTATGCCCAACTAGGTCTACTATTCAAGCTCTATTCGTGCGAAGTATTGTTTAATCGCGGTCTCTGTTACATATATCTACAACAGAAGGAGTCCGGTATGCAGGATCTCAACTACGCAGTTAAGGAGAAGGTAGTAGAGGATCACAACGTAATTGATGAGGCCATAAGAGAGGAGGCAGAGGTATGTACTGCAAACCTACCCAGTCTGTGCAGCGCTGATCAATTACTAGGGTTATACTGTGTTCTCGATACCAGTAGGCGTAGTGTACCGACCTAACGAAGCTAAAGTCCGAAACTTGAAGACGAAGGATTACCTCGGTAAAGCTCGTCTAGTGGCTGCCTCAGATCGGGCCAATGCATTTACTGGCTTCGCTGGATCTGAGATCAAGAACGCAGGGCGAGGCGTGGAGAAGGACGACAGGCCAACAGACAACATCTCATTCGCAGCCACAAACCTTGTAAAACCTGGACTGCAAAGTAGGAGGCAGCAATCTGAGCCACCCAATGCTCGCAATGCCTTCCCACCGACACCGCCCCCTGAGACTGATAAACCTGCGGTCATGAGCCGGGGAGCTTCCGTCCGAAATGGACCCAAACCCATGCCTGCTAAGCTGAGTATACCTGATTCGAACGGTAGAAGCGCCAAATATGAGAAGACGAGTTCTCCGCAGAGCGAACGCAGGATGCCTGCGAGAGCAGCCTCAGAAGCACGATCCCCCCCACAAAGGAGCTACTCAAGGGCCGAGCCGATGAGGAACAGGAGGTCACGAAACAACGAAGAGGAGAGCGGCTACCCAGAAGACGTCTATGACATGTACAGTGGTGGCAGCAATGCTGCTGGATCACGCAGGTCACAAGGGAGCAGGCGGCCTCAGCAGAGGTATATCGAAGAGGAAGAAGAGGGCAGCGACTACGACTCCTTCGATGAAGGCGATTTCGAAATGGTGTCAAATCGGCGACCTGGGCCCTCATCTATGGGCTCTGTTCGTGGTGGTTCGAGACGTCCAGACATCCGCAAGGTCAGGGTCAAAGTGCACGCCGAAGACGTCCGTTACATCCTGATCGGAGTAGCTGTAGAGTTTCCCGACCTAGAGGAGAAGATCCGTGATAAGTTTGGCATGAAGCGCCGGTTCAAGATCAAGGTACGCGATGACGATGCGCCACAATCCGATATGATCACGATGGGAGACCAGGATGACCTGGAAATGGTTATGATGGGCGTCAAGTCCGCAGCACGGAAAAAGAGGGATGACATTGGAAAACTGGAGGTAAGTTGGGCAGAACGCCAACATTACAGTATCAGCATAACCATCATCAAAAGCCGCACAACTCTACCCTTATTTACCTCCCTTACCGTTCAACACTGACTCAATTTTGTAGATTTGGATCCAGGAGGTATAGACAGTATACTCACTTTCACGCACTGGCTGGCGATGAAAGTTACTACGATTTTTATTATCACGCTACACATCAAACCAACGATACCCAGAGCATTGCGAATGATGTAATGACAAGAGGAAACCCCAAATTCATAACATTTGGGAAGTTTCTTTTTCTTTTTTTTTTCTTTTCTAATCTTCCTTCTGTCTCTATCTCGCTCTCTCTTATATTTTATGTCATGTTAATATGTGTATGCTGCATTCTGTTTTCTTCTCACACTCAAGCACCCGAAAGTCTATTCTGCTATTCTTCATGACGCACCGTTGTTATCGGATGAAATACGAGTCTGCGCAAGATACATGACTACACTATTGCGTCCCTCTTTTTTTTTGTGTTCCTTCTCTCGCTCGCCGTACCCAGTCCGTGAACTGAAACATACCAACGTTTTGGATTTCTTCAGCCATACAAGAGCAGAGCGACTTGTGCTGTGTGGGTGTGTTTGGCAGCAGGAATGAGGGAAGGAAAGGGGTAAAAAAAAAAAATGGAAGGAAGCCAGGAACTTGCTCGAAATCCTTTAATATAGATAGATGGTTGAACAAGTCAGCACGTTGTTGCAAAACATTGTTGCATTTCTAGGTCCCACGAAATGTTAGATAAATAAACGGCGTAGTGCTTGGCGTTTGGAATATATCTTGTTCATCTTCAATTTACTTCCTCTTTCTGGTTATAAAGAATAGAGTCAGCCGATGAGTGGCTGTTGGGTACTGGTACTACCTAGGTCATTACGGCGGTGCTTAATACCTATGTTTCCTTTGAGTTACAAGTTCGCTGTTTATCTCCCAAGCACTGTCTTGATAGTAGTTGCGGTGAGTTCGGCCAATACCTAGGTATCACAATTCCCGCTCCCCGATACGAAGATGAGATAGCATACCTAGATGACCACCTACTCGACGCTCTCGTGAAGATCTGCCTATCTCATGATTCGGGTGCCGACATATAGCAATACCTCGCTTTAGTGATACCATTGCTATAAGAATATCTAAAGCTTGCCTCTGTTTGAAAACATGGTGCCTATCTTGGTATTTGCAATGCCTTAACAGCTAGCGATCCTCAACTCTATAAGATATATTTAGTTTTGAGATCATACCCATGATATAGCATTAAGTCTTCATGGCGATGTAGGGAATACTATGAACTTACAGTATCTACTTGAGTTAAGGAACTTTTTTAAGGACCCCCGCTCTAATTGCAGCTGAGGGGTACTAGGCCTCCCACTGAACCTACTAAAGTGTGCTGTAGAACAGCTAGGTACCTACCTGTAGGTCATGTACGTAGTACATAGATACCTACCTATCTAAATTAGCACCCCAGGCCAGCCACATCGCTGGGCGCGGGACTGTTGCGACGTCTTGGCGACTGGGTCCCTTGGATTGACAGGACCTAGGCAATTCGTCTTATCCTCTAGCTTCGTCACACTCGTTCGTGTCACTCACCATCTATCTAGATGACCTACTTACCCATAGATCCATAGGCAGACCGGAACCTGAGCTGTTGACTTGTTCCTGATAGCCTGGCCCGCGGTGTTGAGCACCTGGATACCTCGTTCCATGCCACTTTTCATTACCCAGCCTGTCTGGATTTCCCCTTGTCCTTCTCTCGCTCACAACTCAACACGGCTGGGCGCCTTTCTCCAGGCTTATTCTGCGTAGGCTAGAGGCATCTAGTTACACGCCTCGTTTCTTGGGCGTCTTCGTACCCCGGCCATCTCTTCCGCACCGATATCTCACACTCTGCCGAAGCCCTTGAAAACCGTAAACGCCCTACGACTGAGACACTCGCATTTTGCTCATGCTACCCAAGTAGTTATCGTTTGATGCGATAGGCCACTCGCTTTGCGACCACCATCTATGCAACCACCGTTAGCACTGAAGTCCCAGGCGGGCGTTTGGTTGGGATTGCCAATATGTTAACTACATCAGCGACTCCCACCCAGAAGTCGTTGAATAGCCAGTCTGCCGTCTCCTTAAACCCCTCTGTAGCGCCCTCCCGGACGAGTCTCGAGCGCCCTGAGCGAGATGGTGCCCTCCAACCCCCCGCCGCGAATGCCGCTACGGCGCGGAATCTATCCGCTTCCTCTGTGTCCTTTGCCCCGCGTGGTACATCTCTCAACCCGTCTTCCGTTGCGCCAGGCTCTTTTAGCTCCGAATTACGCAGCCAGATGACACAGTCTCGAGCTGGCTCGAGAGCAGATATTTACAACTTGGAAAAGCTGGATGAAAACGATGAATCTGTGGCAGAGCATACCATCAATGCGCTCAAAGACTCCTTGAATCGTGAGCTGAAGATCAAAGAAGGAAGCGAGAATTTGCTAGAGGCTTTAAACACGAAGAAGGCCAAACAAACCAAGGAGCAGCGCCATAGAGTTGAAGCTGAGCTCGTCGCCTCTAATCAAAGAATCAAGGAGCTGAGGCTCAAGCTTACCGATGCACAAAGAACAAAAGTAGCACCTAGTACGCCCGCGAGGAGTCGAAACGACGGCGTTCACCAGAATGGTCTCCGATCTCCTCCCAGCGCGTCGAGAAGCGGCGCCGGTTCTGATGTGGACGAGCCGGCTGAGTCTCCTACTTTTGCTCTCGCCGAAATATTACAAGCCCTCGAGGTCGAAGGTATGGCGCCCGAATACTATGTTGGGCGGGCAAACAATCTCGTTGAACTCTTCAAGAGGTATCCTACATTGAAGTATGATTTGGTGTGGTCGATCTTTGGGGATCGCATGCAGTTCATTCTGCTCAGCGGCAGCCGTGAGGTTGTTGCAGCAGGGTACCGAATGCTTCGGTATGCGATTTCTGATATTGCCTCTCTAAAGAAAATTCGCGCCCTAAATACCGACTACATGGTCATCGTCTCGCTCGCCAAGGATCGAAAAGCCGACGTCGAACGCGAACAAGCACTCAAATTTGTTCGTGCTTTCCTGGATGTCAAGGATGGTGTTCGTGAAGTATCTCGAGCGCTCGTCCGTGCTATTGTCTCGGTGGCCGAGCATGTCGAGGACAGGTTGCGCCCGATTTGCATCGAAACACTCGCCGAGATTCTCCTTCGAGATCCTGCGTTGCTCATCGCATCCGGTGGTTTAGCACCAATATCGGAAGCACTTTCCGAGGGCACGTACAAATCTCCCGAGTCTCTTTCAGCTGTTCTTCTCTTCCTATTAGATGCGCCACAGACGCGCAAATATCTACGAGCGGGATATGACTTGGAAGTAATGTTTACAGCCTTCACAGACAGTTTGTTCTTGTATGAGGGGGTTGTAAAACAGAATGCTAAGGCTATCTCTTTAGCGTTGAAGACATGGTCTGGCTTGATGAGTTTGTCCCTATTCAATTTTAGGGCGATAAGATCCTTGATCTCAAGTTTGATACTTCCAAACAGTACGATTCGTGATACGATTCTGGATTTGCTCTATTCTCTTCTGCGAATCAAACCACCCTCCTGGGCAACTTCATATCTCGCAGGGCGCCGCCTGACCACCTATGGGAGAGTCGCAACCCTGAAATCAACTGTCCCCAACAAGGGAGAAATAGTCTATGAAGATGAGGGCATAGAACAGAATTTCGTTGAACATTACACCGCTCTTCTTTTGGCTATCTTCATCAGGTCGGGCTTAATGCCGAACTTGCTCGAAGTGGCACAAAACGCAGAGGATCCCATGTTGAAGCGCAAGTCCACTTTATTAATTGGAGAAACATTGAAGCTTGCCAGTCGGATTCTCCCGCCTTCTTGGAGTAGTGAGCTTCAACTACTTCCAGAACTCTTCTCAGCCGCTGCCAAATTTGAAGATGAAGCTCGCTTCAACGCTACCGGTATTGTCTATCAAATTAGCAGTGTTAGCCGGACACTCCATCGGTCGTCCGCCTCCGGTTATACTGTTAGCGGCTTACCTTCTCCTGGGCCGACAGAATTATCAGGCTCGCTAGAGGACACACATAAGCATAGCAACTCAATTAACACCGATGAGGCTACTTTCCGGCAACTCTTAGTTGACTCTGGTGTTCTCAGTAGTTCCAATCCTGCGAAATGGAAATGGGACATCATGCTCAAGATTATTGAAGGACCATTAACCAACGGCAAGCGCTTAGAAGAGGCGATCAAAGCATCAAAATTCATTAAAAGTGTCATTGGGTTCTATCGTCCATTTAAATACAGGTTTTCCGAAGTCCAAAATACACGCAATACGCAAAAGTATGTTAGAGTCGGCTGTGCTCTAATGCACACGCTTCTACAAAGTCCAGAGGGCGTACGATATCTCACGGATAATAAGTTGTTAAGGCAGGTTGCTGAATGCTTGGCCCAGTGCGATCCGGTAAGAACTACGCCTTCGTTCCACCAAACACAGAACGTTCGCTGACCAAAACAGACAAGCGGCCTTACAGCCCAATATCCGATGTTTTCCAGAGACCGTCTAACAGACACGCTTTGTGGTGGCTACTTCCCCATGTTAGGTGTCCTTAGTAGTGACCCAAAAGGATTCCAGATGCTCGAGCGATGGCGCATATTCAATATGATGTATCATATCATTGATTTCAAGCAACGTCCTGATCTTACCAAATTGATTCTCTCGAACCTCGACTACAGCTTGCAGGGACATCCTCGGGTGTTATTGTCCAAGGCACTCACAGCTGGCACCAAAGACATGCGAATTCACGCCACCAACGTTCTCCGAAAATATGCTATTTCACAACGAGTGACTCCTTCTGGGCAGGTCATCTCAGACGCAAAATGGGCAATCCAGCTGTTGGTGACGCAGCTGTATGATCCCGAAATCGAGGTATGCGCTACAGCTGTCAAAATTTTGGAGAAAGCTTGCAATAGCAAACCATTGCTCGAATACATTGTGGAATGTCGGCCAGCTCTTGATCATCTAGGAGAGATAGGGGCTCCATTGCTTCTACGCTTTCTCTCAACTTCGATTGGCTATCACTACCTCGATGGGCTAGATTACATCAGCAACGAAATGGACGACTGGTTCTTAGGTCGCAATGATACCTACGTCAGCCTCATCGAAGCAAGTCTAGCACGCTCATTCTTTGAGGGCACCGACGATCACTCGAATCGCTTAAGCATGTACGAGGATGTGGACGTCGATGGGGATCAGGATAGCCATATACCACCACACTTTTACCGCGAATTGACTCGCACCAAAGAGGGCTGTCAATTACTTGAAGACAAGGGCCATTTCCTGGACTTCGCATCAACTATTCGCGACCACGGTATGCAGTCGGACGATCTAGAACTTATTACCAAGGTGAAAGGCTGTTTGTGGGCCGTGGGAAATGTTGGGTCTATGGAGCTAGGAGCCCCGTTTCTTGAGTCGACTGACGTTGTTGAAAAAATCGTGCAGATTGCGCAATCCCATGATGTGATGAGTCTCCGGGGCACGGCCTTCTTTGTCTTAGGTCTAATCTCAAGATCAGTCCATGGACTAGAAATTCTCTCTGAACATGGTTGGCTATCCAACACTACATTGCTTGGGAAATCCTTTGGGCTCTGTATTCCCAACGAGCTTTCCAAATTCTTATCCTATCAACCCTGGAAACATGAGATTCCATTGTCGATCAAATTGCCAGATACTCAAAACACGATTCAGCACCCTGTTTCAATCTTCGTCGATGAACCCGACGATATGAACAAGCGAATATTGGAGCTTATTGAAGTGGAGCTAGGCGACATGATTCTTTACAAGAAGGCCAGGGTTGAATTACATCAACTGAGGCATAAGAAGCTGTCCGGCTTCCGCCAGCCTGCCATGTTTCGGCGCGTTATGGGGCTTTTAGAGGGTCACCATTACAAACTTGCCGACCGACATCTTATCATAGAGCTTTTTGACAAAAATGTGCTACGACATGTTATCTATGGGGAGGACAGTAGCGACGAGGGAGACCTTAACTCGGGGGATGAGCAACGAACAGAAAGACAAAGGAGCATTAGTGATCCAGCCGACTTAGAGCTGACGACAGCGAAAACATCCCAATTCTCCATATAGTAAAAGGCTCACTGACTGGCTCAAAACCTGCCAGTTGGATACGAGTTATAGGGTCCTTTGGGGTCCTTTGTATTGATACCATACATGATACGATCTAGGTGATGTCACAAAATGGGTCTTTATGTTGATAGTTCATATTTTACGGTATAGTCAGCTTCATTGTTACATTGGCGTATCACGGCGTCAAGGTATCGGGTGAACAGTTGAAGAAGTGGTGGAAGATTGAGGAGTTTCGCTGGGGGCTTGGTCAGATGCATTATACCCATACCATGAATATGCAACGGTTTCTGAACCTTTTCATGACTTGACGAAGTATTCCTATGATCGAGTTTTAGGGATGTCTTGGTGTGCCCCCTTACGCTACTACCTGACTTCGTGATTTCATGTGGTAGTGTCATCAACGAAGACATCTCGAAAGTCGCCGAAAAGCACCGCGCATTAGCACCTGTAAATCAAAAGATTATTAGATGCATCAAGTAAAAGTTAAATGACCATCAAAAGTAAGCTCGGGCAAGCTCTGGTGTCTCAAGCACAGGTCACGTACAATTTAGCCCCGTGAAACTACCTAATGATTAGACAATTGAGTGACGTTACCTTTACCAAACCCCACTTTGTTCAATAGAACGGCGCCTCTCATAGCTTTGATTCTCTTTTACGCCTCTAGGCCATCTGAAAGCGTAAAGCCTAGCACTTGCCTTTTTTCTAAGTAGAGAGACAGTAGGTAGCTGGAGCCGTTAGTCTATTCGCAAAATGACTGACAAGACGGTCCTCGTCGTCGCGGGGAGCGACTCATCGGGCGGCGCGTAGGTTACGAATTTCCTTATGAGGTATTTCCTTTCTTGTACTAGGGGAAATACCGAATGATAATAATGAAGCAAGCCCAAAACACGAGAGACTGCTTCTTTATTATTGAATTCTTCTTCCTCTAGCGAGAAGAAAATAAAATGTTAATGTATTGATAGGGGTCTTGAAGCAGATCAGAAGGTCATCGCCGCACATGGCTGCTACGCTATGACGGCCACGACGGCCCTGACGGCTCAGAATACAATGGGTGTTAATGGTATCCATCAAATCCCGCCTGAGTTCACGAGGAAACAGATCGATGCGGTATTTCAAGATATCCCGCCCAGTGTTGTCAAGACGGGTACGTTGACTTGTCAGCTTAACCTTAAGCTTGGGCTTTTGCCTTCTGTACCGACTGGGTATTTATACTTATCACATTGATGGAAATAGGCATGTTGGGCTCAGCGGCTACCATCGAGATGCTTTCCCAAGCATTAGTCGACTACAAAGTTGAAAAACTGATTCTAGATCCGGTAAGTGGGAAAGCACACCAGAAGGAAAAGTGTCGATTACGCTACAATATACATATATGAATCCGAGTAGAACTGAGAATCATCTACGAAGGTCATGGTAGCTACCACGGGTGCTCAACTTCTCCCCGAGAACGCCGTCACAGAGCTGCGCACGCTCCTGCTGCCCCTGGCCTTCATCCTGACCCCCAATGTCCCCGAGGCGAAGCTTCTGCTCGCCAACAGCGGCGCGATGATTGGCGATATCAGCCGACCCGAGGACCTAGAGAATCTGGCGCGGAAACTACGCACCCTCGGGCCGCGATGGGTGCTCGTCAAGGGCGGCCATGTGCCGTTTACGAAAGAAGGCGTTGCCGCCATGTCAAATGCGGAGAAGGAGATTGTCGTCGATGTCCTCCTTGGCCCTGATGGGAATGTAACGAGGATCGAGAGCCCGTATTTGCAGTCGAAGAATACCCACGGCACGGGCTGTTCGCTCGCTGCGGCCATCGCGGCGAATCTGGCGATGGGATTGGAACCTCATGATGCCGTGCGTGCCGCTTGTCGGTTTGTCGAGGCTGGCATCCGGTCTGCGCCAGGCTTTGGGCGTGGGAATGGCCCGCTTAACCACTTCCACTCGACGTACATGCTGCCTTTTACTCCGTAAGTTTTTGTCTCCTCGGGCACTGGGGGAACGCACCACTTTCCTCCAGTTTCTCGCTATTCCTGCTTGCTAGGCTGATGCTGTGAAGAGGACGGTTCGTCGAATGGCTGCTTTCTCGGCCGGACGTGGCTCCCGTATGGCACCGCTTCACCAACCATCCCTTCGTTCTCGCGCTGGGCAACGGCGAGCTGCCGCTTGACTCGTTCAAGAAGTATCTCGTTCAGGACTATCTGTACCTGGTGCACTTTGCGCGTGCGAACGCGCTCGCGTCCTATAAAGCGAAGAACATACGGGATATCGCAGCTGTATGTCACCCCGGAAGCATCCACGTGAACAGAGACACGGTCACTTGTGTAAATCAAAGAGAAAATAGGCTAAATTGTGTGTTACTTTTGATACAGGGAGCGAAGATTGTCCAGCATATACACACCGAGATGAAGTTGCATATTGACTATTGCAAGAGCTTTGGCATTACAATAGAGGAGATCGAAACTACTGAGGAGCATCAAGGTACGTGATATTGTCAACTACTCGCTCTTAGAACCCTTTTTAATAGGTTCACAGCTTGCACGGCATACACGAGATATGTTTTGGATATCGGGCAGTCCGAGGACTGGCTTGGTCTCCAGGTTTCGTTGGCACCGTGCTTGTTGGGCTACGGAGCTATTGCGAAGCAGTTACACGCTGACCCGCGCACGAAGACTGAAGGGAATACAGTGAGTGAATTTCATCACCTGTGCTCTATTACTCCAGCCATTATTGGGTTTATGGGAGAGTTTAACTGCGTGCCTCGGCAACTGTTAATCCATCCCCTGCTTTATATCGATAGTGGTGGACGCTGACCTTAAATGTTGCAGTACTGGCCATGGATTCTCAATTACGTAGCAGATGATTACGTACAAGCTGTTCAGACAGGTTGCGGTAAGTCATTACACCCTTGCTCTCTAATCTCTTCACCAGACGCATGCCACATTGTGCTCGGGATAAGAGACAAGTCACAGGTGTTAATCATGCTTTAGAGCTCATGGAAAGGAACGCCGTCTTGCATTCTCCTTCGAGAATCGAGGAGCTTGTTAAAGTGTTTATCCATGCTACGAAGGTAAGATGCATTTCTGTTTTTGAGTCCACGAGAGTGGCGTAACGAAACTCTCTTGGCTGACATGGTAGTAGATGGAGATTGGATTCTGGGAGATGTTCCCGTCCGCTTGAGGATGTCTGGTTGGCTAGTCGAGTCGGAGATATCACCAGTCACATTAGAGTTATCACAATAGATTGAGTTTCATAGATAAGTAGGTAGATACGATAGAAAAGCATAGAATGAAACATGCTCACATACTGTATTTATTTGATAACAGCCCCTTCTAGCAGTACCTTGCAGAACGAACATGTGTATTTACGCAACTTTGGAAGTTTAAGATAGCCAGTTCATCCGAAGAATTACTTTAAATATCACCATAATAATATCACTACGATAGAAGGTTTGTTGGACAACCTTAGGTACCCCAGTTCGATTCTTTATCTGTACCTACCTATGTGCATACTGAATATTAAGAAGAAGATAAAGTATATATTTGAGACAAGATACTGGATATGTGTGTAGGTAGGTGGATGACGCACCGACTTTATCAATTCACCTATTATTTTAAAACATGAAGGCGTCAATGTACCGTACATTGTGGACTTGTTCAACTTTCTTTTGCCGCTACCCTACGAAGTACATAATGTACTTAAGTACCTACCCTACCTCCCTAAGGTAAGAGGTAAGAGGTACCTCTGCTGGGCACTTACGCGCTAGGGGTACTTCAGGGCCTTGGGTTTGTTGGTCGAGACTTTCCAAGGTCTCTGTAATGTGGGGCACGCCTACCTAGTGCCAGAAAAAAAAAAATTGACTAGCAGTGGATTTTCTTTGCCTTCGTCTCGTCGCTGACAATCCGAGCATAAGAGACATTCCCATCTCCCTCCCTATCCCAATCACCAACATCTACCATCTCACCATCTCCCATCGAGCACTCTATCTCGTGTCTCGCACCCCGCTCATTTTCCCAGGCCGCAGTCCTGTATACCTTCGTCGCAGCTTACAGAGGCTCTGAACTCGATTGCCCTGCTGCTTAATACTTCCGATCGCGCGCTGTACTTGACTGGACTTGTGTGCATATCTGCCTCACTACTCCCGACTTCGAACAACAACAACACAACTACCAACAAACTTCTACACCCATCAACAGCACTATGTCTTACGGCGGTGGTGGCTACAGCTCTCGCGGCGGCGGCCGCGGTGGACATGGAAATGACTACCGCTCTGGTGGTGATCGTCATGATTACAACGGTCATGGGTAAGCAATACGCGCTTTGTTTCTCACTTCCAATATTTCCCTCTATTCTTTTTTTCTCATCAACTGCATGCGCTACGAGAATTCTATCGTACTCTCGACGCTTCTATCGCGTTGAATACATTTCATTTTGTTTTCTCTGCACGATATTGCCTCGTACTAACCGCGACAAACAGATACAACAACGGACACTCCAACTATGGCGGAGGTGGTGGCTACGGCGGTGGCGGTTACGGTGGAGGCGGTGGTGGCGGTGACAGAATGAGCAACCTTGGAGCCGGTCTCAGCAAGCCTCAATGGGGTATGTTTCCTTGTTATCCTAGTAATCGTGCCTCAAACTAACCCATTCGACAGATCTTAGCAAACTTCCCAAGTTCGAGAAGTCCTTCTACAAAGAGGACGACGCTGTAGCCCAGCGCCCTAGTAGCGAGGTCGACCGATTCCGACGCGACCATCAAATCACTGTCGCCGGTCAAGATGTGCCCAAGCCTGTCGAGACCTTCGACGAGGCCGGTTTCCCTAGATACGTTATGGATGAGGTCAAGGCCCAAGGCTTCCCTGCTCCTACTGCCATTCAGTCCCAAGGTTGGCCGATGGCTCTTTCTGGTCGCGATGTCGTTGGTATTGCCGAGACAGGCTCTGGAAAGACGCTTACGTACTGCCTTCCCGCCATTGTTCACATCAACGCCCAACCTCTCCTAGCACCTGGCGATGGCCCCATTGTCCTTGTATTGGCGCCCACCAGAGAGTTGGCTGTTCAGATCCAACAGGAGATTACTAAATTTGGTAAATCATCCCGAATTCGCAATACCTGTGTCTACGGTGGTGTTCCTCGTGGTCCTCAGATTCGAGATCTTTCCAAGGGAGTCGAAGTGTGTATTGCCACACCTGGTCGTTTGATTGATATGCTCGAAGGCGGCAAGACGAACCTTCGCCGCGTCACATACTTAGTTCTTGACGAAGCCGATCGTATGCTTGACATGGGTTTCGAGCCCCAGATCCGAAAGATTATTAGTCAAATCCGACCGGATCGTCAGACACTCATGTGGTCCGCTACTTGGCCAAAGGAGGTTCGGGCCTTAGCCTCCGAGTTCCAGACCGACTTCATTCAGGTCAACATTGGTTCTATGGATCTCTCTGCGAACCACCGCATTACTCAAATTGTTGAAGTTGTTTCCGAAGGTGAGAAGCGTGATCGTATGATCAAGCACTTGGAGAAGATTATGGACAACAAGGAGAACAAGTGTCTCATCTTTGTGGGAACAAAACGTGTTGCCGACGATATTACGAGGTTTCTCCGCCAGGATGGCTGGCCGGCACTTTGTACGTTCCCCAACCTTGCCATACAATTTCTTGCCACTAACAAGCTTATAGCTATACACGGTGACAAGCAGCAGAATGAGCGTGATTGGGTCCTGGATCAATTCAAGACCAACAAGAGTCCCATCATGGTTGCCACCGACGTGGCTTCTCGTGGTATTGGTATGATTAATATTCCCCCAACCCTATCCCATCCCCACAACTTCCAGCAGAGTTATATCCGATGTGCTTGACTGTGACGTCTAGGGGCTTTCTTGATTGCGCACATATTTCTGGCCTAATCGTGTCTTGTGGTTCTCCTCTACCCGGATGGTCGGGATGATCGGGATCAACGGTATGGCCCAAGGGCCATGTCTAAGTTTCGCCTTGTACCTGATATGCTGTGGTACATCTAGGCGAAGTTGAGCATTTCTTGATTTTGTCAAGCTATCTCTAAGATTCCCGATTCCTGAGGACCCGGACCAGACTATTGGGATCAATTCCAGATTGGTAGTGTTGATGCAACAGACAGCCCCATTCTCGATGGAGAAGGCACGGAACAATATGCTTATGACACCCATGTCCGCCGCTGGGACTTGCTTCGTGGCAACTCGTTTTCTAGAGCTAACCTTTTGTGATAAAGATGTGCGCAACATCACTCATGTGATCAACCATGATTATCCGAACAACTCGGAGGATTACATTCATCGTATTGGCCGTACTGGCCGTGCTGGCGCCAAGGGTACTGCTATCACATTCTTTACTACTGACAGTAAGCTTCCCACTACTCTTTACGCGTCACACGTAAACTAACAGGTTTGCACAGACTCGAAACAGGCTCGTGATCTCGTTGGTGTGCTCCAGGAAGCTAAGCAACAAATCGACCCAAGACTAGCCGAGATGGCACGTTACGGTGGAGGCGGAGGCGGCGGCCGATATGGCGGCCGTGGGTACGGCCGTGGAGGTCATCGTGGTATGTTGCATTTATTTCGTACCCTCAAGGACAACAACTAATTACGTCTCAGGCGGCGGCGGTGGTGCTGGCGGTGCTAACGCTATGCCTCTCGGCAACCGACGCTGGTGATTGAACTCCTCATTCGTCTTCAACACTCCAATCCACATACAGACGCTTTTGGAGTCGTCTATGTCCTTTTTTTAACCTAATCTTCAAAAGCACAACGGCGTTATCTAGAGGGTCTGGCTGATTAGACATGGTAATATCGGCTTTCTTCTTCGAGTCGTGCATCTCTTCAGTGAGGCGGGCACTTGTCATCGTTGATTTTAATATGTCAGGAGATATGACAAAGCTCTGCAGGTTTCTAAAGACGGCGTCCTCCTGGTTTGAAAAGGAGACACAACGACTATTATCTTTTCGAAAGAGAAATAGCAGCATTGTCTATTTAAATTGCAGGACATTGGCCGTGGAACTTGCTGACCCGATTCTAGATTGGAACTTCTTAAGCTACAGCATATCAACCTGCAGGAGTCTCTCATGTTTATGTAGATTTGTTGGTCTTGAATTGCACTCTTTAAGAGGCGAAGAGACAACCTAAGTAGCATAAGATTGATATTTTTCCTGTAAACTGTTATCTTGGATCGGAAATATGACCGTGTGATTCACTGAACAAAACATTCAAATATTCAAAACCCCATAGCAGCAGATATGACCAAGGATTCTTGTACCACTCCCTGGGAGAAATGACTGGTTTTGTCTACGTCACTATTATTGGTACTTTAGCCCATCGGTTTTTATCGTATAGAATGGCTCTATTCTTGCGTCAGGTATCAATCGAAAAGGACCTCCATCGTCATATTGAATCTTCAATACGGTTAGTTTTCAAGTATTTTCTATGTAACTTCTCCACAGTCCCAAGAGGAGGAGCAAAATATACAGTCTTGTTCAGATCAGTAGCACCACTATAAGACATGACCTGTACGCTGTGTGTTTGATTTCAACAAAATCAATATACAACGAGATAAAATGTCCTTCCTTATTAGGGCAGATCAGTTAATATAACATGTATGGATTGCTTTAAAGCGTTATTTTCCACTCATGTTTGAATCCGAAGATATATGAACTAAACAGACCTACGCCCGATTAACTGCTTTGACGAGTCGCTCTTCGAGGACTTCGAGATACGGAGTATAATCATCGTGCTCCCGTAATTTGGAAGTAGTACGTCACGTCTCATGGTAAAATTGGAATTTGTATCTGGATTTCGTTCTGGCGTAGTAGGCCTTGCGTAGTATTGACCTGGACGATATCCCAGGCACGCGGGTTTACTATTTGGATATATCTCTGGCGAAAAAGATGCTTGACAGATACTGAGCGGTGATTCTATCTATTGCCCATTACTAGACGATAAATTCCGGTGGTAAATATGTTCTGAAATGAACTTAGTGCAACTATTCGGCTGCGACAGGGACTCTGACATGTGTCGAACTCCTTCGTGCGCATTTGAAGGTGTGTTGCTCGCAGACTGCAACCGTACGGTATGTATCGCTTTGTATGAAATTCCTGATAAGACATGTATTCGAAAATGAGGCTATTTAGCCTCGCGCTTATACGAGACATATTGACGAAACTCGAAGATTGGGAATGCTGTCGAGTTGTATGTGAGAGTCAAGGTCGGTCATTGAGATTAGAAAGGGATCTGATTGGACCATATTGGACCTTGATAGTCTTAGCAGTTTATTGCGTATAGCTTCATTAGTAGACTTGATCACCAGCCCTTGTAACAAGGTCATTCTCTAGTGCTGGTTATAGGAGTATAAAAAATACTGTGTTAGGCAAAGCTGAGTATGACCCTTGATCCGTATTCTGTGAACCGGCCTAGGTTGTGAACCCATACTAAGTGGAGGCGACGATTTTATATACCCGCAGCAGATATGGCGTTGGTTGTTGGAGCTGGCGAGAGCTATTGCGTCTAACACTCGTGCGGACCAGTAACGGACGGTTCGATGTATTGAAAATTGAAAATAGTAGCCACCATATCTCCTATCTGAAACACATCGTGTCAGGATAAAAATATCCCTGTTCCGAGTTGAAAATTGGAACGTCTCATGCCGTTACTCATCGGACAAGAGGAGTGCCAAAATAGCCAAGAAATGCATACTAGAGAAATGTGTTCCATTGAGTTCCAGGTCCTAAGGAGTAAGCCATCTAGGGGCTGGGACGCGAGGGCGTAATGAATTACCTTTCATACATACCTACCCTACCCATCAACATGTATACGATCATCGGTGGCACATCATATCGGCTATGCGCAATACAGCGCGGCGCAAAAACCTCGTGGCAAGTATGATGCTGGACATTTCTAGGCTGTTGATGACGGAAGCGAGTGGGACAAATTAAAACAAGACATAATAGAAGAATTGCGTTGTGAAATCGGCCCATGAGAAACGAACGATTTAGACAGGATGGATATACAAGGGCTAACTAACCATTGCTGGGGAGAAATTAAATGCCCGTCCGTCGCATTTCCCAAGCCAGGTCAAGTAGGTAGTACAGTGCGTTAGGCGGAAAAGCTAGGAGTAAGATTACGTTTTTGTCAATCCGTGTAACCACAGGACAGCAACGTCTCCCTAGTAGGAAAAGGTTACACCAGAAGGATCATTAGGTAAAAGCTTCAAATTGCAAGTCGGTCATACCGCATACTATCGTCTATGCTTCCAATAGAACCTTGATCGATCCCTATTCGCAGCACCTTCGCCTCTATGTACCGTGAAGTTATGGGTTACTGTCTCATGTCGAGCGTGAGTGAGAACGTATCTGAGATTTGACCACCAACGCATTAAGCCATGAGTGAGTCACAATAATAGTCAACAGCAGAATTATTAATTCACCTCCGTATCGGCGCGGGATATATAGAATAGACTGTATGATAGAGTCGCGATGGCGGTAATTAAATAGCAAAGACCTGCGATATCGTTTTCTTGAATTGGCAATATTTTCGCATTGCTTCAATGCTCGTCTGTATTCCCCTGGAATCAGCTTTACCGCGTAGAAAGCATTCGTTGGTGTTTCGTCCATATCTCTCGCATTCTTAGGCTCTTTAGAATCCGAGGAAACCAAGCCATGGGTAGTTTCGTAGCTGAAGAGTCGATCTGTTATAGTATAAGGGCGGTATCCTCGTCTATTATTTATGACTTCCCATATTTCGGGAGAACTAAGTTCCTTTATCTAAAGAGTGTATGGGCTGGGACACAGAACGATGAGTGAAGTGGTCAGTATTAACAATCGAGAACAATTCACCTACTCAAATGGCCTTCAGAAGTAGACGCGTTTGGGCGTTTGGTCGCTACCTTAAAACCACTCACTAATTCATAACTTGAAGCGGCGCATCATTCTTGAAATATATTTGCTCCAATCGCGATCAAAGCGAGAAAACTTAGGCGTAGTGACTTAGTCTCCAGAGCATATTATCTCATAAACATGAGATATGACCAAAGTTCCATCTTTACATCAGGACGATCAAATGTTCGGCCCATGAACCCGACTGTCTGTTTTGGCGTACCCGTGCGTTATGCGTAGATAAAGGAAGAAAGATTGTTACAGCTCATAGTAGCCTCAGGGTTTCCAGTAGGTAAGACTGATAGTTATCAAACGGAGAAAAAGAGATTAAAGAGCATCGCGGCAGTAGGGCAATAGGTTAGTTAGTGATGCTGCATTGTGGTCGTTACTGAACTGTCAAAATTTCTTCCCATTCCTGTATGGAAATTCATGATGGCGGTATTTCCGATTTCGTATTACTTACGTGTCCCAAGATAGCAAACCAGCTTCTGTACCGTTATCCATCTCAACAACCGTGGGAGCAAATTCACCTCTCTCATCCTCGTCTTCGAAGTCTGAGAGTTCCGCTTGCACCATCTCACCGTCTTCAAGCATCACATTGCCTGACCTGACATATTCGCCCTTCAGGTCCCACCCAAATCTCCACAGCCAAGATTCCAGGGACGAGAAAGACATACCGACAGCCTGTTGGTCAGGGGTGCAGTGGTCACCTAGCGCCCGAAGCTTTTCATCCAGGCGGGTCTTGTATACGGTGAGTGCCAGCCGGAGTTTCCGGGCTTGTTCGGGCATTAATTCAAGAACGTCTCCTTGGAGATACCGTTCATTATATAACAACTGAACGTGGAAAGTCTGGATAAGATTCCGAGCTTGCTGTGGTCTGTCAACAGTCAAGTCGTAAGATCGAAATATGAGCTGGGTGGCTAAGAAGAACCATTGCTCGAGGCAGGAAAAATTCCCGAGGTGCATGCCCACAAGAAAGGCAAATTGGAACTCTCCTATTAAATCCTCTGGTCGGTGCTCACTGTTGGAATTCTCGAGTTTTTCGATTACCCAGCCGCTTGGGTCTAGTGCCTGTCGCGTTCTTTCTGCGCCTGTGGCCTCGGGGTTGATAAGACGAGCATCCATGGGAAATATGAACCGGAGGTGAGGTGCGCCCGAATTATATAGCTGAGCCTCGTTGGCCAGCCCGGAGTCCCCGGCTACGCTGTCCGTCGTTGTTACATGCCAAGCATTCTGTGTTTGGCCTACGACCCTATTCAGCAGATCCGGCTGTATGGCGAACGTGAGCTGATACCAGATATTTTGCTCGCCGAGCAAGTCTGGAGGGGTTTGATCTCCTTGTGATAACGCAAGTTTATGGGAGGACTCTGTGCTGGCTGCACGGAGATGATAGGGAGAGAGGCGTGCAGATATTTGCTCTAGGCTCTCATCCCGAAATGGCTCTTCTTGTGTAGTGGGGTCACGGAGGACTTCGTTATATCTGTCCCATTGCTTTATATAAACATGTCCTGGTTGCGAGCCATGGCTCTCGGGGGTGCATATCCAATAGCCACTTCTCGAAGAGGTGGCCTCAGAGGGCGCGACCCAAATCAGATGAACCCCAGCTGGGATGTCCCGGAAGCCTAGGAACGGTTGCGCACTGTTAAAGGATGTCGCATCGCAGCCAACAGTGAAGTTCGCTGGAAGATGACGCAAGATGAAGACATCCCCACTACTGAGAAATGAAGGCGTCGAGCTGACACGAGGATCTTCCATTTGAAGAGAGGGTTGGTGTTGGCGCTGGTGCTTGCCACGAGGGGAGAGCCCGTCTTGGGGTTCAAAGCGATTGGCCGCCTCGTAGGGTAACAATTTGATAATAACAACTGGAAGCACGTCCTATATAATAAAAATGGGTTGACTCGATAAGAAAAGACGTTCAGTCGAGAATTAATAGTGACTGTGACTGTGACTGTTCGTTGAATGGAGAAGAAGAACAATAAAGTGCATTGGACGTGGTTGTCGGTCCGCCTCTTGCTGGTTCCACCCCACTATCCATTCCCACTATTACCCGCTGTTGCAGCGGCATATCATCACCTACCTCCTACGACAGTAGAGATGTGGTTGAGAGGCGCAAACCGCAACACGGGCCAACACCGAACAAACTCATGTTGTGTAGGTAGGTATTCACGAATAAATGCGGGATATGACAATGCGCACACAAGTGAGTGTGTTAGAACCTACAGGAACCTACAAGATCGAAAAGAGGATGACGATGTCTGTCACAGGCCCGACACGTCGCATATGCCGCTGATACCTACCTATCTACCTAGGTATTCATCTCGAAGTACTATTTGAGTAAAGACAAGGTGAATGAAAGGAGAATGACACCATTCCGACCTGGCCAATGGCAAGATCATCGCACTTGGAATGATTCTATTCCAACCTGCTGAGTTGCGTGGGTAGGTATTTTGGTAATCAAGGTATGGATGATATAGTAACTAGGATACGTGGCCATATGCGGAAAACGTATCCGAAGAGCACAGACATTGGTGGAAACCGTTGAGCTTGCATCGGGGCTCCGTCAATGATCTGAGCAAGGGGCTTGCCTTGCTTTTGCCATTGCTTCGTACAATACCTACCTTGCTTGCATCATCACCTTGCACCCACGGTAGATGACCAAGTAGCCGGTCACCGAGCAGCTGCCAAGAAGATTGAACGTCGTTTTCTTGTCGTCCATCGTTATTGCTGCGACCCTCTCCTGTTATTGTCATAATGAAAGAGTTCTCGTATATGCCATTGTCAAGTTCGATATAAAAAAAAAACTCAAAAAAAAACTCTCTGGCCTTGAATGTGCGAATGCAACTAACTGTTCGAATACAGGACTCGAACGGTTGTTTTAAGGTCCGTGTATCTTGATACCTAACCCAGGACTTTTCCAAGCCCTGACCTAGGTACCTAAGATACTATGTATGCAAGCGAAGCTTCCATTATTCCAAGTTCCAAGTCAACACCACCAGGCTTACCGTGCATCCTATGTTAGACTCAAAGTAGGTAGGCATGTTCCCGTTAACACGTTGGTGTAAACTAATTAGGTAGGCTGGGATCAAGCCTGGATCGGAAAATAACGATAAAATAAGATAAAATAATAATAGTAATAATAATAAACTTTTGTTATTATTATTTTTTAAAAAAGCTCCGAGCTAAATCTGTAGTGCACATACATAGTATAAGACATACATGACGCACCCCAGATGAAACTATGCTTGGATCGCACTAGAGCCAGGGTGGTCGTGGTTGAACCAGGTTTTGACACTAGAATCGAGATAGAGAATGGGTAGGTATATCTATTTCTTGGGATGGGCGTGGTACTGTACATGTAAGTAAGTACACGTAACACCCTGTCGGCAGTAGGAAGGCGAAGGAACGGAACAACAGTAAGGCGAGGCGAGGCGAGGATGCAACATACCTACCGTACCTATGGTAGGTATCCGGAGATGTTGCTACCTGGGTACTGGAATCAGCGTTGAGCTGGGTGTGATGTGATGTGATGTGATGTGATACTTACTCAGTAGGTAACGGTATCCAATGTGAGACCCGTTCCTCTTTCTTCCCTTGGGCTCTGGCATGGATCGTGCATCTGCACCTGGCATGACGCACATGAACATCGTGTCCATCTATCCATCTATCCACCCATCCACCCATCCATCTCAGACTATCCATCCATCCATCCATCGCCTTACGCGCAGGTGCAGCAGCAGCAGCAACCACGCGGCGCGGCACGCACGTCAAAGACAAGAGACCGGGGACGACTAGGCCAGGGCCATGTCTAGCGCTGCCGTAGCGTTGGTCCGGTCTGCTCGTCGGCGCGCGAACCACCCCCTTGTCTAGTTTCTGCCAGTCTGCCACACCACCGACGACACCCCATCCCAACCATCACCAACGAACATGTCACCAAGGGGAGAAAAAAACACCCCTTCCTTCTACCCCGGATTTCCTCCCACTCGCGAGGACCCGGTCTGCTCGGTTAGCCGTTAAGTGTCAGGGGGCTTGAGGGGCCCCAGCTCTGCTCTGCTAATCGACGGCCCTACCGCCCTACCGCTCCCGGCTAGCCAGGAGACAAGACGCATGGCAATGCCTTGCAACCTCGCTAAAATAGATCTAAATGCCAAACCCAACCCAATAAAAGACCGAAGAAAAAGAAGTTAAATCGCTTTTGGACCATGAACCACCCCCATGTCCTGTATCTCCTCTGTACAGGCCAGGTACAGCGCTAGGGGGCCAGAGGTACAGCCCAAGTATACACTCTCGCCTTGCATTGCATACACAGATGTGCCGAGCAGGACACACAGCAAAGGAGACCCTTGGCAAGGAGAAGAATGGAAGAGCGAGGCCATACCGTGTTTCACGCATTTCGGAGAATTTACAATGCAAGGAGCATGCTAATGTACGACCCCGATCCCGGTGTGTTGCGACACAAGGAAAGTTGCGCGGTACATGTCTGCCCAAGGGAAAGGAGCTGACGGACGGGATGAGTTGGGCGGCAAATCTCACCGTTCGGCCACCGTACCAGTCGCGCTGTTCCTTGCTATCCGATGAAAGCAATCATGGTCATACAGTTGTTTGGGTCCCTTGTTATGATCCTCGCACGCCCTGCATCTTGAAAGCTTGCTCGATCAACGAGGTCAGTGATTTCATTTCAGCGAACCTTATGGGGCGTCTTCATCAGCACACGCTCAGGCCCAACAACGCCAGCTTTTCTAGTGGCTCCGACACCTAATCAAAGGCCACAGTTGATGATAAAACATGACAGTTTATGCGAGAAGGTGAATAGACGTTGAGAGCCGAAACGCCGCGAGTCGAGTATCAAAGCCGGGAGCGAAGAAGGAGGGCGCCTCGGTGCATGTTTCCGACACGTGTAGCCCAACACAAGAAGTGCGGCAACCACGAAGCATTGACAACCAATAAGGATGGACTGGTGTCTAATACCTGACTGGCTCGGCGCTGCACCGATTGGAAGACAGTGAAAGGGAGATAGAGCCTTGCATTGCGGATGGCGGTCCTGCCCTGACCCGTTGAAGAGAAGCGCATCAAGGACTTGGTTCAAAAAGCTACGTGTATCCCCAACTTGACATACACAGCCTTTCCATTGGAAGAGGAGATATCTTCGTTTGGGGAGGACAGGGGGAGAATCGCAACACCAAATTCCCCCTTCCTTGCCTATGCGTGCCGTGACTTATCTTGGCCATTACCACTTACTACCAAGTATGAGTGGTGCTGCCCGGGCTCAAGCACTACAGCTTTGAGCCCATGTCGTGTAAATAAAGCAGCACTAATTGTCGAGCATGGTATATACTAGGATTATAGATCAATCTGATGGACGATGGGAGCCTAGGCCTGCACACTAGAGGGATAGATCTGAATTCAAAATGTAGGCAGACACTACGGCTCCTACTACTACTACTGTAGATGGAATATGCCCATATATACAAGGCCACTTGGATACTAGCTACCTACCTACAATCTGCTACTAATTAGTGGCTCGCAGTAGGGTACATCTGTTATATGTACGTGGAAAACTAAGGCGACGCCAGTCCATGACAGACTACCGGTGACCTAACCCATCCCATCCCGTCCTTCAATTCTTTGGGTACGCTACTGTATAATCAATCCCATCTGTAGGTATCAGATCACTCCAGGGTCCTTCTAGTGTGATGCTGTGTAACCACACTAACCAGCTCGCTTCTTTCTTAATTGTTGTACTCCGTATTTTGCATTCTCGATTTTTTTTTCCCCCCTAATTTTCCTTAGATAAGGTAGGTAGGTAGGTACCCCCTACTGAACGTACGCACACTCCCCCTGCCCCCCCCCCCCCCCCCCCTTCCCCCGACCCCCATCATCGTCACTACCCGTATGCAACTAATTTTCAACCCCTGGCGATGCATGTCTTTTGTACAACGGCAGTACCAGCCTAGTGTGGCAAGGCTGTAAGTTGGGTAAAGAGAATGCAGAGAAGACATTAAAAAATAAAATAAAATAAAACTAAAAAAAGAAACAAGAATCCCTCGTCGCATCGGCTAGATAATTGGAGGGGACAAGGAACCGGATCGGATATATAGGTTGAGACAGGACTAACTAATGATTGTCTCGCTTATGTATACAACAGGCTATTTGGTGCTTGGGCTGGGCCTCGAGCTTGCTTACATACATACGTACATACCTACACATTCAGGTATTACAATGCATGCAAACCCCCAGGCGCATACACTACACATAACCTAGCATTCTTCCTGCTTCTAAGTGTTAGGTGCAGGAATCACGTAGATTCCATGCATGGCGCGAACAGCCGGCTCGTACCTACAACCAGGTCTCCGGGAATTTAGCCCGTCCCTCCGCTTGCTTGGCAGTCAGCATCACAAGTTGGAACAAACAAAAGAAAAAGGTACACAAAGATGAAAAGAAAACACATCAGCCCATTTCGAAAGTAAAACAAAACGTTGAGGTCTCAATTGACGGGATTATCTGTTGGCTTCGGTACAGTAACATCTGCTCCTCCCCTCTGGATATGTATACGACGAGAACAACCGAGGTCTCTATTGGACCCCTCGCGCCACGTCGGGCCCTATTCCAACACTGGTCTCTTTAGATCTGCCCAGATCACCAGCCAACTGTAGCAGACATAGGTAAACGTATCTTGATAGTGATTTTTCGGTTCCCCCTTCCCTCTCCCCAACATAAGTCTTTTCTTCTTGTCCGCTCGAGGGGCCAGTGTCTTCGATTCCGCGTGAGCAGAATGTCCCATGAAACCCATGGTCCACGGCTAAGGAATTGCCACCAAGGCATAACTGATTAGAAGCACCACTCTATTTCAAGGCGCTGAGCGTGTAATATAGCACCAATATCATACAACGGTTGTCATGAACCCAATTATCGTTCATGTTGTGCATGCTCTAGAAAGCTGCGACCTATAGGCTCTAGCGTCAGTCACAGATAATACGACCAAATACGCCGAACATATGTAGCTATTCGTTTACTCACCCTATTCCCGGTTGTACATCTGCCCACCCTGACCTCCATATTGTGGGCCGGGCTGATAGTTTTCGGCATACATGTGGCCGCCGTTGCTGTATTGGGTGAGCGGTTGCTGCGGTACAGTTCCTGTCGACGGCGGGTACTGCGGCCCAGGTGCATACGCAATCGGGGGTAATTGCCTACTCGCGTACGACGATGGAGGCTGTCCGGCTTCGGTTCCTTGGGGATCAGCCCCTCCGTTCTGCGCTTGCGCTTGCGCCGCGGCCTGCACGTGCCGTTGACGTTCCTGCTCTTCTGCAGCCTTGCGTTGCTGCTCTTCCTCCTTTTTGCGAGCCTTCCACTCTTTGCGAATTTCCTTGAATTCTACGTAACCAGTTAGTTAATGCGCAGCCATGGGTGCCCACAGAGATGCCAGCGACTGCGATCATCCAACGCGCGATTCTATGGAACTGGCAAGCACGCCATAGGGGGCTGCCTATTTTGACGCGAGGCTGGAGCTATGACTAGACTAGCGTGGGAGCTCCTTAGCGTGGTTGTATGCACGCTGCGTATTTCCACGTTTTTTGTTACGAAACTACGATCAATGGGATTAACTTACCTTCAGGTGTTCGCTTTTGACCGTGGCTCTGCATCGTTACGTGGGCATTGAGATGGTTTAGTGTGCCATAAGCCTTCTCGCAGCCGTTCCATCCGCACTTATACATTCTCTCAATCTCTTCGTATCGTCGACGAGGCCGCTTGTGTTGCTGCGCGCCTGGGATTGGTACAAAGGAATAAACCTGTTGCACACCATACTGTCAATATATCAGCCATTTCAAAAAGAAAGAGATCGAGATGGAACAAAGCCTAGTTGCAACCCAGTATGCAGCTGGCACATTTCATAATCGGCCGCGGCCGAGAAACTACGCCCATATCTCGGAGGGCGTAACAAAAACAAATCGTTTTCCGACAAGGATTGCCAAAAGATACTCTAGTTGTGCATAGATGTCACCTACCTGTGTTGGTCGTCCGGGAGGAGCTGAAGTGGGCGGGTGCGAATAGGATACGGGATGATGTGGCATCTGGCCTGCTTGATGCGCGTAGTTGGCCCAGTCGGGACGAGGCTGGCCGTACATCCCGGCGGGTGCGCCTTGCGGATAGCTGTGCGCCATGTCTTGCGGCGGCGGCGCGTATGGCGAGTATTGGCCGTGAGGGTACGTAGGGCTAGGTGCCGCGATGGATGGATCTATGGGTACATCGCTGTCAGACTTGACCTGCTGGGGTTGATGGTTGCGTCCATCTTGCAAAGGCATTGACGGACTTGTTGTTGTTTGTTGCGCCATACCTCCACTGCCTCCGTTATGGTTGCTGGCTGGATGGTATTGGCGAATACTATGTTCTGGGAAAGAACTGGTTGACCTCGCAGAATGAGGATAAGCACCGTAATCTGATGTTGGCGTGGCTGAGGTAGAGTAGGCGGCAGGACGCGACTCCTGGTTACTCGGGTACTGGGCAGCAGACGCGTGATCTGCAGAGGAGGCTTCAGAGTGATTGTCGCCGGAGACGCTTGGATAGGGCGAAGGCAAACCTGACTGCGAGTATTCGTGGACGCTGCGTTCCATAGGGCTATCGGGGGCGTTCAGGAGCTTGCCGAATTTTGCTCCTGGACTTGAACTTTTCAACAGCTGCTCGGGCGCACGCGGTAACGATGCGCAGTTGTTAACCAATACGTGATGTTGTGACGGATGTGGTGTTGGCACTAGAAACATGCTACAACAACCAAGACCAGGTGAAAAAGAGAAAGGCCAGAGGTTTTTAGTGTCCAAGCCAGGGCAAATAAAAGGTACGCGAGCTGATAATCAACTGACGGCGTCCAAGTTTCTGGGTAGTGCACAACTCAAGAGAGAGGAGGGATAGAGTTGCGCCAAAACCTTGAGGCTGCGGCTGCGTTGGTGGTATTTTAGTCTGTATGGTAGTCTATGTTCTGCTGGGTGATTGATGTACTGTAGATCTTTGTAGGCGGGTCTGGACGAAGATACTAGCAAAGTAGTGTTGTACCTGGTCCACAGAGCCCACAGGTAAGTCCACAGCTCGACAGCCACCAGAATCGCTGCTGAAGATGTCGAAGTGGTCCCCGGAGACGGTTGAAATGTAATGAACAAGGATGAGATCCTCCTTGGTAGCGTCTTCAGATGACCGGATCCCGCCCCCTCACGATGGGCCTGACTCTGCTGCGATGACCGGCAGAGAGGAGAATCTCTCGTGTCCACCACCCTCAAAAGCTATGACTGATTTATGCTCGGAAGGTGATTTTATGAAATTTTGAACTCGAGTTGTTCGAGTACGGTGATTTTTTTTTTCTTCTTCTCTAATTACGTTTTCTTTTCTTTTCTGTCTTGACTTGAGACCAGACGACGAATGATAAGCGTAAGTACCACACAGCTCAGTAAGTCAGAGCACAATGACACAGGAGCATGTATTTGTACGGTGATGCGATCAGCCTGGGTGGAGTCCGCGCTGGATTTGGGTCCCGGTACCACGAAGATGCTTGCAGGCTTTGGCGAACTCTCAATAGGATGCAAGAAGGTTACCTGACTAGCGACTAGCGGTAGGTGGGGAAGGCGAACATCTAAAAAGGCGCCGAAAAGACAAAAAATTTGGGGGGGTGTGAATCCGTGAAAGTGTTGGGGGGGAACCTAGATTGACGATGCCTAAACCTTACTAGGCCGGATGACTAGTGGGATACCTGAGCGTGGCCAGGGGTTAGGGATTAGGGATTGGCGACAGGGAGGGGAGGCGAGAAAAAAGGCTTGGGAATCTGGCCAGGTTAATGACTAGTCGCTCTGAGCGCCGGGAGGGCCAATTGTGCTGAAGCGCAACGCCACTGGCCGTCAGACGGAGCTAGACTGACTCTTATTTGCCTCGCGCAAGTGAAGGACGAAAGTCGTGCACGCGATGGGCTACGACGAACGAAGCGGGCAGCGGTGACGTGCAGCGATTGCGCGCGACTCGTTGCCTCTGGTGGCTATGATCGGTATGGCGCGTCTTGGCAGTCCCTGTATCAGAAAAGAACGAGCTCGACACTGCGCTGTGCAGCGGCAGCTATTCTGAGCAAAGTCGTTGGCGGCAACTGATTTCGGGACTGTGAATAATGTGGGAATGAGATAACACGTCGGGCAATTGGCTGGGCCTTGGTTCTGGCGTAAAGTTATAAGCTCGGCCGGACAGGCTGAACCGTGTGGTGCTGCGTGGCAAGTAATGCGATGAGGTTATCCTGCTTATGCAAGCGCGGTAGAGCTCACTCTTTGCTGGCGATTACGGGCGGCCGTTGACCAGCGCTGCAAACTTGAAGCTACACGCGAGGCTTGGTCCTTAGGAACGGCCGGTCGATGCGAGTTTCTGGCTTCTGGCTTCTGGCTTCCAAGTAGATGTGCTGGGCAGATAGTGTAGACACTACTACATGTGCGTGTCCAGTTAATCTCAAGATGTGCAGCCCGAGTGTGCACCGGCGCCTTGAAAATAGTTTAGACCGGGCTCAGTGAGGTTAGCGAGGTAGCTAGCGTCGAGTAGCCGGCGGGCGGAACGCGTTGTTTTTCTATGCAGGTGAAAAACGCACTAAGGAGGCGCAAACCACGAGCGTGTAAAATATGAACGGAGGGCGATGCAGAGTAGGGATGCAATAAGTGCAGCAAACCGCCGGGTGAAGCCGAGTCAATGGACTGTTTGCAGACTCTCGACCTGAAGAAGAGTTTGGAAAGGGGAGGGAAGAGGGATGGAAACCAAGCACTGGAAAGATTTATCAAGGTAGGTAATAATAATAATAATACAAGGCAAGGTGGGTGGGTGTCGTCGGTGTGTACCAACCTTCTAGGCGGCGGTACTTGCGCAGTACCTTGGGAGCTGTGAGGCCGATACCCAGCAGTAACATTCCAGTGCCCTTCCAGCGCGCGCTGTCCCTGTACATGCACCCTACCTACGCCACACCACCTCCCCTACCTACATACATACGTAGTACATGTCTGTACATACCTACTACGAAGTAACTACTGACCCAAGCCTACGTAGTTCGAGTAGTAGTGGTACATTACCTAGGTACCTACATACTTCGTAGTAGCCAAGGCACTGCACCATTCACTGCACTGGCAAGCACGCTCCACACTGGAGGCGGCGGCCCTACAGAGCCCAGGGATTTGCTGCCAAGCGCCTCATTCTGTACATCATCCAGAAGCCTGCCTGTACTACTCGACATTTCACTTCACATTGACCTCGGCTCACGATGCGGACAACTGATCTATCTGTCTCCCTACCTACTACGCATCGGTGTATCTATGCTGTAGATATAGGCACTACGGAGCATGCCTATCACAAGTTGAGTTACATACTCTGCAGACATGGTAGGTTGTGAATCTATATTTGCCTGCAACCTCTACATATCCTCCCTACCTACTTACCGGTATATGCGTAGGTAGGTACCGGTAACCTATTTGTTTGCACAATACCAGCATAGAAACAAAAAAAAAGGTGAAAATTTTGTTTGGTTTGAATGGACAAATCCTGTATTCTATTTCGATGTAGGTTTTGTTGCTCAACTTAATTGGTATCTTGCCCGATGGTGAATGTCTCCACACCAATGATACCATACTCGCACTTTGCCCTCCGTCCGGTTCCTTTGTATACCTTTAGGGTTCAGCAGTCTCCGCCATCTACATGATCAAACCACCACATGACCCATTACCGACGCTGTTTGGCACATTTCCTCGCAGATATAGGGTTGGTAGGTATCTCTAAGTTTGAAGGAGGTTGCAGGTTAAGACTCTAGGGATGGGGAGGCGTTGTCCATTATCTACTTCTTCCTACATACTATAATTAATATAGTGTCCAACTTTGCAACTCAAAACTAGATACTCATCTCTGCACAGAGGGCGGGCATCAAACCTCGAGGTAAGGTTTTCTGGTTTGTATACTCGGGCATCAACGAAGTCTCGTTGTGCGATTCCGGCCGACAATACCCACGTTCAACATACCTATTCGGAACATACTCCCCGAGCGTCATTCATTGTCTGCCTACCGACGGGTCAATCTCTTACATGTACCTATTCACCGCATACGAGCGGGCAAAAAAAAAAAAAAAAAAAAAACATGAGAGGCTGAGGAGAGAAAGCAAGCTTCGTGATCCACTGTTGTACTTCGTACAGTAATAATGTAAAACTCCTGTAGGGTGCGACGCAGAGATGCCACGGGAGAAAACCCACCAAACATTAAAAGGCCCATATTTACACGGGAACAAGACAAGCTGTCAAGACCCGGGTGAAGGCGAGCTCTCCTCGACACCCAACTGGGGCGCAAAAGAAGCTTGGCGAGTCCAGGATCCCAGGCCTTTAAACGCGCTCGACCAGGTAGACGATGCATATCACGAACAGCTACAGGGCCGAATACCTACGAGTAGTGTTCATAAGAGGGGGTTTGCATTCCTGAGTCGCACCCGCGTTGAGGTGGGGGCAATTGGAGCCTTGGTAGGAGCTGGGTCAAGGTTGCGAAGAGAAATTCTTGTGCCCAGGCGAGCAGGTTAGGCAGATCCACCATGTTGGGACGGTGCTATTCGCCCACCGAAATCTCTAGATGGTCTCATGAGCTGCCCCAGAGCCCCCTCGCACCGCAAGGCGCGCTCTGCCTGCTTCATTGTCGCACAAAGAGACCTTGGCCTGATTAGATAATGACGATGATGCTCCATTGAAATGCGACCAGATAGGTATACCTACAAAGAATGAAGATTTATACATATCACTATGCTAAGCAGGTTGGCGTAGAGCCTGAACGCATACTTACACTATGAAGCTATGATAGGCGTCAAAGCATGTGTCTCTTTCTTACTATGTACCATGTCCCCTTTTCCATTTTGCAATATTTCTATAATTTTTTTTTATTTTATTTTTTTGCCCTTCTAACCTCGTTATCATCTCTTCTGCTTCCGATTCCGAGGTCGCCCGCTCTGGCTGACAACACGGTCCGAGACTTCTCCGGTTTGCATAGTGATTGTAAGAATACTTTAGTACTTGTATACTGTACGCGAGACTCGACATGGTTCCCGTGGGCATGTTCATTGATTGGCTTGCCGGTCAAGGTGCCGGGAGATTGGTGAATGACTCGCTATGCATCAGCCCTTGTCGAGTATCGTACCAATCGTACGTAATAATGTCAGTGCATACGACATATGGCTCAGCTGTTGCTCTCTGCATTGACTAGGTGTATTGAAGTTGTATGGCCCTTTTCATGCCCAGTCGCATGAATGGGTCAACCGCGACGAGTTACAGGTAGCTGTCGAAGGTGCGTGACAGGCCAAGTCCTCCATATTCTCAGGTACGTGCAGGTGCATCACTTGCCATTTGGATTTATCTAGTGGAGCGTGTTTTGTGGTGTGCAATGGCCGAAAGCCTCCATACTGGAATGGCGATGCCGAGTATATGAGCAGAGTTTCAACTTCTGCATCTTCTACTCGGAGGATGCTCATAGGCGTACTTTTGTAGGCTCGCTTGGCCTTCAAGCTGCCATATGCAGATGATGGAGGTTTGTTTGTACGGTACTGTGACCCTCAGGAGTCAGGGTAATTGACATCTTCCTTTGGATCCATTTTTCCCCCAAAGGATCGATGAGCAAGAGGCTGGTAATGTTGAATCAGTATTAGAGATGAGGCCAAATGTGGAGATGTGAAATCTATGCATGACGCTCTGTTGCGTCACTACACTTATTACCGTTGCGCCTTTTCGCTCCT